GTTAAATCTCCGTTCAGATGATTTAGGGTCGAACTAGTCCTCAAACCAACCTCCAGACGTATTTTCTAAAAAGGGCTTCCATATTTACAGATGACGATGCTGCAGCGTCTTTGTCTGAGCTTTAGCTGGGTCATGAAGCTTTTACATTTGTTGTTCTGATCTCCCCAAAAAGCATGTCTCAGGTTTGTCCTAGTAACAATGTAGGGCGAGGATTACCCTTAATATTTTTCTTTTTATACATGTAATATTTAATCTTGTCAAAGACTGTTTTCCCATTATCTAGATTGCAGGTTTAAGAATAGATGTCAGCATGTGTTGCTTGTTTGGAGTTTGAGAGTAAAAGATGTTCATGTTGCATTATTTTAAAATGAGTTTTTTTTTTATACTGTGACCGTGTCTGCTAAATGATAAAGATTTTTATACCTCCAGAAAACTCCTATATTCACATAACAAAAGCACTATATCTGAATCAGCTGAACTTGGGTGATGAGACAAACACATTTAACGTTAATATTCATGACTCACTTGACCAGATCACATTTTTCCAACATGTCAGCGAAGAGCGCACAGTCAGCTGTTTCTATTCACTGATTTTCCACACATCATGACAGAAACTCTCAGCCCTCACTGTGAAAACTGTTACTTAAATCTGACGGAAACAAAAGATCGTCATTATCCATGAATTTTTGTCAGTTCAGTTTTATTTTTATCTTTTAAAACCTTTTAGTTTTATGTTCTTCATTCTTATACAACAGTTATACAGGTTTACTAGAAACAGCTAATAATCAAATTTAGCCAATGTCAAAGAGTGGAGCATGTTTGTAAGTGTAAACTGATTGAAATGACAGGTTTGCATTGAAGGAACAGACTTGTTATCGGTTACCAGCATTTATCCTAAGAAACTCTTTCACATACGTACAACAGCGATGACATGAACACTACGAAGAGTTTGAGTAGGCTACACATGTGCTGATTTTCTGATTAAATAATTAAACTAGAATTAACTAGGATAACTAGCGTTTCTTTTTGATGGACAGGCGAGTTTGTTGAAGTTCAACAGAGTCAATGTTATGATAGAAAATAAAACTTACTTGAAGTAAATTTGTGATTTCTGGCTGGAGTGTACGTCAGATCTAAACCCCACATCCTCTCATAAATTCTCTGTAAATCTAAGTATAAATATTCTGTGTTTAAATTCAGGATTCTCTTTCTCCGAGCTGACCTCTGTTCCTTCAATCTGGCCGTCAGTCTTTACTTCCATGTTTTTTACTTTATTAAGTCCAGTGTGCGCCGGTCATATGGGAATGCAGGAGTGACTCACTCTTGTTTTCTTGATTGCTGTCTGCATTTGATTGCGCTGCTGTCCTGTTCGCCCTCATTGCAAATGGGTTCAACAGATTGCAACTTCAAATAGCATCACCAAATGTGCAGAAGCTGAATTTTAAAAAAAAACAACAACATACATTTAGTCAACTGTTTTTTTATTGTTTAAGTGCAGTTTGCAGTCAAACTCTAGACTAATTCTTAAAGGAAAAAGGCGAAAAAAAGTTACGTGAAAGTTTGCACGGTTAGTTGGCGACCTAACCAGCTAGATGAATGGACTAATTTTTCAAATGAGCCTGTAAACATGATAACTTTGGCTGTAAATATGAGCTTTTTAAATGGGTAGGTGTGTATCTAGCTTCCAGAGATTTTGTGCCATGACATAATAATGAAAATACTATTAACACACTTAAACAAAAAGACAGTATCCACAAAAAAACAGCTTGCATTGTCATTGTAGTCGTATCAATGTGCAGACATCAGCATTTAGCTGAAAGGATCTGCTAATCCCTGTACTGTTTATGGTCTATTGATCTGTTTCAAGGAAATAATCAGCAATAATAAAACTGAGGAAGTGTCACTATGAAGCTGTAAACTTCTCCTGCATCAACAAGCTTTTATTACTTTCTTAAAATAGAGGTCCTGGATAACATACACAATCAGAACAGGTCAAAAAATAAAGATCTTTTTCAAAAGTTTCTTATTTACAACAAGAGTTTTGTCGAAAACATGCAAGTCAGAGTTTCACTGTCACATGTTGTCAATTATTATATCAAGAACTCAGAATGAGGGGGAATACTCAGAGTTGGTGGGTGGGCAGGAGCTACTTTTTATGTTCCAGTTGTGGGTGAGTGTATTTCAAAAGCTTTGAAAGGTGCTCATTATTTCGGGACCAAAACAAAAGCAGGCAGCAGACCAAAGACGCTCAGCTCTGCTGTTAATCCTGGTTGACAGGTAGTCAGTGACAGATATGTCCAAGACAGAGACGGAGGCTTTCAATATAATGTGCTGAGGATTGTGTCATGCTGAGTGAATAATTCATGGCAGATTTACAAGCGCCTACAGTAAATCTCATGGGGAAGATGTGCCTATAACTGTCAGCTGATGAATTCTTTAAGCACACCTACTGCTGCTCTCCCCCGTATGTGTTATTCATAAGTCATGGCTCGGCCAAGGTTCAGGCCACCCCACTCCACTTCAAGTGTTCCTGCGAGCTTTGGATTGTTCCAGTGACACCGAATTGATTTTAAAGTACCAGATTCAGAGGACACAGTCGGCACCAGGGATAGAAACTGCACCACTTGTTGCTGATAGAGAAAGATCTGACTCTGAGTACCGTGCACTTTGGGTTACCTTTAAAAATAAGCTGTGTTAAATAAACAAATGTATTTATTAATATTAAACCACAGAGTAAATAAATAAATACATACAGGAGTTTAATACAGAGTGTGACCTCAAGAACAACAGAAGGGCCATAAAATAAATTAAACATGCACTTTGGTTCAGAGTGCAATAACACATGCAAAAGCCTGTTAAAATATACAGTGTGCCTGTTGTTTTAGCACATACGATAGGTTAGCATTGTTAGGACACACTGAGCGTGTCGTTTCTGCTTCTAGCATGTTTGTGGTAGTTGTTTCCGACATGACTAACACGAGTATGATTTTAGATGAGGGATGTTTCTGCTTGTTTTTTGCATGTTTGACCTCGTTATGTTTTCTCATGTTTATGTAATTCCACTCTCATAAAAATTTCTGCAGATATTACTGGAGTTATAACTTCAGGGTAGGGAAGACCAAGATTAAGTAAGGTGAGATGATCTTGTGAAATTATTCTTTACCTACTGGTTCAAAAATTAAATGCTGGTAGAATATTCTAGATATACTGTATATTTGGCAGATCTCAAGTTTTTATACGTTTTCTGATGCCTTTAAGTTGCTGAATGTGCCAATTGAGGATCATTTTCGAAAATAATGAAAATACTCTGTTGCTTTGTTGGAATTAAAAATGATTTTGCAGGGAAAGGGACTGGGGCATCACCAAAGGGGGTCATAAAGAACGTGGGAGGAGCACAGTAAGTGTTAGGCCAACTAAAAGGTCATACAGTAAGGTCCAGCTGGGCTGAGGACAGCTGTGGGGAGACATTCTGTTGAGAGACATGCCAATGAGCAAGTACACGCACGCACGCGCACACACACGCATAAGAGACCACACACACATTCAAAAAACAAAACAAGTTTGCCCTAATACTCAGGCACCCACAATATTCCCGCGCACATACACACAGACTCACTCCCTCACTCACTGGCAGACAAAGATAAACAAACAGACAGTGAGAACAGTAAACCCTGTGCTGTTATTGAGAGCAGAACAAGGGCAGAGGTCAAAGGTCAGGAGTTCCAGACACATGTGATCTACATTATCTCTCTACAACAACTGGGTCTGAAGAAAACCAGATATACTAATATAACCCAGATTAAAGCTGTCAGGGATCAGGAGCAGTATTCTGGGATATTTATAGCACTTCTTTTGGCTTTATGAAAATATCTCTGCTGCCACGGGGACGTTCAGTCTGACACCAACTGTGCTGCAACATCACCATCTTGTGGATGCTGTTAATAACTTCTTTTTTAAAAAGACTAAAAAAGCTGCTAAACTTCCACAGGTGTTTACCAACATGACGGGTTTTAACTGGCAGAACTTAACTAATGGGAGGCTTTTGTTTAAAACGTAAACTTTAAGAGATAATTTAAAAAATTAGAAATGTAAAATTTTGGTTCAAAGGTCAAAATGATGAGCCACATCAGCAAATCATTTCCTGTCCCTACAAGGCCATCTTACTCCAGTATACCATTCTGGTTCGCGCTATGGTAGCTTACGGAAGTTACGATGTCTGCATGATCAAAAATATTCTTAACTCGCTGAAATCTTGACAGATTTATAAATGGTTTTGTTTATCACATACCTCAAAAATGTGGCTATTAGTCAGGATCCATCAGCTTTGAGAAAAAAAAGATTTAATCATGAAGCACAGTTGTTTCACGGCTATTTGCGCGCAAGGGTTAACTTTGAGACGCTTTGCGCAAGTTGTCAAGGCTGAGACCACAATCAAGAATTTAATTTCTTGTATGACAGCCTATATTTTTAGTCTAAATGTCAGTCTTTGCGGATGTGTTTGTGTTTATCAGCTGTCTAACTTGGCTAACAGACTCGCTGTGAGTGAGACCAAGTACATATTACAAAGTTGACCCAGGAATTTTCCATCAGTTAAAGAGGCAGAAATTCTCTTTTATTTCAACATAACTTAAGTTGCACATGATTTCCAAGCTGTTTGATTTGTTAAAAATAATTAAAATGGCAACATGAGGCAGTTGTTATTGTTATTATAGTTATCCCTACATTGGAAATATAACATACATGGAATGATTAAATGTTTTACATATAGATGGTTTAATAGAACTGCCTTGTGTGTAGGCCTATAGCTATTGCTCTACCTACCTGTTTAATGTTTATTTATGAAAATCCATGGTTAAGATTATTCTTGGGTATTCAGGAACATAACTAAAACTCTGAGGTTTGTTACAAACCAAACCGTTTGAAAATCGGTTTAAATTAATCAATCTACAGTTATTTACATGTTACATGCACCGTAGACTGGAATGTTAGGAGTGGGCGAGCCATAGACATAATAAAGGATAGACCCCGCTGGGGGTGCTGCGCGGCGAGAAATGCGGCCGCCATCTTGGTCAGGTCAAGCTTCCCATACGCTCCGGTCAATCATATTCATTCATCAGTCATTCAGCGATGCCGGAGCACTGTGCGGCGTATTCCTGTGCCACCAGGCGGACAGCAGAGAGCAGGGCTAGAGGAATAACTTTTCACAGGTAGGATTAAACATTTTTTTCAACATTACACTTGACTGTAGAGTCATTTGTAGGCCATAGAGGAAGACTATCGGTCAACTTCAAAAACGAAACAGCATTTGCTAACAGTTAGCTTATTCACCATAATAGCAACTTTGCTCCATTATCAACAGATTTGCATTAGATTGAAAAACTTTTGTTTGAGAGAGGTTCTAAGAAACGTTAAGAAATAAAATAGAAAGAAGAAGGAAGAAAGTGAGCTCTGTTATCTGTTTTATTAAAGATTTCTTTGTGGTGATCTCCTGTTTCATTTTGAAGATTTCCTAAGGACAAAAATTTGAGGAAGAAGTGGGAGATTGCTGTAAGGAGGGAGAAATTCACAGCAAGGGATTCCTCTGTGCTCTGCAGCCAACATTTTAAGGAGGCAGACTTTGACAGGACGGGACAGGTTGTCCGCATCCGAGATGGCGTTATTCCGTCCGTCTTCAAGTTTCCAGGTCACCTCCAAAGAGTAGGTGCATCACAATAAAGTTGTTTTATTCTATTGATTACATGGCATGAATTACTTATTGTGATTCCCTCTCTATCTATCTATCTATCTATCTATCTATCTATCTATCTATCTATCTATCTATCTATCTATCTATCTACCTACCTACCTACCTATGTCTTTCTGTCTTGTCTTTATTTTTATTTTTTTATTTCATTTCAGGCATGTTGGGTGGTTTATAAAACACCCAGGGTATCAGACAATTTTATTTCATTATCTAGTTTGTTCCAAAGCCTCACCCCGTTGAAAGAGATAGTGAAGGACTTAATGGTGGTTCTTGCCACTTTTCCTCTTCATTTTAGCCAGAAAAAAGCAGGAACACATCTGCCTCCAGAAAATCTGAGGCGAGCCTGTCTGAGACTCCTCAGGATAACTCAGTGGCCTCAACCTCACATTCTGAATCTCAGCCTGAAGATGTGAGTATTTCAATTTTACCCATAAGCATGTCATGATGGTTTTAGAGACTGGTAGCGGATTTGACAACTGATGACTTTTAGAAATAATGCGAGCCCATCTGTGTGATACAGCTAGTAAAACATAACTCAAACAATGCTCATCTCTCCTTTTCCTAGGATCACAGCTATGTAATGCCTTCCTCCCCAACCGCTTTAAAGGCCAGACTCACCGGAGCTTTGGAAAGAGTCGATAAATTGGAGCGAGAAAAAAAGAATGCCAAGGCACGTGAAAAGAGGGCGAAGACAACCGTGAAGAGTCTTCTATCACAATTATGTGAAAAGAATCTCATTAATGAAGAGCTCAAGGACAGACTTGAGCAAATTGTTATGTAGTTTAGGTGCTGTCCTGTCATGCTGTTCTTGTGTTTAAATTTTTTTGATATGTAGGCTATATATTTGTGTGTATTTCTTTGTGTGTATTTTCCTGTTATTAAAATAGTGCTTCTATATGACATTATTTGTGTGTGTCTACAAATGGATAAATAAAATTAAACTAAATAAAATATAATCAAATCAATATATATTGAATTAGCCTATTAAAACCGCAAGTTATTAATAATTATTGAGACATAGCAGGAACCTATCTCTAAACCTAGATAGATCCTTGATTAATTGTTATACTATACTACAGCCACTGCTGCCATGTTCTAATATATCATTTTATTCATTCTGAGTATTTGAAAACGCCAAAAAAAATATGGCCTCTATCATGCCTCTTTGAATGGCGTTTGCAGAGAAGAAAATTACGTAGTATTGAGCGAACTATGATTCATTTAATGCGCTCAGACTTCATTCCGCCGGTTAAACAGCGGTGCAGAGTGAGGCGGATGACCGGACCAAGATGGCGGCCGCGTTTCTCGACAGCGCCCATTCGTGGTAGCGGCCGATGCGGGGTCTATCTTTTATTATGTCTATGGGGCGAGCTACCTGAAACAAAATGGCCGGCAAAACACCACCCGGTTTCTTCCGGTATCTTGTCGTTTCTAAAACTGGAGTTTCCGCAGTAGCGCTCGGCGGGAAAATCACTGCGATGTCGATTAGCGCGAATCGTGTACTCCTCGGAATTCCAACAGAAGATATGAGGTAAGTACAACTTATCGTTATATTGAAGTCAAGGACCTTGAAAAACTGCAATAAGAAGTTTAAACCAGTATTTTGATAAGTATTTTTATCGACTTTGTAGACTACTAGACCATCTATCTTCGGTATGAAATATGTAAGCTAGGTTTGCACTACATATTCGTAACTAACAGTTGTTAGCAGTCTACAAGACGTCGAGTTTTCTCCTTTTTAATGTAAAATAAACTACTAAAAATTACGTACACAACACTGGGAAGGATGAGTGTTTTATTGACATCCGCCACTGAGGCCAGCAGTCGGTATAAAAAGTCATTGTTACCGTTTTTTGTTGCTGAGAAGCTTTAGTCTAGACTCCAGAGCAACACTGCAGTCTGGCCACAAGATGGCGGCAGAATGCAGATACCTCGCAGACAGTGTTCGTTAACTTTTCCTCCAGTTCAAACAGTCTTTCTCAATAGCTGAAAAAAAGACGTCAAAAACCTTCGAGGCAGAAGCTAAACAGTTAGAAGTAAGCTTTATTTTTTAAACCATACATTCCAACTTTTAAATTGATCCAAAATGTCTGCGGTATAAACTGTTGAACATACTTATTCAGCATAACGGTCAGTTGAGGTCTGCTTCTCTGCTTTCTTCTTCAGCCTTCAGTCTATGAACAGTCAGGGCTCAGCAGACTTCAGATACGTCAAGAATCGAGGCGGTGCCACACTGGAGCAGAGGGTCATGTCCGGCCCACAACTCATAACCTCCTCCTCACCGTGATCCTTCTGTCTGCTTCTTTTAGTCCCTCCAGGAAAACACTGGAAGGAGGTTCGAGCCTTTCAGCAGCATGGATGTTACCAAAGGAGAGGACCGCTCTCCTGAGCAGGCTGCCTCTTTATTTGGGGCCTCTGAGGTGGAGAGTCAGAGGAAGACCACTGATCGGGGAAAGAAGAAGAAGAAAAACTGGAAAATCATTTCTGGGGTATGTTCTCTGTTAAAAGTTCTTCACTTATCTCTGCCTGACTGAGCTTTTGGAGGACACATGGATCTGTTTATTTCCAGCTGTTGGCAATAAAGTAAATTAATGAATTGAAAGTGCTTTAACAGCGACACAAAAGCACTTTTCAATCAACTTTTGGTTTCTGAGAGTCTGAGAAAATTGTGTTAAAGTGTTAAAGTTCTTTTCTTTTGGTCCTCAGAAGCTTTAAAACAGTCAGACTAGTGTCTTCTTTTTTTCTGGTATCCTTAAAACTGACAGAGCGCTACTGTAACACCTGAAAAATGTGTCAGTGAACTTGAGTGTGCCCATGATCTCAGGTCAGACTTTAAAGTGAGCAGTGAATCTTTAAAGTCTTTTTCATTATTCAAGTGAAAACTGTGCAGTCTTCTGTGATAGGGGGAGATTTGCTGCCTCTCCTTTTCAGATGTAGTCATTGACTGGATGTCTGATGGATTATAATAAGTCAAGAAGACACTTTTGTTATTTGTGAGCCTTTTTAGTGCCTGCTTAACTATTCTTGACACTTTTTTGACAAGCAATAACTAATAATAATAATCTGAAGATGACTGATAGATTACTGTAGTTAGTTGCTATCTGGTTGACAAAATCTCACTCATTTAAAAAGCAAAATCATCAGTTTTTATAAGGTTTTATATTTCTGCACAGTTTACAGCATAATTAATCCACAGCTGTCAGGCAGCAAGGATGCTCGCTGCTGCCAGAGTGAGAGTGGAAACAAAATGTTTACACCCCAGTGCAAAAAGACAGAGGCCAGGAGTGTCTCTGCAGGTGGAAAAGATGATCTTTAAGTACAGTGTGAAGCTGACCGGGCTTCTCAGACCACACTGCTGATCATAATCCAAAATAGGAGCGTTACAGCTGAGAGTCTGGTGCAACCGCAAAGTGTTTTCTTACAGCAACTGTGTTTTGCAACAGATCATTTTTTCATTTATTTATTCTCAATGGTCCTTGGGTTGAGAAGGGACAGACACAGCCACAGGGGGAGCAGCTTAGTTTTAACAGTGAAAACAAACACATATGGTGAGAGCAATACTGTCCTCCAATAGCTGGACTTGTGTGGTCAACAATCCAAATGTCACATAAATCAAATTTGTCTGTTTTAAGAGCGACAAATTTTAGCCCTAAAGAGCTGTCAGACGGTCGATATTTCTCATTTTTTCTGTAAACCACAAATAACTTCTGATATTTTTTACTGCTTAAACTTCAGCTCTATGTCTCGACATCTTTGCATACAGAAAATGCTTCCTACTGAATGTAAACATGGCAGTTCGAAGTCATTTTATGAATCTTGCCTACGGCAAAGTGTGTGTGATGATAATTAGAGTTTAATCAAAAGCATGTGGAGTTGCATTGCATTAAGGAATATTTCCTGTTTATATTACAGCTGCTAACCTGGGACGTCAATGATAGACACTTCAAATCTGATAGAAGTGGTTTTTATGAGACATGTAACTGTACATCTGTCTTTACTTTACTGCCTCTTTGTGTCTTATGACTTCAGTAAGATTAAGCCTGGACACTGGAGTGGCTGTGTTGTTTGTTTTTTATTCTAATTTTGGTCTAGACATTAAGAAAGCATTTGCAGTTTACTTAAAGTACAGATAGAAAAAACATCCAAATACTAAGAAACTAAAACTGGGATCTATTTTGGGCTTTACAGTACAACCAAAACCACAGCTAAAAGAGCAGCAACAAAAAATGCTACTTGATCGCGCTGTTGCATAGCTTTGGTTGAAATTTCACCTCGAAGATATAGTAGTTTTAATGCGCTATCATAAAACCAAAATACACATTCCAGGTAAAAAGGTGTGTATAGCTGCAATGTGTAACCACAAATCTTCCCAAACAAAAACAAATAAACTGTAGAGGTAGGAAAGCATCTGCTAGGAAAGTAGTAAACACACCTTTCACACTATTTACTAGCAAACTGCTGCTAAAACCACATGAACTTGTGTTTACCGCTGCTGTCCACTTGGCACTGATGAGATACACATGTGGCACTTAGTCTAGACAACAATGATATACTCCCTCCTATCAGACATCTGCACTTGTACATCTGTTAGTGATTGTGATAGCAGTATTTTTTACACTGCATTTAATTTACAGTGTTTTGGAACTGACGGACAGAACAGCTCAATTTTTTCTTAGATCTTTATTTTGAGACTGGCGCTTCAAGCAAAGACCTTTTAGTTGTTTTTTTTTTATGAGTATTTTTCTGTGCTGTCCCGTTCTGTCCAATCAGATCTTCACTTTGTAACCAGCAGAGAAAAATGAAGGTAGTCGTGTGTTTCAGAGTCAGACAGGTAGGTTTTCCACCAGACAGACAGTTTACTTTTACAACCCACAAAAACCGCGTCTTTCCCAGGAATCTGTCCAACCCAAGTCTCTCTCTCTGTCTCTCCCTTCACCTATAGCAGGCAAAAGTGCAGCTAAGTGCACATGCCCAGACGCTGCACACACTTATCAAGCATATTTTCACAGCCATCTGGGAATTCTTGTTCAAGTGGATCAGGCTAAATGGATAAATTGTGGGAAACTGTTCCTTAATCTCTCCCTCTTTAGACTTTAACTGCACAAATATGGCGAGTAGAGTGAATGAATGAAAGGCCATGGATGACTTAATCACAAACCCTCTAATCTAGTGCTGAGTCAAAGGGCTGTGGCCGCGTAAAACTGATGAAAGTTGGTATGAGCGGCATTATTTCCTCCCTGTATGTCTCAGCACAGTTTAAACATCTTTGCGCAAGCAGGCTGTTGTTGGATTTATGTGTATTACTTGTGCTTCCTTTTTGTGACGTAGGTAAAGACGTAGGCATGAATAGAAATACAACATTAACTGTGACTCAATCATGGACATGCAAAAGCAGCAGAGGTTCATTTTACTTCATTTCAAAGTGTCACAAGCCAAAATCCCTGAAAACCAGTATGCTAGACAGGTGATCAGAGAGGAAGGGAACTTAATCACAACCACCTTTCAAATCCCACTTGACCATCAAGGTAGCGTCTCCAACCTAGCTCAGGTGCTACAGTGATAATAATAATCATACTTCTTTGAGACAACCCTCTAATTACAGACTCTTAGCCCAGGCAAACAGCCTCAGATAGATATGAGCTGAGCAGTTTGATAAGGAGACAGCTTGGCTTCCCTCTTTTGACTTTTCATTTACAGAAGGCCAAGATAAACATTTAGACACATGGAGCTGGAGTATAAGAGGAGGTGGAGGTTTCAGAGGGCAGGGCTAAATAAATAAATAACAGGCAACCTTCACTCAGCAGTGAAAGACATTTATCTGTGTTAAAAGAGAGGCCAAAGCCTCTCCCAAGGGCGTACAGTCTAGTCTGCTTTAAGGCTGGCTGAAAACCAGATACTGAATGGCTGTGATCTTTTGGCTCTCAGGTAGTGATGCATTCAAACTAGACGTGACAAAATCTCTGTAAGGCCTTAAAAACTGATCATGAACACAGGTAGTCACCAGTGCAGATTGTACCTTGCATAGAAGACATCATATATGAACATAATCCAGAAACAGCAGCAACTTCTCTGGGCCTTAAGGACCTCAGACGGCTTTAATAGATCTGGAGATAATTAGCAATCATATGTTCAAACATGTCATCCATGAGTAAAAACTGAGGACCAAGAAAGTCATCCTCTGGCCAGCATGAGCGTGTCGACCAAAGTTCATACCAATCTATTCAATAGCTGGAAAAATGTGAGCAATGTGTCCTGGAGGAAAAGTCAGAGGTCCATCAATGTCTGTAAGATTCATCTTCTGGGGACTATGAATAATTTGATGCCAGTTGAATCACCAGTGGTTTTGATATTTCCATCAGGATGGCTGCAGTGGGTCGAACAGACAACATTGCCATCTTTAGAAGCTGGCATGGATTTAAAAGATCTCAAACTGAGTGTTGGTGTTTATGATTCTGCAGATTTATGACTCCTCGACGATCCAACAGTCTGTTAGAGTTTGTTTGTCTTATGGTTACAAGGCGTGTAGCAGACAGAAGTGCATGTCTGTAGTTACAGTAGAACAAGACTGTAAAATGATGTTAAAATTGAATCATTTTTGTGGTTAGTCACTTCAGTCTGTGTACTTTCACCCCTCATTTCTTCCACCTTCTTTTACCAAGAGCTCAGTGATGGGTATCCTCAGCCACATTTCTTAAGAGCTGCACACAGTCCTTCTGATTCTTCATTCAAAACACTGATTTTTTTTTACTCTGGATTTCAGGTCCTTCTACTGTGCCTCCTGGTTATTATCCTGGCTGTGGTGTTTTCTCGGAGGAAGAGCAGTGATGTCAAAGGTAGGCACAGATCACAGTTTCTCTGTTATACCGTGTTATTTTACTGTTTCCACACCATCTTCTTACCCGTCATCACTGTGGTCAGGAGCAACAGGAAGGTGGTTTTTCAGGCAGTAGTTTAAAGTACACCTGTGAGCTGTGGTTTCTGACCACCAGTGTAACAACAGTGTCCAGTGTTTTGATGAGAGGTTGTTTGTATCTGATGTAATCTCAGTCACTTGACAAGGAAGGTTTCAGTGAGCAAGCAAAAGGAGCAGGCTGCAAACACGGGAAAAGATATGAACTTTATGAATCCCCAAAAGGAAATTTAATATCCAAGTAAAATCAATCCAAGGGAAAATCTATTAAAACGGTTAAAAAATATTCTACTCAATAACAAGTACCTTAACTTTAAGACTTTTTACTTTGACACAAAACTACCTGTCTGTGATTCTGCTCGAGTAAAACTGGGTTTATTATTTGAGTTACTTAACCCCCAATTTCCACCGCATCCGGATAGGCTCTGATCCGGAACAGCAGCGATTTTCGCTGTCCGCCAATTCTTACCAGATCCATTGGTGAGGGGGATGTCATGGTGGGTTACGGACAGCAGTAATAATGGTGACGCTTTGAACTCTCAAGAACCCACAGATTCATGTTCAATTGTACGACAACGAGTTGTCTCGATAAAGACAGACACATAGACATATGAGCAGTAGATTGTGTCCTTCCAGAGAAGGAAATCTATGGAAATCTCCTCATCCATGGTGTCATCGGGGTGAAATGACGTCTAAAAACCTTTCACTTGTTCGTCTCCGCCCGTTTGCATGGTGTGAAATACGATCCTCCTGAGACACGGAGTGTTTTATTTTGAAAAGAAGCCGGATGTTTTTATTTTGTGTTCAGGAAAAAAAGAACTCTTGTGATCAGCTGTGGAGTCCAGCCACAGGGAAACTTGGGTTAGACTCATCAGCATCAAAGATATATACTCCACAGATTTGATCACCCCACACACGGTGCCACTCTTCCACTTGCTCCTTTTTCATCTCACCCTCATTGCTGAAGTTCACAGAGTTTCTGCACAACAAGGTTATTGTTGGGGATGGAGGAGTGCTCTCTGAACTGGCGTCTTACAAAAGAGTATAAGAAACATTTGATGATATGATTAGTTCAGATAGGAATGTGACTTCAGCTGGGTTTGTGGCCACGGCATTTTACAAACAGGAGATTGCAGCACATTGACGACAATGCATTCCCTCAATTTCATGCCACACTCATCATGTTGGATGTGGTTCACCCCTCCAATGACACGTCTATACCACATGTGTTTCACCCAGTTATTGTCTGTCTTACTGGAGGCGAGCCAAACTTTCATCTGCTCTCTGGGGCATGATCCGCATCTTAAAACTTTGGACTCCAAAATTCTCACGGAGGTTTGATCCCTAAAGATTTATGCTGTAATCAGGCACTGAAAAGCCAAGTTGGAACCGGTTTATCTACATTTTGTATTTTTGAGCAAGCACACCATGATTGTTGTGGCTTTTTTTTGTGAGCCATGGTTGTTGATCTTTATTGGAAACAGTGAATGTAAACAGGCAGAAATAAACTTTCTCAGAGCACATAAAGAAATATTTGAATAGGACCCCACTGTAAATACACACCACAGAAAGCAGAGAAACACCAGAGGCTGCCACAAACCGTTTCTTTGGGCTTCTAGTCCATTTGCTGCAGATCCACACAAACTTTGGATACCTCTGAAACTCTCATCCAGCAGTTTTTGGAGCAGCGGTGACTGAGGGAGGGTCAGGTTACTCTCCTGTGAAAGAGAAACACAAAGGTGAATATAAACTCCTCAGAGTTCACAGGATACATTTCTGTCAGGATGGTGTGATCAAGCACCTTTCTTTAAGCCCACAGTTGTGAAACACGTCGTAAACACACATTTAAGCGAGACAGGAATGTTCACGGGGGCCGGCGTGTTTTCTTCAGCTATAGATTCCCTCTGGTTAGCCGTGGGCAGCTGCGTCAGTGTGCTCTTTGTTGCAAACCACTGTGCCAAAACAGCCCTCTTCCATTTCAGGGGCAGCGGTGGTGACTGTGGGCAAATGTCCCCGTCCTGGGCGGGGTGCTCTCTCTGCTGTGGCATTTCCCTTTAACTTACACTTCCTAACCAGCTAACATGAAACCCATATGGAAAGAATATATTTTGACTTTTCAGATCTGTGCAGTGTTTTTTGGATCGTCTACATCTTTCATCTCTAACACGGCTGATTCGGTCAGGCCTTTGGAAATAGATTAAAAGAAATAAAAATAACCCAGGACTCTATTTCTTCCTCGTGGTATAAAGTGCAGCTGAGAGTGGGTTTTCCCTTGGATTACAGACCACAGCAGCTTGTCTCTTGAGATGGAGCATCCTCATGTTTGGTCCAAACCACACTGCTGGCCTGGAGAAGCAGTGAAGGGGGGCTTTCGCACTGACGTACTAAGACTCCTTCTGTCATGTGTCCAGTCAGCAGCAGACTTGCCAGATGTTTACAGAGAATCTGAGTGTGTAGTTTTTCTCTTTTCATTCTCATTGTCTATTATTTAGTATTTTCAGTAAGACTAATTAACTGAAGCGCCTCACTTGGACAAATTCTACTGACACAGATATGAGGTGGACACTCGCTAACTGATCGCTCCTTTTCAGGAAAAGTGTTTTTTTTTTCTCTCTGTTTGGTTTTCATGAGAACACACATCCTGTCCAGCACAAGATCTGGCATAGAAATGTGATAGTTGTGTATATTTTTCTTTGATCCTGAAGTCTGTGTGTGTATGTGTCTGTGTGTGTCTGTGTGCTCACGCTTGCACAACATATTCATGTATTTCACAGATCTTTACTCTGTACAAAGCTTCACCGGCACGGACACACAGGAAACCTTGTGTCTGTCTGCGATTAATCATTTTGAGAATTTGTGGATGACAAAGTGGAATCTCTGCAGTTTCTCTTCCTGCTGTACTTCAGTAAAAATTACTCAAGAACAATCCTTTTGTAACGGTTTCTTTGTCATCCTGGGTAATTGTTCACCCAAGGTTCAACAGAGTTTCTTTGACTTTTTTACTTGATTCTTCTTAGGGGAAAAAAAAGAGGAGGTTTTGTCATGTGAGTGTTGAATCAAGGTCTGATGAAGGTTTGTGGGCTGAAGTTGTGGAGGCACATGTGCTGAGTTTGCGAGTATCTACCTTAAACAAAATGATTAATCTGGGAGTTTTTTCCATCAACAGTAAAATGTTTTGACTATGGCTCTTCATGTGGGGAGTTCCATGTCATGTACATTTTCTACATTTAATACAAGACTACATTTTCCAAGAGCACCAGCTGTTGTAAAGATGTTGGGATGTCTCTTCCCAAAGCGTGTAAATGAGTGGAATACAGATCCTCTTTTAATTCTACCTTTTCGTATTCGAGACATTTCTTTTCAGGATGCAAAGTTATGAGGTCATGCACTGATCTGTAGCTACACTAAGTTACCGACTGTGAAGTAACGATGATTGCTGTTAGATAGCCGACATAAAGTGACCTTACATACCTGTTTAATGTTAACTATCACAGCCTGATGTCATGATCTATGTCCCAGTTAATGTCTGAATATGGTAAATATGGACACGGTCTAGTTCTTTTGTCTTTAGAGAGCAGTGACGCATTCAGTTGTTGGTATATGCAACATCCTGGTTTCTGAGATTCTCCGTCTAAAACACGATGTCAGCAGAAAATGTATGTATCTGCTTATCCTGCTGTAATCTAGTGCTAACAAAAGAAAATTGTCTAAACTAAAAAAGCTGCTCCTGCTTTCAAACTTACCTCTCACTGCCGGATTTTACAGGAGGACTAGAGACACTTGAGGCGATTTCATCCTGCTGTTCCAAGAGAACACATATTGCCTGAAAAAAAAGCCTTTTCAGCTCAAAAAAACTTTGCGTGTGTTTGCTTCGATTTGAAGTTTGGTTCAGCTAAACTCTTTCTTCCCCTCTAGCTGTGACAAACTAAGCAACACTCACAGTTCAGATACACGTGTTGACACCTCGCACTGCAGTAGCAGCTGCGTGCCAAGTATAAAAAGCAGAACACTGACTGACCGTAGTCCCAGCTTGACCCTCGCGCACACAGCTGCAGGCAGCTTTAGTCCGCTTGATCAGGTCTGCTTTGTGAGCTTTTCATTAAGCTGCATGTTAAAATCCTGTGCACCTTTGAAACAATAAACATATCTTTTTACATCTGTGAATAAGCCAGCTAAATATATCAATGTAATATTGCTCAGTCAAGCAATGACAACCAGATTCACAACACATAAACACATATTTGAATATGCATAAGCTTTAACTAAAACCTTCCATGAGTTTATGCATTTTAATCAGTTTCTTTGTCTTTGTCGAAAGGTCTTCCTTCCTCATTTGTCCCATTTTTTTCCCCCACCTCACTCATGAAGCACATGAAACTCTTAATCTTCACCAAATCAATGCTGAGTACAGTAAAATGTGTCTTAGGCTTTATTGTTAAACTGGTGTGATGTATGATCTATATATCCTGGATTTAATCGGACAGCTGAAATGCTCCCATGCTGAGAGTTGTTAATATTCATTAAGTCTTCCACAGTGAGTTTATTTTGTCTGTTAAAACCTAATTTATGATAATTCTTCTTCCTCTCTGTTTCCAGAAGGAGAGCTGTGGCTGCTGCAGAGCGATGAAGAAGTTCAGCAGACACAATGTCCACCTGGGTAATTCACTTCTTCTTTTCTGCTAATTGTGAGGATGATGTTGTTTGGCACTATATTTTCAGCATGTTCCAGGAGAATGACCCTTTTCAGCTGTTTCACCCACATGTATCCTGAGTGGAGACCATTGTAACCAGTTTGCAGCTGTGACCATAGAGGAACAGGGAAGCATTTCTGTGCAGCTGCACTTCTGTCCGTTCACCTCAACTTTCTGTCAAAGTGTAAAAAATAATCCAATCACATGACTCTGGGTGGGGTTTTCTTTGTGACGCTGTTGTATAAGTGGAAAAGCTAACAGTTACCAAGACAACCTCAGTCATGACTGTGAGTAATCAGGCATGTGTAAGTGAGTTGTGTCTGCATGTGCATGGGTGTTGTGGTCACATGTGTGTTTTTCTGCTTTGGTAAGGGGAGTAACCTCAGACAGACGCATTAAACTCTGGAAAAGAAAACCCCTGGCTCCAGATGAAGCTATATTTGGTTATAAAATATCTTTGACAAAAGGAAATGTTCTTTTAATCAGAGTCAGTCAGTCTCTTGAGTCTGTTTACTGGCAAACCACGCTTTAAATTTAATGGGGGAGGGGTCTGGTCTTACAGACAGAGGAGAAGCTCCACTGGGAAAAATATATATAAACATTTTATGTAATTTTATTGACATAATTTGCAAAGAACAGTGCATCAAACAAAAATACTTTAATGTTACTCACAGCTTGTGGCTCTGAGTCTTCATGGAAGGTCTTTTTAGACGGGATGACCCTTTTTTAGACTCAAAAATGATTGAGATGCAAATCCAGCTCAAACTGGCTGTTGTTAACCGAGGTGTCATCTGTAAGGACTGAGCATAAACAGCTACGATGCAGCTGTTGTTGTTCCAAAAACATGAAAATTTCCTGCTGTTTTCTGGTGCCTTTGTCTTCAAGAAGAAAAATAATAATAAATATAATAACAAATTTTATTTATAATGCGCTTTTACGGGTGCTCAAATATGCCTTACAAAGAAAAAAATAAAATTAAAAACACAATTAAAATACAGAAAATTTTGAGAAATAAAACTTAGAATGTAAAAGGTTAAAGAAGACACAATGTGAAAAGACAATAAAAGAACAGTTCAGTTCAAAAAATAAAACTAAAACCAAAAGAAGCAGTAAAATAGTCGTTAAATTTTCTGGGTGGGCATGCAGACCATCTTACAGAACTGCCAGTTAGTTTGTCAGTATCGTCGTAACAAGATGGTACAGCCTGGTGTCAGATTCTGGTCACATCTTGAAAGGATTCAATAGGAGGTTTTCAGTCACGTGATCCTGACTTCGCTACTGGCCTCACATCGTCCACGGGATTCGGCGCTGGGCTCTTCCCTCTTCGCTCACCACTACTGAGGGAATCCTGGTTACTTTCTTTTCCTCCGCTTAGTAATGTGCTTAAATTCAGCGGGTCGTCTCGTCTGATCTGAGGTCGTAGTCGGAGGATGGGGGTCGGGGAGCGGGGATAGGGGGCCGAAAGGACCCCCTTTTTCCCCGTCTCCTCCTCTGGAGCTCTGGGGCGTTAGTAATGATGTTAGTAATGATGTAGTGAAGTGACGTCTCCACCTGTTACCACTGAGAAAGTTTAGTGATTTAAAAAAAGTCTAATAGTTTTAAAAGTCCTTTAACACACACTTCAACACCGACCCAGGCTGAGACTTCAGGTTAATATGAACGTAGGTTTGAGTTTACAAAGGAGCTAATAACAGGTGACCAGACCATTACCTGTAACTCCCACGGGCAGTGAGTAGCTGTAGCGCACGGAGTGAAATGGGAGGGAGCCAGGTCTCACAGCAGGGAACAAAGAAATCTGCTGAGGTTAACAGAACTCTCATAGTCTTTGATTTACAGCCAAGAGAGAGAGGGTCCCATTTCACCTCCTGCTCTCCTCAGCCGTGTTTGTGTGGCCTGAAATTCAGTTGTATTTCTCCCCTCGACTGCTTACTTAAAGCGCTGCTTTGTCTTACCTCTACACGGACTCACTGTTCAACACTACCGCTGCACTCCTGGTGCCAAACATATCAATGTTTCCCGCTGAGTGATTGTTCCTTTTTCCTTTCATAAACCCACCTCATTTTGTTTTTGTTTGTCCCCCCACCCAGTTTCTCCAGAGCTCCTCTCATCCTGGTGTCCCTGGACGGTTTCAGGGCGGAGTACCTCAAAGATCACAGCAGCCACCTTCCTGTCATCAACAAACTACGTAAGACACATTCACACAATATGGTTTCCCGTTTACTATGCATCGTGACTGAACTGTGCGTATTTTACAGGACGTACTGGGACGACCACACCACACATGCGGCCTGTTTATCCCACAAAGACCTTTCCCAACCACTACACTATTGTCACCGTAAGTCTGCTCCAGTTGTTTTTCTGACTTGTTTTGACAGGAGTTGAAGAAAATAGAAAAAGTAAAAAGTACTCCATTACAAGTGGAAGACATTTGAAATCCTACTAAAATAAGTAATATTAAATAAGTTGTAAGAATGAAACTCTCTGCAGAATAAAAATGGGAAATTATGATTCATCCCGCACAGATAAGGTCTCAGTTTATTCTCATTTTCTCTTCCATTATTCTGTTACTTACGCCACATGTTGCACTGCTGCTGCTGGCATCTGCTTTAAAATGACTGAAGGCAAAATTCATGACTCATGCCTTTTTTGTAGCTAAGCCAGAATTGAGAAATCCTCCTTCTCATTATCTGAGTCCACATGAAGTCTTTGTTTTAATCTTGGTCCAAATCTGAGCGCTTGAGTCAAAGTTTTGCACCTGGTGCTGAAACTCTGGACTCGAGTCAGTACATGTCAGAACTCCAGTTTTAGGTTGTATGTTACTGCTGATTCTGTTAAAAAACATCAGTTTAATCTATAATGATTTAATGTTCCCCAGTAGAATATCTAATTAAAGTGAATCGTTCAGTAAGTAGTGTGGAGGAGAAGGTCCACTCTTCTAAACCCTCATTAACTTCATGTATGAAGTCACATAAACCTGATACACTCACATAAAAAAGGCCTCACTATTCTGAAGTTCAGTTCCCAAGTTTATGCAATACTAGTTTCCATTACTGTCTTTTATTGTACCACAGTTCAACAGTGCACTTGGGGTTTTCCCTGCAGTTGTGGAACCTTCTCAGGGTAAGATTAGAGGTTACTGTTGGAGCCAAATGCTAACATGGACTCGCTGTGAGGAACAGCAGTATGACTGAGGGGCTCACTGAAGTGGATTTTACCTCTTGTGGTTGAAACCAGATCCTGAAATTAAATCAAACTGCTGTGGTTACTGCTGAAATTCAGGTTCATAAATTTAGGAGGTGGTGACTGAATGTTTTTTTATCTCTGGGTCCTTCAGGGACTTTATCCCGAGTCTCATGGGATTGTGGACAACAAGATGTACGACGTGACGCTGAACACTTTCTTCACCCTGAAATCCGACGAGAAATTCAATCCAAAATGGTACCAAGGAGAGCCAGTAAGTGAATCTGTGCAGTCTGCAGTTGTTCTTTGTTCACTGCTGAGGAATGCTTTTCTTAGATTACCTTCACTCCGAGAGTGTCAGATGGAAAGTATTGTCCTACACCCCTTTGTTTTGGGGAAACCTGGCATGGCTCTGGAGACAGCACTTGTTTCTGTAATAAGAAATATGAGGCATTTTGACGTGCGCTGTAATTTTCTGTCTGTGAACAGCACAAGACACTTGTTTTTTGACACTTAGAGTTTCATTGCTGGGAATCAGATCTCTCCATGATGAGCCTCTGAACATAATTATGGATTCAGCTCGAGCCAAAGACAGTCTGTGACAGCCTGAGCAGTGCTTGTGAAGACATTCTGTGGTTCCTTTTAATGGTGTGCCTCTTAACTTTCATTTCTTCACTGAGTGACAGACTGCTCATGTCGAAAACACGTTCATAATCTAAATAACCTTGCAGGAGGGAAAGGAGGGAAGGAGGAATGATGTTTCCTGGAACACATTCTTCTGTAATAAACCACTTTGACCGAGAGTATCTGCCAAACAGCTCCGAGCCTCCCGCAGAGAAATCACCTCTATCTGTAAATTTGTCAAATAAGAATTGATTTAACATAAACACGTGCAGTCAGACATGAATCCATCTGGACTCGGCTGTGAGGGATGAGGCTTTTATTCTAATGGACTGAACACACCTGATGTGATAATAACTATCAGCAGTCCAGAGCAGAGTCATCTGTCTGAATTAAGGGTGAATTTAGATGAAACTTTAGCCTCCCTCTTTGACATCTTTCTTTTCTGCTTCTCTTCATTTATTCTTTCTCTACTTTGACCCCCATCTTAACTCTCCCTCTCTTCTTTTGTTCCTCCTGTTTTTGTGCTCTGACCTCTTTTCCTTCAATTCTTCTGACATGTTTAATACTTCTTTTCTCTTACATCCTTTGCTTCCCGTGTTCTTCCTGTTACCCTTTCTTTTCTTTTCTTTCTGCTCTTGTTCTTGCCTCTCTCCCTTATCCTCTCACCTCTTCTCCTGTCCACTGTTCTTCTCCTCCATTTTCCCCTTTTATCCTCTGCCTCTCTCTTCTCCTCTCCTTCTCTCCTCTCCTCTCCTCAGGTCTGGCTCACTGCCATGCGTCATAAAATGAAAACAGGAACATTTTTCTGGCCCGGATCAGATGTTCCTATCAACGGCACTTATCCTAACTTGTACAACATGTATGACAAGTAAGAGTGACAGCATTACCTATCATACTTCTTTATTATTACCAACACAAACACTGCGATGGTGCATTAATGTGTTTGTTTTTGACGTCTCGGGTCACAGGACCATCACGTTTGAGAAGAGAGTGTCTGTGCTGTTACAGTGGCTCGACTTACCTGAAGGAGAAAGGTACGAAATGTTCTTTATCATCACAATAACCAGCGAAACATGAACATCACACTGAACACTTCCTCTCTGATCATGTTTAGACCAGACTTCTTGACTTTGTACTTGGAAGAACCTGACGCAGCAGGACATAAATATGGACCAGGAAGCAGCCAGGTCAGTCATCCACTAAACGTGAAACCGTTGAAGAAACTTAAACCTGGTTGTTCATTTTCTATAATAACAACAGACCAGATACGGAAGGTAAAAGTCAGGAGGAAGTTGTTTCTTGACCCTTAGAAACACTTTGAGAGCAGAATCCATCTAAATAATGATCAAACTAGCTTCTTATTTTTAGCGCTGTGAGGGATGTTTGTGAGATTTTGCGTCCTCTTTCCCAGAATCTGAAGTCATGTTCAATATTTGCATTCAGATATCCTGTTAAACTGGTGGTGGTGGTCCATCACATGGAAGTTGAGACCCACCTGACAGTCTTGTAGATATTTATGCTTTAGACAAACAAGTCCACCACCAAATAAAGGAAGAGCAGGAACTCAAACCGTAAACTGCGAGGCCAAGCACACTCTCTCTGGATTGTTGTCAGTTTTTCCTGCTGGTCAGCCGCCATGTTTGTTTACCGTAAAGGTCGTGTTTGGCTGCAGGAGATTTTGTGAGACTCTTGGTGTTGAAGTTTGGACTCTGTATCAATGCTCATAATTTGTCGTCATGTTTTGGGTCTCACATTTAAAGGCAAGCAGCGGCACTGTAAATGGTTCTGGGGTTGGTTTCGGTGTAACTGTACTTTTCTACAGCGGTTATGAATCTGTCTGCCTTAAAAATCTAGTTAATGGTTACTAACAAAAGCACAAAAGCTTTTGACCTTTTTCCCACATGAGTCATATTCTTAGGCAGTTCAAGATGAAAGATTTTTCATTAGTCAGTTAGTTATTATCTTTATTTATTAGTTTTTTATCAATGAATTATTCCAGAGAAGCCTTTTGTATTATAAAAACAGTCCACAGATGATTCAGGCATCATAGCAGTAAATGAGTCATCAGCCTTACAGAGTTTTTCTTCGCTGTTTCAGATGAATATTGTAACTGCTGAAGCATGTTTTCCGGGTCATTACTCCTGTAACAAAGTGTCCCATTAACTCTGTGGAAGCCTTAATTCTCTTGTGTTTTCAGGTGGTTGAGGCTTTGGAGACTGTGGACAAGATGTTGGGTCTGCTGATGGACGGCCTGATTCAAAAAAACCTGCAGCACTGCGTTAACTTAATAATAATTTCTGATCACGGTGAGACAACTTAGCAGACTAGACACACCTCTGTGACACTGTTTACAGGATGATAAACTGTACCCTGTAGTTCTACAGTATGCAGATATATAACCTTGTTTTAGAGCCTGTGTATTACTGAGAGAAGACTAAATCTACAACTTCATGTCAGAAGAATGAGATGGAAAAGGATTGTTATCCGTGAGCACACAGGGAAAAACATCTTCAGTGGTGTGTTAGGAGGATATTTTCTGATCAGTAGCTCCTGTGGGCATCTGGGGACCATGTGTGCAGCATGTAATTACATATTTAAGATAGATGTATGGGGTAATTATGGTTCAGGGCGATGCCCAGTTATCCTCTTCAAAGAACTCATCACCAATATTTTTGACATTCTGTGCTTCTTATTAGCCTGAAGGTCTTTTATCAAGGACAAAAAAGAAAAGGTTCGTCTGCATTGATGTGTCACAGTTAAAAAACTGTGTCTAAATATAATTACTATTAAAGTATACAATATCTTAATAAATATGAAGGGGTAGATGTATGTTTGAGAGGAGATAAGTAAGCATGAGTGTATTCAGGCACTTTTCTGACAAGACAGAAAAAGGAAAAAACACATAGATAAGGATTTTTCTGTAATTTTGGTTTCACTGCAACCATACCAGGTAAGTCTTCAAACACAAATCTCAGCTGTTTTATGAAAAAAGGATTAATGTGGTTTTTTTTTTTCATTTTTTCACAGGCATGGAGGAGGCGTCATGTGACAAGGCAGCTTTTGTATCAAACTACCTCAACAAGACTGATGACTTTTCCGTCATCCAAGGCCCTGCTGCTCGAATTAGACCCGCCGTCCTTCCAGATAACTACTTTTCCTGTAAGTTTCCATTGATAACATACAACCCAGCTTCACAGCATTGCTCAGTGTCACTTTGTTTACAGCCAGCATAGCTGACCTTGTCCTTTTTTTCCCTCCTCAGTCGACTATGAGAGTTTGGTGAAGAACCTGTCGGTATGCGAAGTATTCCAAAAGTGACTTTTGTATTCATAAGGAGAATAAAAAATTATCTGCTTGCTTGGCTACAAGTCAAACAACCTTTTCTCATCCCGCTGCTGCTGCATGCTGATTCCTCTCCTCTGTGTCTGTTCTGAAGTGCAGGACCTCAGACCAGCCAATGAGGCCGTACCTCAAAGAAAACCTCCCAAAGAGGTTTCACTTCGCTCACAATCGACGTATCGAGAGAGGACACCTCTACATGAAGGAAGGGTGGCAGGCTGCGCTGTAAGTTACCAACAGGTCCAAAATCTTGAAGTTTTCACTGTGCTCAGTCATGAAACCGTGTGGACCAACTGGACTGTGGGTCAGTCATGTGGACCTTTACGATAACAGCAGCACACAGAACTGGGCATCAAGTTGTAAATGTTGTCACACAGCACTCCTGATTTCCACAGCAGTGACCAAACAAGTCTTTAATTAAGATTAAGATTAAGATTAAGATGTTTAATGACAAGTGTTTGAAGGCAAAGAAAAATAATGTGGATTGGTAAGAAATGTTGAATGAGTTAAAGGAAAGTGAGGTTGAATGAAGTAACATCATTAAAGGTAAAAGGAAAAAAAAGTTCAATGTAAAGTCTTGGGAGAGAGAGAATGACGGACACCAGATCAACCTTAAAAAGCCGTCTGAGTTACAGTTGGTGTTACAAATGTGGACGATCATTGTCTGATAAGTTTTTCGGGCCACACAGGAGTCGAGACATTTACATTAATTAGTGTCAGTAACCTTTCATAATGACTGAAGCATAATAAGTCAGAGAGGAGTTGTCCAACTTCTTTGATGCGTAGAAACCATGTAATCATAGAAAATTGTTTCAGGCTGCGGAGCTCAGTTGCCTTGGACGAGGTTGTTGTGTGACACAACTAACTTTAGTTTACTCTGAGTGAAAAGTTCTTGTTCCTGAAATTAAGATTGTTTTTGATCAATGTTATCTTCAAAATAGGACAAATAAGTCATTTTCACTTGTTGTTTCTCTGTCTTTGTGTTTATTTTTTTAACCTCTTAGATAAATTGCGTGTTTTTATTGTTTGTTTTTATCTCTAAAGAACCAGGAAAGAACTCAAGTACTGCACCGGTGGATTCCACGGCTCAGATAACCTCTTCACCAACATGCAGGTCAGAGGGAGGAAAGATGTGTTTGTTTTGTCGGACACGATAAATCTTTATCACGATATCCTATCAGGGTGAAACAACAGGATGTGTGATAACTCTGAGTTGTTAAGGAAAACATTTACAGTCTGACGTCGCTCATTTGTTTGGGGGCTGATTTCCTCTATTGTTAGCTGAGTCATAGATTCTTCTGTGGATGAAATTCAGTCCCTGAATAATTTTAGGATCCTTAACCAGTTACATTATTGTGAAATCAGGTTTAATTTTCTATCTGCTCTACCAAACTGAAGCAGTTGTTTTCCAAGTTTTAAGCAGTCAGGCATTTTGATGGGACACTTGACCACAGTTAAATCTGACACTAACCAAAGAGGAACCCGTTCACCTCGCTGAGAAAAAATCCAGAGATAGGTCAGAGGGGAAAACATCTTCAAACTTATCAGACCTCATCTTTAAGGGCTCATAAGTTTGTTACTTTTATCTGCATGTGAACAGAAGCTGCTCACTTTAAAATGATAGATTTTTATCTGAGAGGGTTGAATAAACTGATTACTTTGGGATTGAAAGTCAAAGACAAAATGTTTGCAAGCTATCAAGACTAGTTAAGCACAATTTGCAGAACAGATGTTGAATTAGAGGCCAGCTTTTTCATATTGAACCAGTATTTTCAGGGATTTTTTAAAAAACCTATAATTTAAAGTGAGGGTTAGCAAAATGAACTTCTGTCTCTTCATCTTCTGTTCCCTCATAACTCTCAGCAAAATCCTCACTGCAAACTGTCTGTTCTTCCTAGTCTTTGTTTGTCCTCAAAACAAGACACAATTCAAGATGGGATTTTTGGCTGAAATGTAGCTTTCAGGCATTTTAATCAATAACAACTCTTCTCTGTGAGCTTTGAGGTTTAGTATTTTTACTCAGAGTTAAGCAGTTAGTCCAAAGCAGCTTCTCTGTACACTGGCTGCTTAAAGAAATAAAAGCAAGATCCTAAAAGTGTATCATTAAAAGTTGAATATATTTGTTAAAAACTCTAGACTGCCTCAGAAACAGATTTTCTCTGAAAGCACAGTCAAGAAAACTTTTTATTTGTTACTTAGTTTAGGATTATAAACAAAACAAGCATAAAAACACACTGTGGATCTCTACACTCCTCACTGGTCCAGTAATTAGGCTTGTGAGATGATGCTCTCCACCCACACATCTTCTGTTCCAGTTGGAGTTTGTTTATGTCTGCCACCCTCATGTTTGCCATCATAATACATGTCTGTGTAAGTCTCTGGACGTGGGTTACACTGGAATTTAACTCGGTATAATTAGCTCGCTGAGTTTCTGACTTCTCTGGGAGTTAAGAAAAACTGACTGTTCTACAAATGGATTCAGCCTGAAAATGCTCGGCAAAGAAATAGAGCAAAGTGCTTGAAATAGACTCACCCTCAAATACCGACCAGTTTTATCCAACCCTTTCCTGTCCTTGTAGTCCTGAACTGACATTTCCAAGATTATGTGAAGTAGTATTACGGCCTCCATTCCATTTAAATATTTATACGTGGTATTTAGAGTTAGAGTTTTGTTTGCAGAGGGTGTTTGAATAAACATCTTCATTTAAAACTGTCAGAGCTCTGTAAGGATAACTCACTGTACTCTCTTATTCATACCGAGGAGTGTCCACAGATAATTAATGATTGTGTATTTATGTCTTTTTATTTTTCTCCAGGCGATTTTCATCGGCTACGGTCCAGGGTTTAAAGAGAAAACTGTTGTGCCTCCCTTTGAGAACATTGAAGTGTATAACCTCATGTGTGGTAAGCTACTTCATGAGTGCACTCTGTACTTTCACCTCTTACTCTTTATATTGAAGTGTTAAGGGAATTGTTTGACAGGTAAACAGTTAAGGAGAGGAAACAGGTGTGCTAGGTTGATCTAAGGTTCCACTTGGTGACAGAAAAGAACAGGAGGAAGTGAATGCAGCAACACCGACCAGATTTCAGAGAGAGAAGATAAAGAAAAACACTTCCACTTCCACTTTGACCAAACATACTGTGGTTTAGTAATTTAAGAGGCAGAAGTGTTGAAGTTTTGAAATAAGTTTCCTTTAAATATACCATCAGCTAAAATGTTGTTTGTATTGTGTAAATCTAATTTTCATTACCTCACCTTCCTCCCCAGACCTCCTCGGTATTCGTCCTGCTCCTAACAATGGGACTCATGGCAGTCTGAACCACCTTCTGAAACATCCCGTCCACCAGCCGGTTCACCCTGCGCAGCTCTCCCACGACACCCCATGTGAGGCCAGTGACCCTGTCCCAGCTAATGATCTGCAGTGTAACTGCACAACGCAAACCAGGGCGATGGTATGTGCCTACGAGTCACTAAAGCGATGAGTTACTCTGAGCCCTGCTAATCTGGATGTATGTAGCTGTTGGCTTTTAGCATTTTAAGCATTCTTTACCTTTGTTGCACACTTAACCAGATTTAAAGCAGATGGATTATTATTTTAGAAGTCAGTTCTGATTGGTTAAAAAAGTACGTAGAGTCACAAGACTGCCCTAAAAGTGATATTTGATGTATTTAACACATGCATGCTAACAATATGGATTTCTTTTTAGGAAGCGGATATGAACAGGCATCTAATGACAATTGATTCCAGTAGGTATTTTATATTTTTCTACACATTTACAGTTGAATTATATGAAGGTTTTATTAACAAAGTTTCTACATTTTACTTTTCAGGTCTTAAAGCCAGCTTGCGCCGCCTTCACCATCCCTTCGGCGTGCCACGAGTTGTGCAATCAGACGCCTCTTTCTGTCTTCTCCACCACTCGGACTACCTCAACGGTTACAGCAAAGATCGCCTCATGCCTCTCTGGGTGTCGTACACCGTCCAGCCTCTGGTTAGTCTGCTGTTTGGAGCCGCCTTTTATTCCTAAACATAGCCTGATCGGTCGAGTTACCCCAGCTATATTTCTTCTGAGGTCTGGGTTTGGCAGGAGACCATAAGAGGCTGTTAAGTATCCGAATCTCTGAGCAGCTGTTACTCATCTCCTGTGTTCGTGTTGGCTCAAACACTTCTTGTCTTTCTTATTATGCGGTCAAGCTTCAGTGTAAATCATGACCTCAGTCAGAGTGAAACATTCCTGGGGGAGTTTACACCATTCTGTCTGAATGATGGAGCAAGTGAAGATGTAGATTTGTTTTCATTCAAGCTTTATCCAAATACAGTGCTGGCTAAATACGGGTTACATCGCAGTCTTTGTGTTCATTTTGGCTCCAGAGAATCCTCTTCTGAATTGGATTATTTAATCTGTTTCATTGAGTTGGATCAAGTGTGTTCAACCCAATTAAACATCCAAAGAAAGCTTGGGAAGACTCAAAACTTCTCAGAGTAACAGAAAGCTAGATTCACGGTGTTTTCCCTGTTCGTGACTGAAGAGTGAAAACATTTCTATAACTCTCCATCAAAGGGTAATCCTAAACCGAGGCCTAATTTACACATACCGTGAGTCTTCAAAAAAGACAGAATAAGAATAATAATAATAACTTTATTAATCCCCGAAGGGAAATTCAATTGTCTATTGTCTCACATAATGTGTCTATAAAAGTTTTCTATTTACATAAGAGTTATAAAGCCTGATGTCTGTTGGTACAAAAGATCTTCTGAATCTTTCTGTCCTGCAGCGAAGAGAGAGGAGCCGTCCACCACCATTGGTCCTTTGGTCCATCAAGGTGTTGTAAAGTGGGTGTTAACAGGTGCTTAATTTGCAACCAGGTCCCTTATGATGACCTGGAGTGAATAAAGCACAGGCTTCCAGTTATCGTCTGGAACTCTTTTGTATTTATAATGTGAAACATAGAAATATAGAGGGTGGGGCATTTAAACCTCTGTAAGAATGTCTTTTTAGCTTTAGTGGATCAGGCTCAGGTGACTTTAAAATAAAGCCCTGCCTCTAAGTAGAATGTCTGCGCTCACCATGCTAGGTTGCTATCTGCCCCTGTTTGACTAATTACTATTGGACCGTCTCCCAGCTGACCTATTATGTCACATACTGGAACAATTCAAGAACATGACAGCAAGGTGCTGACTGATTATTTGGAAAGGTCCTTATTTGGAGCCAGGATCTGCACAGTAGGGAGTGAGTCTTTGAGCTGCAGTGTGGAGCAGGGCGAAGTCTGGAGCGGATGAGCTGTTGGAGCTCGGTTATCCTCTTGGCTTGTTGCTCTCTTTATGTAATGACAGCAATTAGTTGAACGAATTTGGCTCAATTAAGAAGTTTGACAATGACAGCTGCCTTCATAATCAGATTTTATTTGAGCTGTCTTTGCATGATCGTGAGCCTGAACTTGACCATTTTTCATGTGAATATTTATCTACCTGTTTGACAGGGTTGAGGAGCCTGTTCATAGGGAGCTTCACAAATCAAACAGTGCAGTATCCTTGCTGACCCCTGTGCAAAGACCAGTCAAAACCAAGCCAAATGATCTTACACAATCCTGGCCTGTGCTGCATTTCAGTCCCCGCTCTCTGTCCACCACTCACTGGTCCTCTCTCACAGACCAGAGTCCAACCCCTGAGCCCGGAGGAGTGTGTCCGTGCTGACATTCGCATCCCACCAGCCTCCAGCCAGCTGTGCCTGCGCTACAGAGACGACCCTCATCTGTCCTACGGCCTGCTGCACCCCCCTAGTAAGTGTGCGAGTGTGTGTTGGTGAGTATGTGTATATATGTGGTTGGAAGGGTCACAGGAGTCTGTCCCCAGCCGGGTGTTGAATTCAAGTTGACGTGTTCCAAAGCCACATTCTCATGTAGGAATGCAACAGGAAAGAGTGACCCATCCCCCTCTGCAGCAGAGACACTCAGATTCACTGTATTCAGGCTGCAGGTAGCTCCACAAAAGGGGGTGACAGACTTAACGTGTGAGGAGAAAGGAGCCCAGCAGCTGTGACAAAGTTGGACTCACAAAAATGTTTTTTATTTAAACTCCTGGCTCTAACGAAGGGTGAGAAAGGGTCGTGATTTGTGGAGTTTAATACAGTTGGTCATTCAAAACTTGACAACTGGTCCATTATAAGAGTCGCTTTCAATGAAAAAGGCCAAATACTTGCTTGGATCAGCTTCATAGATTGTGAAGTCCTGCAGTATTGTTTTGTTTTACATCATATAACATGTCAGTCCTTGTGACTTTAAATCTGACAAATCTGTTTGAAAACAACAGCTAGGACTCGAGTAGGTTATTTTTGAGTTGTTCATAAATCTTCCCTCTTGTTCCACTGGACTGTAGAGTTTGATTTCACTCTGTCATTCTTGATCCCTTAGCTCAGACGTTCACAACATGCACTTTCTTGTGTACATCCACACCCAAATTGCAAACTCTTTCAGTTTTTCCCTCAAATTTTGTTTCCTCTCTAAAGATCTGAGCGCCGATGGACCTGACGCAGACTCCCGAATCACAAGTAACATGGCACCAATGTTTCCCGCATTTAAAGGTGAACCAGACTTTGAACATTCATTTAGTCATTTCTCACTCGCTGTTGCCAAATTCCTAAAAGGGTTGTCAAGGTATGAATGGGTTCCTGAACAGGTAGGAGGGTTAATTTTCTGACTGAATCAGAGCTTTGAAGAGGATGAGAGCTCAATAATTTACTGTTCTCTGGATCACAACGAGACATTATGTCACACTCTGTCTGAAGTTTACAGAGAATTTCTTCTTATGAGACATTTTTACCCAATATTATACTTTTCTATGCTTATTTTCTGAAAAGAAAGCTGTATTTTGGGATCCTAAGTGTACAAAATCAAAGTCTAGGGATCTGACGGCTGTGATTATACGCGTCCACTGTGCTTTAATCTAGAAAAGCAGAATTGAAGGTTTAGTGAAATAGATCTTTTCCAGGGCCGGTCCTCCTGGTGTATCCGGCTGTTGCATCAGTTTTATTCACATTAGGACTGACTTTAAGTAAGTTATAGTGATTGTCAGCTTTGCTCCCAGTTACTGATTCTGTGGAGGATTAAGTTTGCACCAGTTAACACGATTACACAGGATTATAAAACTGCATGTGTCATATTTGAAAGTATGCAGGTATTTGTCAGTGTGTGTTGACTTAGTGCTGTGGTCTGCCCGATAGAGGCTGTTGTGTTGAAACTTGTGGACTTTGGTGATAAATGTGATGAAAATTGGAGTGTTGTGGACGTAGCTCTGCCTGTGGTTGTCCACTGGGGCCACCCACACTCGACATGGAAACTCTCACTCACAGCTATGAGGTCCCATTGGAGGAAAAATGTAACCTTATATCCACTTCAGTTTGTCTGTGTGTTGGAAGGTGTTTCATCAGTGGTTGTTAGATGCTGCCACCTGCTGGATGTCACTGTTTTAACACTGTTGTTATTTTGTTTGTTATATCATTCACAATTCAACACATCAAACAAAAAACAAAATTTGAAGGATTTTAATTAAAAAAATGTGATTCACCCACATGAGTCAGATCAACCACAGCCCACCAACTCTCAGCCTTCATGTAATTTAAAAAATGTTGTATATTATATATATTTTTTCAGGCTGTAAACGTGTAAAATCCCTCATGAAGTGTAACAAGAGTTTTAAAGGGGTCTCCACGGGTTTAGAGCTAGTCCAAGTGGACATCGGAGGAACTGCAGTTTTTCTGCACTTCCACATTGAGTATAACACTGGGGCTTGACATTAACTTTTTTTCACTCTGAGCACATGTTCTCCTAAGTTGAAAAAGTAAGGAGCACACAAAGAAACTAGGTGCACGATGATAATAATGTTTGTCTTATTGGTTGACATAAGTACTATTATTTGAAATCAATTTTGAGGTCTTTTGGTCACGTGACATGGAAGCTATTGAAGGAAAACAGCCTTTTTTGACAACATCAACTGGTAATTTATTGATGGTCCCTTATTCAACACCCGGTATTGGAGAGTGAGAAGAAGCCGGTAGATCCTCAGTGAATGTCCGTCAAATATCCAACCTGAAACTAACTTCACCGCCGTATTTACAGGAAAAAACATTTGTTGCCTCGGCTGATTTTTTTTATGACCCTAATTACATTTTACAATTCACACACACCAATTTTTAGTTGCAAATGTGAGTAAAGTGGTCGAACTGTCAAGCCCTGAACACCCAAGATTACAGCCTGATTAACTCATATTCATCATCAACGACGTACACAACCATCTTTAGACTTAAAATAACCCTTTATCTGCATTTAAAACTGATATATTAGCAAAACAAGTGTGAAGGGTGCAGCTCACTTTCTACATGACAGAAAAGGTCTGAAGACATTGTCTAATCCAGCAAATATCAGTTTTTTTAATCCTCCCAGTTTAAACTTGTTCTGATGTAATCTCTGCTGTCACCATCTGCGGCGTATTAACCCAGAACTCAAATATTTTGTGTTTCCTCCTCCTGACCACAGATGTTTGGGACCATTTCCACACTGTCCTACTTCCAAGATACTCACAGCAGTTGAATGGGGTCAATATCATGAGTGGGCCAATATTTGATGGAGACTACGATGGAAACGTTGATGCACTCAAAGCAATCTCAGGGTGAGTCAAAGGCGCACACTCCTCCCAGCAGGTTATTACATCATCAGCTAAACTTTCTCTTATTTTCTTTTTCTCACAACTGAAAAAAACAGAAAAGGAAGAAAATTCTCATTTCTTTCAAGAGCTAAAAGTAGGATGTCAATAAACCTAAAGTCCAAAACATAAAGGTATTAAAATAACACTTATGTGATGGAAAAAAACACCAAATTATGAAATTACTGAACGAAACAGTGGAAAACTAACTTCCTATCTGTAATAAAGCTGTTGGTGATGTTGAAACTTTATTTTTGGTCACATGCTCAGCCTTTTCAAATACAAAAATAAAGACTGAAAATGCTTAAAACTCACTTGCTGTTTCATTTTATCCATTAGAAGGGAAAATTCAGATTGTATAAAATCAAAAACACAAGTTTGTCCTCTTAATCAGGATATATTTTTGTTAAGATGTGGTAAAGCTTCATGATGAAAAACAGAGGGTGTGTGTGTCACCGTACTCTCATAGCCAAAGGTTGTTTTTGCTCTTTGAACTGACAGGATTAAATTAGTTTAAGGGTTGGTTCGGTTTTAGATGGATATTTTAGATCACACTGCAGTTTTTTAAATCTGTGATCTTGTGTTTCTCCAGGAACGAGGCTCCTGTGCCGACACATTTCTTCGTGATCCTGACCAGCTGTGAGAACTCGACCTTCGGCCCTGTTAACTGTGAGGGTCCGCTGCAGGCCAAGTCTTTCATCCTGCCTCACAGAGCTGACCACGCAGAGAGCTGTGGTGTGAGTGACACAACCTTTACTCATTCTACACGTCAGCCTGCCTCTGTGGAAACCTGCTGACTGATGACACATCGGAAACAAAATTCACACCTGTCAATTTTAAGTGCTAATTTTACCTTTTTTTCCAACCTAAATTTTCGTCTGTTTTCCCAGAGTGCAACGGACTTGTCGTGGGTGGAGGACTGGCTGCACTTCCACGCTGCTCGAGTCCGAGACATCGAGCTCCTGACTGGACTGAGCTTCTACCATGACAGAATATCAGTGGAAGAGACGCTACAGCTCAAGACTTTGTTACAGGCGGCGTGATGACATCAGAGCTGCCGCGTTAATGTCCGAGGAAGCCATAGTCGTCTGCACAGTGGGCCCCTGTCCATGTGGACACAGTTTACTCATCATTGGAGGGTTTAACTGCCACATTTTAGATGTTGTTTTAATGTTCAAACCAGACTGGTCTGAACCATGAGATCCATCCATTTTTTAATGTTAAAGTGTTTGAATATTCAATGTGTGAAAAGCTCTTTTATATTATTTGATTACATTTTTATGACTGATTTTATAGAGTGGAGTAAAACAGTGTTTTACATACGGCACTAAAGAGCTCTGAACCAAAGACGCAGTCACATCTGTCGACTGGCTCCAAAGTTTATTTCCTCTCAGATGGGAAAGTTTGGCAGGAACAAAAAAAGGGAAATTTTTATTGACTTTTATTTGAAGAATCTATTTTTACTACAATGTTTTTTTTATTGGCGGGGGCATTTGAAGAAATCTGGAAACAGTCACATCTGTTGTTGCACATCTGGAGAGCTGGCTGCTAAAGCAGAAACACCAAACATGAGCATTTAGGGAGAATAATAAAATAATACAAAGAAAGTTTGATCTGCCAAAGATTGCTGTTTTATGTGGTTTTGTATTTTTGTCTTGCAGCACCAATGTTGTTTGTATTTTGTAAATTTCTTGCTGTAAAATTGTTGATTTGGGCAAATGTGTATGTTCTGTGCGTATTGATGAATCATGAGACGAATTTACATCTTGACAAAGACATATGAACATATCTGGATGTCTTATGAACAATAAGCCACCCAAACAATGCAAGTCCTATTTCTGTCTCTGGAGTTTTGTGTATATTTGGAACCGCTTTTTTGTGTTTCGTCACTCTGTCTGTGATCTTTTTATGCTTTTTTATTGGCCTGTGGTTACTTCACATCACTCAGCGGTCACTTTGTCAGTCTGTGGTCGTTCTGAAACTCACTGTGGCTGATTTCCATCACTATTGTATTTGTTGACAGACTACATTTCTGTAAGTGCTGTGTCTTTTTCTCTCATTGTAATCATTTTTGTGTGTCAGTTTTGCAGTTTTAAACTCTGTAGTGGTTTTGCATGTTCTCAGTTTTGTCTGTCGCTGTCCTGCGTCTATATTTGTACATTTTTGCACCCCTTTTGTTGACGTTTTAATTTTGTCTTTTGTGGAAGTTTCGTAAAGATATTCTGCAGGTGACACAGAACTCTCTGATGTGGCTGTTGACTGAAAAACTGCTGCTGTACTTTTTGTATTTTGTTCAAACCTAAAAATGTCTGTGGCTGAAATTATTCCTGGGATCAACACAGTTTGTAGTCAGCCGTTTCTCTTTGCTCTGCCTGGATGTTGGAAGGATATTTGTAGAGAGTAAGAGGTGTTCAACAGATGAAGGCACTTCCATTTAGTTTTGCAGCTTTTTTTCAGCTCTGTCAGAAATGGCAGCTACTCTCCAATCTTCAATTTCATAAAGAAAAGTCTTTTTCACTGACCTGGTGACTCATGTTCTTTATTCCTCAGCTTTTACACCTGAATTGTATTGGCACAGAAACACTTTCTGCAAACAGTTTGATGAAATAATGGGAGATTTAACCACCCTGCAGTTTCTCTATTGGCTGTCCCCAGATTGCTGCATGCATGTGAGCAGAGAGGAAGGAAACGGTGTTGTGTGTACGCCTGTGTGCTCAAAATCTGCCACTTCCTGAGGCTGACCACCACAGTGATGCACGGCAAGCCAAGAGGTAAGAACGTGCAGCTTTGTACCTTCTAAACATGCGTCGACCCGTCTCTTACACAACAAACCTGATCTGACTTTCTCTTTGATGGTTTTGTAAAATGATCTGCGCTGACTTGTAATTTTTATTCTCAGATTTAACAGCTGAAAGGTGTTTTGAGTAAATGTGTTGAAATCAGTTCTCGTTTCAGTGGGTTAGATGGAAGAATTCACAGTGATGCAAAGATACATTCGGAGCTTTAGTTTATTTTCGAGAGGTAAAGGTTTCTTGTGTTTTTGTTTTGTTGTTCAGGGTTTGTCCTGTGTTGTTGTTGCTGCATAAATCAGTTGGATTGACCATCTGCCTCCTGGTTCCACTCGGGCAAACTCACAGGTACACATTTTTTAACTTTATGTTTTGAGTCTAACTTGTTTTCATTCAGGGTTGAATAACTGCAGAAGCAGACACAATGACGTCTCTGAGAGCAGCACAGTCAGATTCTTAGCTGCTGGTTGTGCTTATTGAAGACCTGCATGATTATAAACTGATCTCATACTTTTAAAAACCCACAGATGTGAATAAGTTCCTGTGAAGGGTTTTATTCTTTCGTGCAGACCTGATAGGCTTAGGTTTTCGTCATTCAGTGCAGAATGATGAACCCACAGTCTGCTTCTAAACTTGTGATGCACCGTTTGGTTTATCTCTGGATTTGTACCTGCGGTGATGAGTCTGCCTTTAACTGCACATGTGCAGACTCAGGGTTTGCAGCCTCTCTCACAGGTCTTCCAGGAAGCCCTGCGCTTGGTGGGAAATATTTCAGCGACCATGTGACTGCTTTGGTCTTTCTCACGGTCTCTGCACTCTGTCTTTAGTTCTCAGCGTAACCAGTCAGGTGTCTATTTACTGTCATCTCTGCGGTGGGCTGATCAGGACCACGACGTCTTCTCGGATGTTAACTCAGACTAAACCACGGACAGACTGAATCATGAGGGTCTTTTGTGCTGCAGACGAGGGGGTGACATGAGTGTACTGGTGTTCACTGTTTCCTACAGAAGAAAAAGCCCCGTGCACACAAACGGTCACGTTGTTTGACAGTTTGTCGAATGAAGAAATTAAAACGGTGACATGCATGGCAAAACATCCGCTGCCTGACAGCCTGACTTTGGTAACATACTTCACATCCTGCCTCAGTGATATTTACAACCTGAGAGACTCCCTTCAGGCATGGTGGACGTCAGCCGGGGACAGATAACAGCTGTGTCACTCTGAGGCCTCATTACAGCTGACACTGATGGTTAAGTCCAGCCTCCTGGCAGCTCTCGATCCTAACAAGGAGAGGCTCTTATCTACCAATACAGGCTGGCATCCAGCTATTCAGCACAAAGCGTCCACTTCACCCCAGAAGAGAAACGAGTTTCCACAAACTGAGATCTTCAAAAATGAGACCTTTATATGTCGGTGTGAAAAAATATTTAGACAGTTGAAAAATAAGGAAGAGTCCTTTTGTAGTGAGGGAGAAGTGAGGAGCTCTGATATGTTTCTTATTCGTCTGGCAAATGCAAAGAAATTTAAGGAACCAGCCCGATATCATTAGACTTACATCACACGTCAACTTATCCTGACTCTCTGTTTCAATCAGGCGCGAAGGGAAGCGTGTCCTTAGATGCTAAAAACAATCAAAACAACAGTGTTTTGCATCACTGTAGACTGTGAGGCTGTTAGGACAGAATGAACATACGCAACAAAAACATGGAAATGAGGCAACAGTAACCGTTTCTTTGAGACATAACCTACTGTTACTTAAGTTATTCAGATCAGTTCAAATCAAGAGCAGCCATCTTTCCTCAGACTTTCCCTGTTTCAGAAGCCCGGCTGTGACCGGCCTGTTTGGATCGAATCTGAACAGGGTGTAAAGAGATTCATCTGCGAGAACAATTCAGACCTTAAACTGCAGATTTGTCTTCAGTCTAAAGGAGGTGCAGACAGATAAATCACTGGACCGGCCCAAATGAACAAGCGCTGTGATTAACTTCTTCAGCTGAGTCTGAAGAGATTCCCATATCATCTTCTGGCTCTTTGTGTTATTTTATTATTCTCCCTAAATGCTCATCAAGTTAAACTTACTTAAATATTACTGCAGCTAAACTAAAATATGTCCAAAGGAAAACAAATAAAACTCGTCAGTTTCAGATCTTGGTTGTATTAAAGTCGATGCTGTAGACTAGACACAACAGATGGCAACAAATTGCACTCTCATTCAACTGCAGACATCAGGGGTTGTTTATAGATGTTAAAAATGTTCCTCCAAGAGAGAGACAGAGGGTAGAGAAGAGACTGAAGTGTCGTAACAGACAAAGTACGTAAAATTTAATTTCTTTTCATCAAAGTAGATCGTCCGTTCCAGTAAGTCTACTGACCTGCAACGAAAGAAACTAGACCACAGATGCACGTCACCCATCAATAATGCAAGAGTTGGCATTTGGTTTGTTGTGCGGTGCTGCCATCAGTGAAGCATCGCTGCTCTTCCTGTGGCTGAGGATGAGGAGAGAGTCTGAATACTGAGGGGAAAAGAGGCTTCTGACACAGAGGGAGAGGAGGGAAGAAGAGAAACCCACCATGAGGTTTCAAATGGCCAAGCTGTGGTGCCGGTGTTAGTTTCACATCAAATCAACCGTGTCACTCTGCGTTTCTGGTTGAGTGTCTACCTTCGTCATCAGAGAGCACATTTGTACTTCTGCAGAAATGAATTTCAAATGAAGGTATTTCCTCAACTGTCACGTAGACACATTCAAGTTTAATCACCCAAGTGGGGACACGACAGCAAGTCTGATCTGCTCAGGAAGGATGTTTCCGGATCTGACGTGGCGTGGGGGGGGGACTCTGAGGAGATAAAGATTTGGAGAAGAGAAATTCCAACGGTATAACCTTAAATGTCTCTCTCCCTCTCTCTCTCTCTCAGCTTCAAAAGAAAAGAGAGAGGAGCTGTGCGTCCAGTAACAGTGGGAGGGTTAGAGAGAAGAGGAGGAGGAGACAGAAACTGACAGAAGAGACATAAAGAGAGAGAGGCAGAGTGAGGCGGACCACAGACAGAGTGACAGACTACATCTGAAGATGGATTTAAGTTTTCTTCAAGCTCTGGAGAGAGAACGAGTCCTGGAGGTTCTTCAGAGGGACAAACAGCTGCGTATTATCGAAGAGGACAGGATCAGGTGAGACCCTGCAGAGCGTTTTAAGTCATGGTTAAAGAAAAGTGCTGAATCAGGGCTGTGGATTTAGCAAGTCATGGTTTCTGAGCAGTAACAAAACAAGATCAGTGACTTCAAATGTTTCCTCAGGGTAACGTGTTTTAGTGTCACTTTAAATAAATACATTTTCAATCCTGATACACACAGAGAATGAATAAGCTGTTTATTCAGCCTACTTAGTTATTAGCTGATTGCATTTGGTTTGGTGTGAAACTTTAAACCTCTTAGCTGCAGACTAATCGAGATCACCATCACTCTAGCAGGTGATCCTCTCAGCCTGAGCATCTTTTCAGATCTTTGTTAGCTACAGAATACTCGTTCAAAATAAAACACTGAAATGTTAATTTAATGTCATTTTCCCCTCAGGAGGATGAAGTACGATCTGCAGGAGCTTCGCCGAAAAGGCGCAAAGAGCTTCACGCGGCAGTACGGAGAGCGGACCTGCGCGCGCTGCCAGAGGCCGCTGGGAAAGTTCTGGAACTCTGGAGCGGTCTGCAGAGGCTGCAGTCACCGGATCTGCAGCAGGTGTCGTGTGGGAGTGGGAGCAGCGGAGTGGAAGTGCACGGTCTGCCACGCGTACAGGTGCAGTGAAGAGCTGAAGTACCAGATTAACGTAGAGAGTGATGACACAGCTGAGTCAGGGGAGCTCAAATCACAGCAGTGAGTGTGTTAGTGTGTGTGTACAGTATGAGTGTGTATGTGTGTGTGTGTGTGTGTGTGTGTGTGTGTGTGTGTGTGTGTGTGTGTGTGTGTGTGTGTGTGTGTGTGTGTTTGTTTTCCAGCTGTATTCGGCTCTTTCTATCCTGGTGGGCTTCCTCCCTCAGAAGCGGCGCTTGTTTTGACATGTCAGATGTTGGTGAGTGATGTTCTCGCTCTCAGCTGTCCGTAATAATGTCCTCGTGTGTCTCTGCTCCTCACAGGGAGGTGAAGATCAGGTCTGGAGAGTGGTTCTTAGAGCAGCGGGCGCTCAAGTTTGCAGTCACCACAGGTTTGTTCACGACACCAGCTCTTCACAGATTCACAGTTTTTAGATTTGACATCATTGTGAATTTTAGATACGTCTTGTTATAAAGCAGTTTTACTTTAATGAATCGTACAAAATTGAAGATCTGAGTGAAGTCTGAGATATTTGCAGCATAAAATATGACTCAGCTGTTTAATATAGTCAGCATGTAGTTGTGAAGTATTATAAGAAAGTAGACCTCATATATTAATAAGTGTCTAACTGTTATATGTGAAGTTTTATTTGCAGTCTTATTCAAAAGTGTAGCTCTCACTCTTGTGTGTTACGTGTGTTCATCACAGTTGTGTGTTTTTCAGATAAATTCGAGACAGTCGGGGAGAAACTTTTAAAGACCTACAACGTGCTGAGGTACGAGGACAGTCACAGGTTTTTCTTTTCACTTTTAAAGAGTTTTAATTCAAGTTATAGAAGTAAAATCCACAGACTAACAGTTTTCCTCTTTTTTTCAGTCACATATCAGTCGTACCTCCAACTCCTCCTCCCCACATGGAGTTCAGGTTCCTGAGCAGATCTGGGGTAAAACACAGACATTTCTCAGCCTTGATTAGCTGTAAAAGTTTAAACTTTATAACCTGACAGACTTTTTTTATCTGCAGGATTTGAAATACTCCAAACCCTTCAACAAATCGATGGAGGATCTGATGGTTCCCGCAGTCGTTCAGCTTAAAAGTATGTTTTCTTAAAGAGTCAAAAGAATAAGAAAAAGTTTCTTTAATTAAACCGGATTTTCTTAATCTGGTTCTTAACCGCGTACCTTCATCCTGCTTTCTGATCAAGCTAAAAGCAGCACTTCCTCTGGATGTCATAATTACATAATCTTTCAAGCGAAAAGTACACAGAGTGATAACCACAGAGGAAATGTATTTGAGTTAGCGTGACAAATCAAACCGGCTCTTACCTCACTATCAGATCTGCATCAGCACAAGTTTCACAGGATGGTGAACTCCGATAGCATCAGCGGGTTGCTGCAAACTTTGCAAAACAAACAAACAGAAAAAAACCTGTGATTACTCAACAACTTTATCCACTTCAACTTTTTATTAGAGTTCATCACAGGAGTGGAAATTTTTTAGTACTCAGCTTATGCAATCGACAGGAAATTTCTGAATTTTTTTTTTTTTTAGTGCAAGATTTTTTGTTTTGAAGAAGCTTTTGGGAAACTTTACACTTAACTTTACGCTTACACTATATTCTCTTACTGCAGAGATTTCTACGTCTCAGACTGACCTGCTGAGAGTCGATGACGGACGCAGAAATTCAAGCTTCAGCACCCAGAAGAGTCTGTCTGACACTGACATCAACAAATCCAAACTGGTGAGTCAGCTGGAAAAGAAAGCAGAGATATCTCAGTTTACCAAAACGCTGAAAGTCTCACTCTAAGAGGGCTGCTGCGAACTTATTTAGGCTGAACTGATACTGATGATGATATGAATAATCAGAAGTTACCAAAGCAGAGAAGGAACCTCTGAGAACATTTACTGATCTCTGCTGGTGATGAGGGGAACAACACTGAGGACATACCTCTTTTTTCTCAGCTCTTTAAAGTCCCCAGTCTTCCAAACCTGTTCAAGAAAAACAAAGACAGTGACCACGAGGGTTCGTCCACGGGAGCAGAAGAAGAGACGTCCGGCGGTTCTGAATACTCAGGAGGACAGAGAGTGAGTTAGAAAACCAAAATCCAGGGATCGTCCTGTGAGAGCTAAGATTGTTCTCGCCCCGCTCCACCTGTTTATCACCGACTCTGATGTTAAAGCGTGTCGTCTTCTCCTCCTCAGGGCAGCATCAGCAGCCTGTTTGAGAACGTCAGCATCTCAGGAGAGCTGGAGCTCGCTCTGAACTACAACAGCAAGTCCTCCTGTCTGGAAATCACAGTCAGCGCCTGCAGGAACCTCACCTACGGAAACGCCAAGAAGAAGAAGTGTCACCCGTAAGACTTTTGTCTCATACATGTCTATAAAACTCAGTGCTGATGCGTGATTCTTCCTGAAACTTCATCCTCCTCCTGCGCTTATTTCTCCGTGCAGATTTGTCAAACTCTGTGTGCTGCCAGAAAAGAGCGGCAAAATGAAGACAGCAGTCAAGAGATACACGACAGATCCGGTTTTTAATGAAGTTCTCAAGGTAAAAGGACTGACTTCATTTCTATCAGCTGTTTATGAAGCTGTTTCGACAATAACAGAGCAGAAGATACAAAAAATATACAAACTGCCTTAAATCTCATAAATTTGCAAGTCTAATTCTGTTAAATTACGACTTTATTGTTGTAAATTTGGGACATTTTATTCTCATAAAATTTGATTTAACTTCTTGTGATTCTGAGTTTATCCCTTCACATATTCATGACTTTATTTTTGGATCTCAGTCAAGCTGTGATTTCCAAACCAAACCCGCTGACACTCAGCTTCTCTCTGCCGTCTTAGTTTCACGCTTGACTTCAAAATTCACGTTTTTTTTCTCCTTGTTCTGACAGTATCACATAGAGCGCCCCCTGCTGTTCGGAAAGAGACTGCAGGCCTCCGTTTGGCATTCAGGGACTCTGAAGAGGAAGGTGTTTCTCGGCGAGGTCCTGATCCCTCTGGACGGCTGGAGGTTCGAGGACAAGATCGCCCAGCGCTTCAACTGGTACCCGCTCTGTCCAAAGGTAAACATCAGAGAAATGATCAGAGGTTGGCCGTCCGTTTTCTTAAATACTCGACCCCAGCCAAGCTAAGGTTAGTGAGGCAAACTAAAGGCCTGCTGTAGCTTCACATGACCCCACAGAGTCTTCTCGTCTTACTCTCATAAAACACTAAATAATTTCCACAAATTTGAGGTTTTTGACCAACAGAAGAAAAAGAAAAAAAGGTGACAGAAAAAGGAAACTGAGTGTGACTGTGTGACTGTTTTTTCTCAGACTGAGAGTCCAGAAGAGGGCGCTGTGGAGCAGGACTAAGGAGGAAAACCAGGGTGAGCTTCTGCAGGTTTCCTCACTCAAACATCACCTGATCATGCGATGTTTCATCATCATGTTTGTTGGCGTCCAGCGATGAATACAAAGATAAAAATTAATATTGACCTTCCATATCGTGATAGATGGTAGGTGTGGTTTTAAGGTGGATTACTGGGTCAGGGATGTGTCACATCACATGTCAGAACCAGTTCAAGAGTGTGGACTTTGTCCCGGCAGCCTTCACGGTTCTCTTGAGGTCCAGCGCCTCTTTTGTAAACCTCAGACCTCTTACTGAGGTGAACCCTGCGCCTCATGACCATGAGAACCTCCCTGTCCTTATCAAAAGTGTCAAACACCTTCCCATAAGTGCAAACATCGGTCACATCACCTGCATCACAGAGTCAATAAACGTGTCATTGTGGCGCTGAGAGTCTCTTTGTGCGAGTGTATGGGAGCCTGCAGGCCTGTCAGGTGTGTAGTGTGTGTTCTGGTGTGTGTTTATGAATGCTGGAGTGTTTAATAGGCACGGCTGTGTGTTGATTTTGCTTTTGTGTGTGTTGTGTTCAGGTGTCTGATCCTGAAGGTCGGCTGAAAGCTCATCCAGATGACGCCTGTTTGTGAGGTGGACCACGGTGGGAATCTGGATCTCTGAGACCATACCCCCTCCTGCTCTGCTGAAGGACTCCTGATAGAGGTTCACTGTCCAGTACATGAAAAATAAAGTCATAGTCTGGTATTATTATGAGATTATGAACAGTGACCGTCCTCTTCTAACACACTTTAATATAATATGTAAATAATATAAACAGAGTTAAAATAAAGAAATAGGTGTGTTTGTGTATTTACTGTGAACATGAATGTGATGTATTAATTTATTGTATTGCAATAATCATATTTATCAATAAAGTATTTTGAATAGACTCCTCATTCTCATTAACACTAATTCTGTCCTCCTGTATTTCTCTCGAGGAACTGAGCGCTGCGTAAACATGTGACCTACAAGACAGACAGAACTGAGTCAGGTGATGCCAGAAATAGACACTAGATGGCGCCCAAAGACTAAAGGTGTTAGAGTTAAAGCAGCTTTTGTCTATACTGTGTTTGAACTTGTGAGTGAATCAATCAATCTTTATTTATTTATACAGAGTCAAGTCACACGTGTTCTCCCAAGATGCTTCACCAAAAGGCCAGACTCTATTCACAAAGACCTGATGTAGAAACAGGATCAGAGTGAGCCCCCATCCTCAAAGATCAGACCCCCTCCAATATTTAGATCTTCCACACTTTACAGCATCTATCAGGTTACAGAGGAGAGGAAGAACAGGCAGAAACCTCGAGCAGAACCAGACTGATGTTAGGTTTATAGAGGGAGATGGTCCAGACCTTATCTTTTAGTTTACATCTGTAGTTTCTCTCTTTTTGTTTTCGCTGACTGAACATTTCTGGTATTTCTCAGTTTTGTATGGTCAGTGTTTCTCGTAGGCGTGTCCGGTCACATGCAGCTGAACATCCGTGCAGATGTGAAGACTGGGAAAGACGTCGGGCCGATGTTTCTGTGAAATGAAATCTGGAGACACACCCGGCAGTCACAGGAAGTGGTTTGAGGAGTTTCAGAATGAGCTGCTGAGGCTGCCAGACTCTCCAGCGTTTCCTCATCTCCTCCACAATGAAGTCTTTCTAGTCTCTGAGTGAGCAGCGTGTGAAAGTCACGCTCAGTCTCTGGTTTCATTGTGCCGGGAAGAAAAAAAAGAAGAAGAGGGTTAAAAAAAAAGGAAAAGTAACATCGCTGTGAAAGGAGACGGTGATGTCACTGACCTGGATTTCTCTTTTGACCTGGTCTTCTCCGTGGTCACCATGGAAACCAGGGCTGGATGTACGACAAGTGTCCTGACGTCAGCCTCCTCAGATGGGAAGTGATGAAGGTTAAAGGTTTTGGATGTCCATCTGTGATTTCTGGAGTGAAAATAATGGGTCCTAAATGTTCGATTCTGCTCTGACTGATTTAAACCTTTTTTTCTCAGATCCTCCACCGTCATGTGTTTCCATCTCCAGGTTTGGTGGACTCAGTGGTGATGCTACAAGCTGGTTAACCTGTGGAAGTATAAACTGGACTTGATTGAAGGTCACCTGTACGTTGAAGCAGGTGAGTGACTTATTTCTCTTGTCCTGAATCTAAAACCACTAAAATAGGAGATGAAATCATGAGTTTTTTTCTTCATGTTGAACATTTTAGCTCTTGGTATTTTTTCTGGCTGTAATCACTGCGAGTGATCGTCAGGAGCAAACAATGATTATGAAGCGGTTTGCAAAAAACATGAAACTTTTGAACTTTTGGATTTAAACTCTAAAACGTCGTTTGTTGTGAAGTTCACTCATTCAGTCAGTCTTTGTATTTCAGAGGATGAAGAGATCACCGATCACCTTTACAAGATTTTCTCCCTGAGGAACATGAACATTCAAAATAAAAGTAAATAAAAGGGAAACACTTTATATTAAGGTTCTTGTAATGAGCATTAATAAACAGTGAAGGTTCCTATTAAACACATATAAGTGTTATTAAAACATAATAAACACATTTATTATTATCGCTCATAAGACACTTGGAACGTGGTAGTTATACACTTTTTGCTTGAAGTGACAAAGACGTGTTGTTGGCTGTAAACATAATACATACAGGTTTATAAAGATAGTCTGTAAGTGTCTTATAAACAATAATAAACATTAATTTTGCTTTTATTAATGATTATAAGTGTTTATAATCACATTTAAGGTCTTAAAAGTGCTTTATTAACTATTATTATGTATTAGGAGTTTCCCTCTAGCACATATTGAGTCTATGAAATAATAATTAAAAACACGCTGATGTATAATCATAGATTTTCTTTATTGCCAATATGTGTAACACCTCATTATAAAATCCTGCTCATATACAAAAGCAAGTGTAGCTCTGAGTTTTTCCATCATAGTGTCGCTACTTCAGGTCCACAGAGAGAGGAGAGAGAGACGTCGGTGCCGTCCTGAGTCTGAGTCCTGCTGTGACCCAGCTGAAACTAAGGAACCCTTTCATGGACTTCTCCTCAGTCCTGGTTCTCCCCTCAGTGGAGGTCTAACACCGTAAAGAGCGAGAGCTTTTCAAAGTGACGTCCAGACCGACTATCTGGGACTGAGCCTGCAGAGAGGAAGGCCACTTGGGAGGGTAGCAGCACAGAATGCTGGTCTTTGACAAAGCCGGACCCGACGCAGAACAGAGAAATAAAATACATGTAACTGAAGTGTCCCAGTCAACACAGTGCTCTGAAGGAAATCCTCAGCATACCATGAACCGCACTGCAAGAAGAAAAACTACTCAGAAGTACCGAAAAGGGTGAGCCGACTCCTCCTCTGATATTGGTTAAAAAAAAAACAAATAAAAAAAAAAACAATAATTTACAGTTACATCTCTTTAATTTAGTGATCTAGAGTAAAATGTCATGGAACAAAGGACTCCTGTTATTTTGGTCAATATATAAAACCTTTGAACATATTAAATCTTTTCATTCTCAGAAGGAGATAATAGCAAAAATATACAAACCAAGATGAAATACCCTTTTTAATGTCCCATATACAGTATAAATATCAAACTAGGCATGATTTTAAACTACTGTGGAGCAGTATTAAACAAATATACTGGAAAACAAACATATGATCCTGTTTACACTGTTTTCCCCTTTCTCTCCACAAACAACTATCCACGAGCTTCGATTACATCTCTGCGCACGGTATGAAGTAAAAATACAATTTGGCTAGTCCCGCTACTTCATCACACCTCTACGAAAAATCAGGATTTGGTCTGATCGAATTAAGACACATTCAAAAACACAAACAGGATCTGAAACACTAAAAGAGGAAAGTTTTGGCACTAAGTTTTCTTCAGCCGGATCTGCACACCGTCTCTCCGTGAGCCATGCTTTTTGCTGTGCTTATACTGCTCCAGTTTGATGTGCGACCGGCGTGTTTGACATGAGTTTGTGTGTTTGGGGGGGAGAGGGGGGAGATTTAAGGACCATTCAGAAAGGGAGGTGGGCTGAAGGCTGCTTATAAGCTCTCAAACTCATCGATCCTCTGCTTGGTGTTGCCCTGCCGGATCTGTCGCAGGGTCTTGTACTTGTCTCGGCCCTGTCGGACGTTGTCGCTGTGGAGGAAGTCCATGGGGGTGTTCTTGGACTCGTCACGTGCCAGAGCCAGCTCTGAGGTCAAAGCCTGAGGGGAGGAGAGGAGATGTTACAGTAAACCTCCAGAAATACCACAGATACTACAGCTCTGGTCTAAAATCTGTCACATCCTCACTCATCTCTGTCCCAAACAGGAAAAGCAGCCGATCCCAGAGTGAGTAAACCAGTAAATGCCTTCGAGCGAGGGTGTGAGACCGAGAAATGAGGGTGCATCTCATCGAACCTGTTCAGGTCGGTTTGAATAAACCCTGCTGCCTCTGCCTGTTTATTTTGGGTTTATGTGAAGAGAGCTGAGCTGTACGACCGTAAATAGAGCAAAGACGTTTGAGCTGAGCTGTCAGGAGCTGCTCTGATGTTTGCGTGTCATCACTCTGCCGCCATTATCACAGATATCACGTTAGGAGAGTCAGGTTACGTCAACAGCAGCAGAAGAACTCCTGATCAGGTTATTCAACATGTTGAGACACGGTCTGTGCATCATTGGGGAGCCGTCATGACTTCAGAACCGGATCAGGAACATCTGAGTCGACTGCTGCACCAGGTCAACCATTCACAGACCTGAATAACTCTGCAGTGATTCATTATGAATGTCTTAACATATGTTTGACCAAAGTGCAGACGAGTGGGCCTCTGTCGGCAGCTTAAGTGACACCCACGGTGAGCTGGAGGGGTCCAGAGGGCAGATCCAGAACCTCTGAAATCTGATTGGCCATCTTGGTGTCACTCTGGAGACTGTCTCTGCATTTAAAGAGTTTCTACTGTGATTAAACATCAGCTACCAGACCTGTCATCTGTCATGTGTGCAGGATGACCAGCTGACTTCTTATCATAGCACCCGAGCATGCTGGGCCAAATGTGAGGAAAAGTCTTGATGTCTTATCCTCGGCTGTAAAACCTTCAAACCTCCCAAACCTGGGTCAGGCCCAAAGTCTGGAGCAGCACGTAATCAGTCTGGTTCGCTCAGACCCACAGTGTGTAGGAATGAGCTTGAGATGATTGTTCATGTCTTTGTCTCATCTTGTACCTCTTCCTTTAAACCGCCTGCAAGTGTTTGAAAATGCTGCAGCGAAGCTCCTGACAAGATCACCCAAACGGTTCCACGTCACACCCGTCCTCAGATCTTTACTCTGGCTCCACATTCAATTCAGAATCAATTTAAATGACTTGTTCTTGTTTTCAGAGCTTTGCATGGACAAGCTCCAGCATATATCAGCTTACAGCTCCAGCAGGACTCTAAGATCCTCTGATCAGGGTCTGCTGGTTGTCCCCCAGACCAGACTATGAACTAAAGGAGACATTCGAGTATTTGAGTTTTTCGCTCCAACACTTTGGAACTCTCTCCCTCGAGAACTGAGGACCATGGACACTTTCAAAAAACAGTTGAAAACCTGTTTGTTTGCGCTCGCCTTTGTATAACCAGGACTTTGGCTACTCGTGTCCTTTTTGTTGATTTTTATGTCCTGTTGATTCACCGTTTTTAATTTGATGACTGTGAAGCACTTTGTGACAACTGTTCTAGAAAGGTGCTGTACATACAAAGTTTATTATTATCATTACTCTCTAAAGTCCTCACCTTCAGCTGTTTCTGCACGCGCTCGTTCTTCTCGGCCTCGGTGAGACGGTCCTCCTCGTTGCGGTGGTCGTTGATGCCCTCCATCTGTAAGTCAGCGCTGTGCGTGCTGGTGTTCTCCTCGCTGTCGCTGTTGTCGTCCATGTTGTCGTACGCTGGAGGAGGGGGAGGTGGTGGGGGTGTCGTCATCACCATGTGCAGCTCCTCCTTGGTCTTAGTCAGATCATCCTGGGCTTCCTTAGCCTGACGGAAACAGAGGAACGAAAGGTCAGCGAATCTACGAGTAAATTCATCTTTGGAGACAGAAACGTCAGAGAGCTTCGATCTGCAGGTTCAAGTTCTCACCCTCATCTGCCATGAGTCCGCCTCAGCCTCCTTCATCCTCTTGGCCTCCTCCAGCTGAGTGATCTTGGCGGTGAATTCTGAGAGTTCTGCGGCCTGAATGAACAAATCAAATAGAAGAAAACGTCTGAGTTATTTAACGTGATCAAACACAGTGAAGACAAAAACGGCGACTCAATCTTTTACGCTCCTTAAACAACAAATATATGTGAACAAACAGACGGCTTTAGAGTTAAAAAGTTTAAGTGTTTTTAGACAGTGAGAGTCAGACATGACGGCTGAAAGAGCCTTTGAAACGTCTCATCAGGTCTGCAGCTCATCCTCTTTTTTATTCGTTTATTTTGTGTTGATTTAAACTCTGCCGTGTTTTCGTCAGTTTTCATGACTCAGTCTGTTTGTTTTAGAGAAGAGCAGATATTTCTGCTCCTGTTAAAAACACTGACAGAATCAGACGTTATAAATATGCTGATAATCTAAAACTATCAGACCCTCTTGGTTTGATAAATCTGCTGAAATCACGACATTTTTTTTTTAAATGACTGAAAGGCAACTCAGGATGTAAAGAAGCTGCATTAGCCTCCAAACTCCAAAAGTATTAAACACTCAGCTTATAAAACAGGGACTGTATTGATTACAGGAGGAGAAAAATTAAAAAACCTCCCAAATGTTAAAGACAGACAGAAACTCGACCTGAAAGCTTCACGTAGGAGGAAGAGAGCCGCAGAGAACATCTCTTGGATGAGCTGAAAATCCTAAAAACAACCATCTGTGGAGGGTTGGTGTAATTTGTGAAAATAAAAACATTTATTTAAAATGTAGTCCTTCATGATTTAATGAACCTGAGAGCTCTGAAACCTGGACTAAAGTGAGCACAGAAACCTCCAGGTATGAAAGGAGCTTTGAGTGGAGCCTCCTGATGAAACCGGACTCTGTGGGTGTTGTGGTGCATTCCTTCGAACATCAGAACAATGTGAACCGCTTGTCTTTCAGCGCAGAAGCTCAGAGTTTAACTCTACACCTGCTGCAGCTGCTCACTGAGCTAACCTGCAGAGGAACACTGAACCCGCGGTGTGTGAAGTGTTCCTCTGGAGAAACATCTTCAGAAGGTGGACACGTCTGAGCGGACCTGCATGTCTTTTTCAGTCACAGACACTCGATGTGACTTAATCTGCTGTACAAGCCTCTTAATGGGGTTTAGGGCTGCAGGGTGTCACAGCAGGTGTTGGCAGCTGAGTGTGGTAAACACAGGTTTCCTCTCGTGTGGAAGAGGGAGCAGCTCGCTCATCCACACATGAGTGGATCTGCTCAGATACTCTGCAGCTGTGGGGTGTTGTCCAGTCGGACACAGAGCGGGTTTGTGTGGAGCTGCAGTATTCAGACTGTTCTGTACTTTGAACTACAGAACCGAACAGAACCTGCTGAAAGAGCCTGGAGATGGTTTCTTCTAAAGTAAATACAACAAGCAAAACCTGGTTTAAGGTGCCAGAACAACACCTCAGTGTCTGAACTACTGACCAGCTGCTCCTGACTCTTCTTCTGGTCCTCAGCCTGGCGAGCGAGCTCCTCTTTGGCCAGCAGGGCCGCCTGACGCTCCCCCTCCAGACGAGCCGCCTCCTCCTCGGCTTTCCTCCGCTCGTGATCCAGCAGCATGGCCCTCTGGAGCTGCTCCTGCAGGTCTGACATGAAGATGGCAGAGAGAGAAGATGTAAGAGACCATGGACGAGTATATTTACAGGAAACAGAAAAGCAGCGCGAACAGAACCCGGGTTCATGGATCAGTTTGAGTATGCTGACTCTGTTCTGAGACACCAGCACTGGACATTTTAGAGTTAAATAAATGAGAGTTTGACGGGGTCTGCTCCAATCAGGATCTGGTTGTACTTAACGTGTCAAAGAGGACCGGATCAAGTGCTTAAACGGAGAGTAATCCTCCAGCTAGGAGCAGCTAACAGCTAATTTTAAACTGACATATCCAAACAATGTGATCAGCCAACAGGATAAAACCACAGGAGCTCTGCTGACTGAAAACCTCTCTGTCTCTGCTGAAGTCCAGAGGAGATCCAGACGGTCTGCAGGCGGGGATCAGACTCCTAAAACTCTGAGTCTTCATCGTGACCCTGCCTCATACCGAGTTTCTTCACCTTTATAATGAATCTGATAAAAGTAGGACTTCTTTCTGAAGGTCTGATCCTGCTGACCCATCGACATGACAGAGTTTCAACAGAGGAGATGAATAAAGTTTTTTAAGAAACCTTTTCAGTCTTATATTGGTTCTTAATTTTGTCCTGTAATGATTTTAAAGGTTTTCTTTCTTTACATGTTTGTATTATTTCTAAAAAGAAGCTCCAACAGTCGTGTTATGATCCCATCAGTATCACTGCTCCATAAAATAAAGATTTTTAAGGTCAAACTTCAGAGAAACTTTATTTTCTCTCTTGTTTTGACCGTAGATGATCAGAAACAGCTCAAACTAGAATTTTCTTGAATCACCTAAAAGACTCTCCTCGGTTCTGTTTACTGAGCTTCGTCGTGTAAAAAACACTCATTTCACAGTTTCTCCTCCAGAGTGTTGACAAAACAAACCCAGCCTCTTTGCTCCGCTCTCACCTGCCTGCATGGACTTTGTGGATTTTCACAGGCCCCTCCCCTCTCCTCACCTTTCTCCGCCTTCTTGGTCTTCTCCTCGAAGTGTAAGAGCCTCATCATCAGGTCCTGCTTCTCCCGCTCCATCTGCTCCTTCTCCCTCTCGATGGCCTCCCTCTTCTTCTTCTCGTTCTCCAGATGGGCCCTGCAGATAAGACACGCCGCCGTGAGCCAACGGAGCAGGCTGACCGGGTTCGATACCCGCTGACAAACAGCAGTCAGGAGCCCACACACACTCTGTGATAACTTAGAAAAACAAACTGAATATTTCAGAGCAGTAACACGTTCTTCTTTGGTTGTTTGTCTCTTTAGAAGAGCATTAATTATTCCGTTCTGAGCTCAGAGATCAGTCGGCTGTGTTTGCTCTGATACCGAGCGTACACTTCATTAAAATAATCGTTTATTTATCGTTAAATAGTGAAAGAGTTTAAAGCAAACATCCCGTTTTCCCCTTCAGGGTTTACTAAAGTCCGCTCTGAACTCCGGAGGGTCTCATCCGAGTTTGACCTTCAGCCTCTCTCTCTATTTGAGCTTCTGTGTGTTCGAACCCTCACACTCTGACCGCTGAGGCCCGATGATCTGAAGGCTCTCCCGCTGCTTTTCACCGTCCTGTCTGCTCGCTGTTACATCACTGTGTTTGTACAGCTGTCCAGAGCAGACAGAGCGCTGGCAGCTGGAGCCGAGACCAGGCCTCCGCCACCGCCATCCATTCACTTTGATTCAGCCAATACAGGAAGCAGCTTTCACATACTGGAGGAGGAGGAGCGCTGTAATAACTCCTGCTGAACGGAGGTTTCACTTTACAGGCTGAGCTGCTGTTTGTTAGGATGGTGATGATGAAGGAAACAAGGTCAGAGGAAATGATCTGAAGGTCGGATCTACTTCCTCTAAACTACAGCGGATCCAGACTTCTTAAAGGTCTGCTGGTTCACCGACAAAAACAAGGAAATGTGGGAATCTAATGATTTTAAGCGTCTCTTTATCGTTTACAGACTAATTTATCGATGTGCTGTATCCTCACTCCGTCCTCATGTCTCGTGTTCCTCTTTAGCCCCATAAAACAACCATTTCAGTTATCTCTCTCCGGTCATGGTTTCAGCCTTACCTCTCCAGCTGTTTCTGCTGCTTCTCCTCCCGGGCCTGGGCCTTCATCTGCTGCACCTCGATCGTGTCCGGCTTGCGGCGCCGCATGTACAGCTCGTGGTTGCCCATGCACAGCTGCAGGATGCGCTTGTTGATGCGCAGTCTCGGTGCGTAAAAGACAAAGTCCTGCAGATTTCAGAGGAAAGAGAAATGAAGAGTTAGAGAGACCAGGAGCTGAATGAAGGCCGGGGTCGTCTGTCTGTCCTTTGTGCTCCTGCTGATAAAGAACAAAGACACCAGCAGAGGCTCCGAGCAGGTGCAGGAGACTTTCCATTCAGATTACTGCTCAGACCACAGCCCTGTAAAGACCGCATCACTTATAGTGAAAGGTGAAACAGCCTGGCCTGCACAGATAAGCTATACTTTCAGAGAGATTACACCAGAAACAGCAAACCCTGCAAAGATACCCTGTGTGCTAGATCCCTCTGAGAGGATGTCTAATGGTTCTCCTCTGAGCTGCACAGAAACATGAAACCAGCAGGTAGAAGAAGAGACGCCCTGAAACTTCATGTTCCTTGGTAGCTTTAATTCATCTGAAGAAGATAATGGGAGTTTTTCCACCATCACAGAGTGACGCGGAGCTGAAGAATCATTACTCACCGGAGACTTCTTATCGATGGGCTTGATGATGAACTTCTTATCGTTGAAGGAAATGTTTCTTATCTCACTCCAGGGGAAGCCAATCTTCGGGGTCAATCTGTCAACGTCACGACAAAGACGAAAACACTTTCAGCGATTTCACTTTTTACCAAATAAACATCCTAAAACATTGAAGAAGCAGTTCCTCAAGTGTCCACAAGAGGAGCTGCTGTGTCCTGGAACATCTTTCTTCATTGTTAACGACCCTGTGAGGCTGAACTTCTTCATATCAAACCTGACTACACTAAGGTTAATGGGTTAGCATTTTTGGGCGTAGCTGATTTAACTTAAAGGAAGTTGCATCATAGCCTTCTGCAGAACCGCCGACTCATCGCCTGTGAACTTGAACTTGGATGAATCTGGGGTGTGGCTCCACGCTTCGCTGTGCCAGACAGAGTGAACGGATGCCAGTCACATTCAGCGAAATACAGAGTAGCGCTGTAAACACTGGCGTAATCTAGAAAGGTGAAACTGTGCTGTGGAGCCGTACCGCCTGAACTGGAATTTCTCTGACTGACCCTGACACACGCCGGAGGAATTAGGAAACAATGTGGAAGTTATCTCAGAGGCCAAATATTTCTATCAGAGCGCGCCGAGTTATTGAGTCGAGCTCTATCAATGGATCCACGCCTGGAGAAGATACCAGTGCCATCATGCAGCGTACATCATTTTACTGAGAGTTTACAGAGACACAAACGAGAACTACGATCCCCAAAAATGATTCTGTATTTCATTCTGTAAACATGTGATTAATATCAGAGTTTAACTGTAATGATTCCTGAGGTTTCTGTATCTGCAGCTCAGGTAAAAGTTTTATTAAAATATGACCTAAAACTGCTGCAGTCTGACTTATTTCAGGACTTCACTGGTCTCTCAAAAACATGTTTATTTTCATCCGTTTATTAACAGACCTGCCTGCAGTCCTGTTTTATTCAAACTGTTATTCAGTTTTTACATTCAGTGTGTTATCTTTGCACTCATTTATTTACAAACCATCAAAATCTGTTTTATCTAAATTAAATCCAATCTTTTTTGTGTGAATAAAAGGTTAAATAGTTGGATGCGATCCCTAACTGGCACCCCTGTGTTTTCCTGCGACGGCTGCCTGGATGACCTTTCGTCTAAAACTCAACTCCAAAAATCTGTTTGTTTTTAATTTTCCACAGAGTTTCAGGTCACAAGGAGTTAAAGCAGCACCAGACAGAGCCTCAGCAAAGCCTCTGGCTGCACTGCTGCATTGTGGGCCGGCTGCCCTCATTGGAGACACAGCACTGTAGGTTAGCCTCGCATTCTTAAGTGCCGCACAGCTTGAAAAACCAGTCGGTGTAGCCATGGTTACAGCAGAGGGCACCGAGGAGGAGGAGGAGGAGGAGAGGCATTTCTCTGCTGATCCCAGGGAGCACATAAAGAGACAGACTCACACAAGGACACAGTTTGTGCTTTCACATTGTGTTGCCCTCTTTTGTCCGAGCTTTTGTGCCACTTTTACGATAAAATAAGGCCAAATAAGAGAGTGTCTGAGCGCTAACACAATGGCAGGAAAGTTATTCAACTATTTAGATTTCCTCTGAGATGATTCAAGAACAAGAATCAGCCAGGAAACCTTCAATTAGAGCCGCACTGTATCATTACTCTGTCCTCAACTCGCCGTGTTCATTTCTTCCACTGAGGCGGACAAAGTCGACCGACAGACGCTGGGAGGAGAGCGGGGAGAGCGCAGCCAGCTTAACATGAGAAGAGCTTCAACCTGGCAGAGAGAGAGAGAGAGAGAGAGAGCTGCAGGGATTTCCAGCTCAGGGTCAGTGACTGAGCGGAGAGTCACCTGGGATAAAGCGTTCCTCCGACACAGTCAGTGCTCTCCACTGCCAGCAGTCAGCCGCAGGAGGTCTCAGAGCTCATTTAGACAAATGGAGGGTGATTACCTCCCAGACTGTCCTGCCCTGTAAACAAAGTGGCCATCACCACCAACGCCGGGCCGGGCTGGATTCTGGTGACACCCTTTCACACGTTCTGAAAAGTGGGTTAGCCTCGAAGCGCGGCGCGAGACAAAGAAAAAAAAAAGAAACAAAGACCTGAAAAAACAGCTGATTTTGGCTGTAACTGTTCTAGAAATCATGTTTTATATATAATCGCTCTCTGTGATTTAAGAGGCAGTTTATCCTTCAGCAGAGCGAAGGGGAGTAATTGAACTTCAGAGAGAGAGAGTGAACAAAAGGTGTCCTACTTCTCTACAAAAGACCGACGAACGCTGAACATACGAGAGGACACGACTTCTCGGTGACGTTTGGACGACGGTTTCTAAAACCTCAAACTCTGAACACTGCAGCAGAGAATGAGAGTTACAGGAAGAGTGACAGGGATCCAAACTAACTCTTCATATTCAGACACTCCTCCTGTAGACCGGATCCATTTGGCCTTCATTGTTATTCCTGTCATACTGTCTGCAGAGGAGCAGTGATGACGTGCAGACGTGGACCTGGCTCAGCCAGTTTCACTCTGTGTCACATCTCTGCAGACTCTTAGAGAAGGAAAATAAAGACGGCTCTTACTTGTCGTCTTTCTCGTAAATGTTGAGTCCCAGAGCGTCTACTCCCAGCCACAGCTCCGTCCCCTTCTTATTCTTGATGTCAAAGTAGTTGACTCCGTACATTTCCAGGTCCTGAGCGATCTTCAGGTACTCCAGCATGGCGTCCTCTCTGCAGGAGCAAACAGGAAGAATAAAGTTGTTATTTTAATGTATTAATAAAATGCATTCTCTCTCTTCTGGAGGACACACTCACTTTAACATGCCGTTGTGCTCCTCGTGCCACACCTGGATCCTCTCCTCCCACTGCTCTCTGGAAAGCTTGTGCTGCTCCAGGACTCTGCAGAGACGGACAAGGTGGTGAGAAGCATGAAATCGGACGATGGTTTGATCAGTGCTTGTTAATTTTATTCTGCAGAGCTGAAATCCTTTTCTTTAGCATCTTTTAAACCCTTTTTTAAACTCCTAACTTCTCGTAACGTCTCCTTTGACACCTCTCTAAAGCTTCATCAGTCTCTTTTGTTTCGGAGGGTGTGGATAATTATGCAACGTTCCAGTAGAACAAGCTCCGTGTATCGCTCCATAAAATCTCTCCAACAAAGACCAACTCTTTAACTCTGACCTGTGCGGCAGCAGGCGCTCAGACAGCAGGTATCCGGGCCGGTGGACCTCTTTGTTGTAGTCTCCAAACTTGGCCTGGACAGAGTAGGAGGCCAGCAGCACGGCGGTCTCGGGTGGACAGTAGACCTCGTCGCTCAGGATGCTCTCCTTCACCTGCAGGAAGAAGAGCTTCTGGGTGATGTCCTGGATCAGCTCCTCGGAAACATCCTCCGGGAAGAACTTGGAGCGGAACTTGAACTGCAGCGGGTTCTCCTTCTTCACCTCCTGAGAGGAAACCTGAGGAGGAACGTTTGAGGAATTAATGAAGAAGATGAGCATGAAAAGGACTTCTTTGTTTCTCCAGCGCCAGTTTCAGTAAATATGTGACTACATCTACCTGGATTAGCATGAAATAAGGAAGGAAAACAGCTCGTCTGTCTGATTGTTAGGGATACATCTACAGTTTAAATGTGACAGTGGAAGTTTTATTAAGAGGAAATCATCAAAAACAAACAAAATACGACAAACTCAAATCTGAGAGCAGACATCTGTGAATAATCCACATTTTTAACCAAACAGACAAAATAAACCTCCTTTAAACTTCGATAATTCCTCATTGGAGGTAAAAACTATCAAACTAAATAAAACTTGATCGGTGTGAGTGTGAAGGAAACGGCTCTGCTCTTTCATTGGTGACCTGTCTTTACCAAAAACGGATCTTCCACCCTCATTTATCCTCCTCACTAACGTCGACCTGCAGGACGTGTTTACACAATTTCTCTCTTCCTCTCATTTCGAAACAGGAACCGGGCGCTCTCGATGGAGAGAATGGGGCCGCGAATATTCCAGTCTGAGCGAGTCTTTGTGCAGAAGAGCCGCGGCGCAGCGTCAGCACAGGGTCCAGTTTACCGCCGCTGACTGAGGCCAGAACAACCCTCGCTCGCTCTCTCTCTCTCTTCAGTGAGTTTTATTTCTCCTGCTCAGCTGAACTTGACTTCATCTTTGCCACCGTCTTTTGTATTGATAGTTCAGTTCAGTTTTCTGAGCCTTCTTGAGTTTTAATTCTAAGTTTTATATTTTAAACAACATTTACTCAGATTTACAGAGGTGTGAATCTAGGTAAATGTTGTCTATGATCTCTCTGGTTTAGTGTATTTTCCACCTTGGTTACATTCCTCTGGTCTTTGGTCTCCACAGATAAGACCAGTTTCAATGTGACCGCCTCAGAACCAGGGTTAGTAAAGGTACGGGGACCTGGGCAGTTCTGGTTCACTAAGAGTTCACACCTCCAGCTGATTCCATGCAGGCCTGCACAGATACCGAACACGAGTATGAGAGTCTACTGTAATCCTGTGGTCACTCATTGACTGGAAGGCAAACACTGGAGCTCTGTGTACCCACTCCTTTCAAAGAATCCAGCCTCGCTCTCTTTTGTTCGGAGAGTTCAGCTCCTCAGGGAAAAGTCGGGACAAACTTCTGACCCAGAGTGAGCGGACTGTGTCGGTATGCAGGTGATAGGTGTGGTGATCTGACTCAGTGGAGAGGAAATATCTGAAAACTTGATTTCTCTTGTTGTCCTGACCTCAGACTCTCAGTCAAGTCCGTATTATGAACCAGAACCAGAACCAGAACCTTTGGGCCGTTTCTTACCTTCTTGTCCAGTTTCAGCCAAGTGTTGTAGCCTTTGTTGTCCACGTACTGAAGTCCAAAGTACCAGACCTCACGTAGGCCGATAGTTTTCACCACCTGAGGAGAGAAAAAGAAGCTTTAAAACACAATAAAACTGAATAAAGTTTTTACTTTTATTTTATAGTTGAATCAGTTTTTCTCTTAACGGTTAAAATCACGACTCTCTGAGCTCAAACGTAGAAACTTGGACCTAAAGATGAACTCCTGCAGCTGCTAATCTGGTTCATCTTATTCTCCGTCTTCTTCTTCATGGACTGAACGCGGTGACAAACCGGATTTTCTCAGAACGGGCTCGTCTGTTTTCAGTGGAAGTGTTAAACAGAGAGAAGAGTTCAGACGAACAGACTCACAATGAGCGTGGTCTAGACCTGCTCTTTTTCTGTGGAAAGTGTCTTGGGATGACGACTGTTGTGAACTGGCGCTTTATAAATAAGATTTGATTGATTGACTGAGACTACATGACTAAAAACCTGCTCGTCTGATAAATCCAGGAATCAGATGATGATAAAAACGAAGGTTCAGACGCTCACACTGGAAACATTCATGATATCATCGTTTCCCAAAATCACAGTCGGGTTTCCTCCTGCAGGACAAACACATTTAGAGGCTCTGAAGGAACTGGCAGAGGTTTGAGTGTCTCACCTGAAGGTGGCACACTCAGGTACCAGATTAATCTCCTTATAGTCTTACACATTAACAGGTGAGAGGAGCTCCTGAACTATCGAACTCCTGCCAGGACCGACCGAGAACATCAGGTCTCTGTGATCAGGTCTGATTCAGAGTGTTTTCTCCAAAGTCTCTCCGCTCACATCTGTCTGTCTGCTTCGATACGTCTGAGCACAGCAGAACCGCTCTTTCACAGAGTGGTCCTATTGTCTGAGCGGTGAGGGGGAGTGATACAGGAGAACCAGGGCGTGCTGCACGACCAGCATCCTGTCTCCGGCTGCAGGAACAGAGCGGGAACGCTCCAGCGGGCAGAGAGGGTCATAGTCTGCTGCGGTTTATTAATCTGTCACTTTCTGCTGAAATATTCACATCAGTCACGGTTACAGCCTGACTTTAATTTCAGACGCTCTGGAAACAAGTTTTACATCAACCGTTTGATTCACTTTTTTTTACTCAGCAGGAGCAGAAAGTGGAAATGCAGTTTTAATTTTTCCACTGACTCCTGGCAGGACAGAAAAGTCCACCTCCCCGGCTCTTAACGGTCCTCAGAGAGTCGTTTTCCACCAGCTCTGTGCAGGATGGAGTTCATGCTGTTTTTGTGCATGTGTGCAAACTTCAGTGAGACTGTCCCAGAGACGGGTCCTTTCTTAACGCATCGCTGCCAGACTCCCCGCCCAGTCTCCAGGTGAGAGACAAATCTGAATAAACTCCCAGAAACGTCTCTGAGTGGACGAGAAAAAACACGGGACAGCACGAGCGGACTGCTGTGATTCAGAGAGGTTCTCTGATGGACTGTGTCTGCAGCGAGAGAAAGAGGGGCCTGAAACGAGAGAAGTGGTCAGGCGGCGTCTAACCTGGAGCGAAAGTCAGAAAACAATCACCTCTTTCATGACGGCGTTTCCTTTTTTTCTTTGCAGAGAAGCAGCAAACAGAGCGGGCAGATATTTTCATAACCTGCTGCTACAAACATCCAAAAATCTACTTCAGCTGACTGAAAGACCAACTCCATCTGCAACATGATCATTAAAAGCTGCTGAAAATAAAACGGTTCATTAAAGGAGGATTAAATCTGACTGTGATCTGTCAGGTAAACTCCACAAAAGAGGCGCAAGAATCCTCTAAGTGAGAGAAAAGCGTCCAAATAAACCTGACTCAGTTCAGAGGTGTCGTGTGACGCAGACTTGAGAGTTTTCAACCATTTAAGGTCGTTTCCAGAGTAGCTGAGCTCAGCGCTTTGCTGATGATGTGATCTAAACGCTCGGAAAGGAAAAACTATCCTCTGATATTTTTGAGATCTTCGGCCAAAACTCTTTTTACAAGCTGCTGCAGACACACATCTGCTCGTTTTGACAATTATTAAAAAGCTGTTAGCTCAGTCAAACATTCGCAGAGAGGTCAAAGTTTCTCCACGCCGCCGTCATCATCGCCCTCCTCAGCCTGGTTTGATGTCAGAGGAGCAGACGCTGAGCGTGACTCGAGCGTGCAGACGGTCTCGCGTTACAGCGACCTGACTGAGAGTGAAAGTCTGTGAGGCTGGTTTACGGGCGATCGGGCCCTGCGGTGAGAGAGAGGAATGCCACAGGGCTGAAACAGCATGACACATTACTGCATCCCCTCTGAGGAAGAGGAGGAGGGGTCTGACCAGGCGGGCCCCAAACAGGGACCAGGACAAAGATGGAGGTGTTCATGGTGGTGGTGTGGGGGAGCGGAGGGGAATTACTGCGAGACCACACAGTGTGAGGAGACGCCGTTAAAACGCTGAAACCCTCCTGACTGTGGCTCTGGGTGTGTAAGTGGACCAGTTTCATATCTTGACACCTGTCAGACGGACTATTTGGACCCGGTTCAAGACATTGCTGAGCTGTTAGAAATGTTTCTGTGATTGTCAGCTGTTCAGCTCAGATCCTCCTCCTGGAGCAGCTTTTCAGAGAGCAGCCGTCCGTCACATGGAAGTGAAACTGTTGGAGGGCGTGACGGGGAGTGGCAGGAGTTTTCTCTCAGAGCCGCGTGAAGGGCTATGATCAGGGCTGACCACACGGGACACACCAGGGCCTCACGCTCGCCTCGGAAATGAGCTCAGAGTCTGTTAGTCAGCGTTTCCACAGAAGCTGCTGCTGCTGCTGAAGACTCTGAAGGAGGAGCTGAAGACCTCGTTTCTAACCCTGTGAAGACCCCCAGCTGCTCGTAAAGACCCTCACTGAAGTCTCTAAATCAGAGTCCTGGACCCTCTCTGACTCCAGACCAGACCGAGCCTCGCTAACACAGAGAAATCGTCTCACCGTTACCATGACAACAAACTTTCTTTTCAACAACGAAAAAAAGTTTTGTGACTCAAATGTTCCCTGACATGAAGGGTGAATCCCCTGACGTGCACCCACACACACACACACACACACACACACACACACACACACACACACACACACACACTGACACACACACACACACACACACACTTGCCGTTGAAAAACGAGTTCTACAGGAAGTGGCTAAAACAATGCCTTTCCTCCTGCTGCCTCAGAGGAGCGAATGAACCGTCAGCTACATTCAGAGTTCGCAGACCGAGCTTCACAATGGCGTCTTTTTATAACAGGAGCTCATTTAAACGATGACCTCATCACGCCATGCTCCCACTTATTACATCACCACATCAGCTGTTTGATAGACGAGCCCAGAAGAAGAGATTTAACGGTCAGCTGAAGCTCCTGAGACGATCTTAAGTGACCCTGAGGGATCCCACAGATCCAGGAGTCAATGTGGGTCATCTTCAGACCGGGTAACCAGACAGAGCCGTGACATCAGGATCAGAGGAGACAATCATATCAGCAGATAACCATGAGAGGAATCTGTCTGTTTGCATTAAGGCAGCCGCACCTTTACCTCTGAGCACACACACACACACACACACACACACACACATACACACACACACTCTCTGTGTAACCTCCTCACACACACACACCCACTCAGGTGTTTCTGAAACTTCTCAGCTCGTTTATAATCAATCTAGAGTCTGGATCTCGTCAGGGAGACAGATGCTGATACAGGACTCTCAGAGAACCTGTAATCTGGTCTGCAGCAGACCTTTTCAGACCTGGACCAGAGACTTTGGGGGACCTTTAGGGGACTGATAATGAGGACGGACACTGGTCAGCTGATGATGAAGATAACGAGGGTTTTAGAAGTTAGTGAAAAGTTTCTCATCATCGGTCAAATTAACTCTGTTATACCACCTACTGAAGAGTTAGGGTTCGAATAGGGCTGGGCGATATGGAGAAAGATTATCACGATGTATTATTTTCATATCAGCTGATATCGATCAATATCAGGATATAAAAATCTAACAGTGTTTATTGGTCTTATGTCTTTTCCAACACAATAATCTCCTGCATCTGTGAGGTCTTTGTGTCTCTTTGACGTTTTGTCGTAAGGCGTCGCTCTAGAGAAAGCCGACTGAATGGTCGTCTGTTTCAGCTCCTCGCTCCTCTCGGGGTTTGTAACCTTTTGCGTTGCGCGTGCTCTGCGGCGTGGCGCCGCTTCAGGTGGTGAAAAAGATTTGAGGTATTCCCCGACTTTGTGAGAACATGTACTCGACATAATTTACAGTCCACATTACTCTGCTTCATGTCCGACCTCCAAAAACCAAAATACCTCCACACCACCGACGTTTTCCTAACGCCAGTGTTGTGGTTGACATTGATGTGGTCATCTGTTGAGCCTTCATGGTCATTTCTGTCGGGGGTAGCACTCATTTTCTTTGTTTCTCACCAACAGTGCTGTCGGCTTCACCTGTTAAAGTGCTATGGTTGGGTGGAGCTGCTGTCTGCTACGACTTTGCAGTTGGTTGATACTTGGTTCTAATTCAGAACATGATTGGTTCAGAGCGGAGAAACTCCCCTTTTCATTGGCTGTTCGTATAGTCGACCAAAACACGGCAGAACGCCAACTATCGAAAAGCATATTGACCATGTTTTATATCAATATTGAGGGAAATTAATTTTCGATATATATCATTATCGTTTTATCGTCCAGTCCTCAGAGAAACTGTCTTTAAACGGACAGGAAGTTGAAACTTCTTGAATGTTTTTCTGTTAAAACTTCCACTGATCGATTCTTCACAGTAAAAATATTCAGAGAGATGATTTCCACTTGTCAATCATCTTCTCTTCATTCATTGATAAGGCGTTGTGAACTGTACCTGGTCAAACAGCTGCTTGCCGGTGGTGCTGGGCTGGATGGCGAACTCCAGCTCAGCGTCCATGGTGGTGACGCGAACATTGACCTGCAGAGAGAGAGAGAGGGGAAAAAACAGGCGGTCAGAGTCTGACCCAGTCAAACAGAAAAACAGAGAGGTTTCTCATAGGTGAAGTGAGATTGCAGAGCACTGCTTTAGTGTGTGTGTGTGTGTGTGTGTGAGTGTGTGTTTTGGTTAGGGGGCGTATTTGCAGAGTAAACACACGGGGTCATGTGTCTATCTCTGCTCCCTCAGAGCTCACAGTCCTGATTCAAACTCAGGAAGAACTTATTTTCAGAAGGACACAGATCTTCGCTCACGTCGGCTGCACAGAGGAGACCGAGGCCGACGGTCTGGATCCTCTACCTGAACACAGTCAGGTCAACACGGGCCTGTTTTCACTCCCGTTCTCAGAAAAAAGGGCATGTCTTTGAGCGCCTGGGTTAATGATTGATCAGACTTGCCTGTGTGTACAAACAGAGGTGGTCCATCTGAGCGAAACCTGCTTTATAATCAGAGAAGAATACGTCCTCTTACAGGGATCCACCCCGCTGATGATCAACCTGCCATTTCTAAACCTTCACAAGACAAATAATGAGCGCTGACGTCAGCCCGGTCTGCGCCCACAATGGAGAGAAACAATCATCCGTGTTGTTCATCTGGATCATCATCATCAGTAAATGAATTTCACAAACATCTACAATAGCTGCTCTGAGGGAACGCACACAGATGACCTTCCTGTCCGTGGGCCACGATGATGTCAGAGGTCCCGAGTATTTGCGGGGGTTACGGAAAGGCCCCGCCTCTCTGAGTGTTGACCAAACATATTAGAGCTTAATGAAAAGGACACAAAGAGGTGAGAGGACGCCGAGGGATGAGAGAGCGACACATCTGTCATCTCCGGCCTTTTGTCATCCGTGCTGAGAGGCTCAGCGGTGAACGAACTCTGGAAAAGGACGTCTGGATGCAGCAGAGATGATCTGGTGACTCAGACTGTCCCTCTGAGGATACACCGCTGAGCCGCCGGCGAACAAACGGACTGACTTACAGGCTTTAAGACCACAGGGGAGACAAATCCAATCACAGCGCTGCACAGAGAGCGCCTCACTGCTGCGCCGTCCAGGATGTTGTCAGAAGCCACCAGTCTAGACGGTGGATATTCAAGGATGATGCTCCTTTTTAACCAAGTCTTTACTACGACCAGTGGACTTAATCTGTGAGTCAGTGGGTGGGGGGGCTTCTCAAAAACCAGTGCAGCACTCGGGGATCAGGTTTGCAGCTCTGTCCCACAATCCCACATGTGCAAACAATTTCAAAGTTTCTAAACAAACAAGAAAACTTACAGCAGCCTCAAGTCAGAGCTAAAATCAAGAGAGGAAGGAGGAGGAGGAGGAGGAGGAGGAGGGGAACACTGTATTAACTCTACACAGTCAAACAAAGATCCCCTTTCAGCTGCAGAGCCCCGGCAGCCCCTCGCTATCATCATCCACATTCTCGTGAAGCCAAACGACCAAAAAACAGAAAAACAGGTGATCAGAGATGAGATCCTCTGTTCCTGAAAGTCCTCCTGGATCCTTCAGAGTCTATTTAGAGCTACAGAAACTAAAACACAGACTGGAATAAATGAATGTGTCGAGCCGAGAGAGTGATATCTGATCCTTCAACGGTAACTCACAATAAACTGAGCCGTTCACAGGAAAGAAAACATGACACACACACACACACATGTGCTAAAAATAAATCAGGCAGAGACCCAAAGTTCCACAACGAGCGACTTCAGTCAGAGGAAAGTTCAGACGCTCAGACTGAGCGAGTAAAAAACCGCAGCTGCAACCGTCATCTCAGTCACAAGTGACTCAACCCTGCGAGCTTCAGGAGATCTCACTCACTCAGAGTTTTCACCAGAACTTCCAGAATGATCCTTCAACAGTCACTAATGACATCTTAATGTCATCACAGAGCCGATATCACAGTTATCTGTCCGATAAAGAACAGCAGCTCTGATCTAAAACAGGAAAACAGCTGATCCTGTTTCCATAGAAACTCTGCTCTGATGTTTCTTCAACCCAAACGTCCCTCATGGTAAAATCTTTCACTAAATGTCTTTTTTTTTCGTTTATTTACTTTATTGTTGATTTATCGGCCTGTTATTATTATCGGTATCAGCCATTAAAAAACTGTAATCAGTCAGTCACTTGTTGTACAGATGGAGCTTCACGTCTGCACGGAAACTGCTCATTGCTGACCTTCAAAAACCGTCAAGATCTCAGCGAGGAGATTTGAGCACAAAAAACTCATCAACAGTCGACTTTAAAGTTCACTCAGTGATTTATGTGAGAGATCAGGATTGTTGTGATTCAGCGCTATAGAAAAAAAAAGGATTAATTGATTGATAGATTGACGTACCATCCTGTGAATTGATCAATCAAACCATTACTCAGGAATCTCAAACATCTACAAACACTAAAGTTTAAGTACTCGCCGCCCCGCCTCACCCTGCTCCATATAATCATAAACTCCATTCAGACGCCTCAGTGCAGAGGTCAAGGAGCTGTTCAGGGTCAGGGTGAAGAAGAAACGAGGTGGTCGTCAGCTCGGCGGGGAAACTCTGAAAGGACTTTTACAAGAGTCTCTTTTCTCACTGGACAATCACGGTTTTTCACCGCCGCTGTCCGACCATGAGTCTGAGAAAGTTCTGGACTCTCTCAACAATAAAGACAGGTGACTGAGACAGTTTCTGGATTATGAATCAGTCCTCGTGGGCGTTCCAGGATTGAGTAATGGATTATTTAAAAGAACAAAAGGACTGGACCTGAAGAGGACACACCCATCCATGTTGATCGAGGCCACGCCTTACATTTACGTTTGTGTCACTGGGCTGTGACGGCGAGGGAACAGGATTCTGGGAGAGTCCGAGGAGGACTATCGTTTACCTCTGACAATGTGTCATTCAGATATGTGAAACATGAGTCACTCGAGTGCCGATACAAGACTGTCACTGCTGCTTGGACCGGGTCCAGAGCTCCTCTCTGTTCAGACCGTTTCAATCAAATCCTGAAACTCTTCATGACGAGTTTTTAACCTTCAGGTTTAGAGCAAGAAAAAAAACTCAGGAGGGGGAATTTGACCAGAACCAGAGAGAGGCGGACGGCCAGACGTGTGCTGGAGTAAACATCAGTATATAAACATGATAATTAGTTTTATCTATAAAGAGCTGCTGCTTTTTTTTAGAGTTTATTTAAGGTTTACAGGAATTCAACTAAATCCTCTTCAAACAGAAACCAAAACTTTTCTGTTCGAGTCGAAAAGATAAAAATCTGTTTCAGTTTGGAGGCTTTTATGATCAACTGGAGACAAACAACGTGTCACCCTATCAAAATAATGGCCTAAGTCGCTTTTTGACCACAATGAGTTTTTCTTTAAAAAATGACTTTTTCATCAAAAAATGAGGATCATGCCATGATCCTTTTAACTTAGGATTTAGGTGATTTTACCAGAGCTGGCCAGCATTATCAAAAAATGACAAAGGCCATTATTTGGTGTATAAGAAACACTCATCAGTTATATCCCTGAGTTACACATGTGTCTGTTTCGATGGTAAGTTTGGACATTAAACTATAAATATAATTTATGAAACTCTTATTTGAATATCTCTTTACTGCTGAAAGTGAAACTCTGTCTCTGAAGGATTCATATGAGTGTGGGGAGTTTTCTGGTCGAGTCAGCATTAAAAAAAAACCCAGACTTCTGACTGATTCTGCTGCTTCACTGTAAAAATGATCATGGTTAGAACCGTCATTAACTCGTTAACTCAGACATCAAATCCTGATTTCAACAGTCCGACATCATCCTCTAAAACTCGGTTCTGTGGCGTCTGGACCGTCGTCTGACTGGACTCTGTGTGCCGCTGCTATCACACAGTAATGATGTCATTTCCACGGCGACGCTCATGACAACCATGTGGCCGCTCCAAACAAACAGACAAACACATTTTATGACACTGACCGGAGCTTTAGTCAGAGCACACAGCCGCTCTGTTTCACCACAACCTGTCAGCCTGGATCTGAGGAGGGATCCAGATCTCTGAACTCTCAGGTCCGTTTGTGTCACTTTTAATCATTTAAAATCAACATACATGAACATTTCTGGACATCCTGTCTACTTCTTTGGGTCAAACTCAGAGATAGAAACAGCTTTATCACTGATTTCCATGAATAACTAACTCATTCCTGCTCTCTTTTCCTCTGCAGGTGTAAAAACACAGACTGCAACGCCAGAAATTTCCAACATGGGAGGAACGGGAGGGACATGTGCCATGTGCAAATGTACAGTATGTAATAGCTGGGGTGTGGCAAAGGGAGGCAGGAGTAATTGAGGACTAAAACTTGTTCATATGTCAGACACTTTGATTAGATTATGACGAGGATTTAGTCTTTTTCTTCTTCTTTACTTCACTGCTTTATAATTTGGTACCAAAGTACCGACTGAAGCCCGGGGTTAGGAGGGACGCACCCCCAAATTTAAGACTGAGAGAAACCTGTACTCATCCCAGATAAACAGGATCGTTTCTGAGTCAGAACCTGGAGCAGGATGATCTCAGAGATGAGGATCCTGTGACTGTGAACCAAACTGAACATAGAAATGACACTGGAACATATGAGACACCCCCAGGACATGAGAGCATGTGATTTTAGCGACACACTCATCTGCTGAGAAATACTCAGTTCAGGGTTCAACCGTCTCCTCCTGGTTCTGGTTCAGTCCACTCTGGTGTTCTGGTTCACTTTAAACCCTTTAGTGTCAGGAGTCCTGGTTTAGTGGTCTGTCAGGAAACTCTCTCTGTCTGTTAGAGATTTTATCCCTTCAGACAAAATCACACCGTTTTCTGCCAAACATAAATTATCACCTCTCAGACACAACAGATCTGCTGTATGTTCACTCAATGACTGACACTCTATTCTATTTCCTCTTAAAGCAAACACCACCAACAGACAGCTGACTTCACCTCCATATGAGAATTAAACCAAAAATAACATTAATGTGAGGAAACAGACTAAACAGATTAACCTGTCACAGTCTAAAACACCCAGAGGTCAAAGAAAATGTCTGTAATAAACTGTAACTTACCGCTTTGGGCATTTTTCTGTCCTTGTCCTTGCTCTGTGCGAGGAGTAGAAGAAGAAGAAGAGTGTGAGTAAAAGAGGAGATGTGTGAGTCTGATCTTCTTCTCTCTGAACTTTCCTGAAGAGACTGAAAGAAGAGAAACGAGTTTGAGAGTCTGAGGCGCTGTTACTTAAACCCGGACCGAGAGGGGACACACACTCATCTGAATGAATCACCGCATCAGGATCCAAGTTAACAGAGGAGGAACAGGAACAGACAGGAAGTGAGGCAGTCACAACTTCACAATAAAAGCACCATTCAAGTTTATTTCTAATGGTCTGTTTTTAAGTTTTAAAACCTGTGACCAACCATCTCTAATTCATGCGAAATTTACTTAACTTTTAAAGAGTTAAATATTAATAGATTTAGGAGGTTAAACTTGAGGAAATTTAATCTAGAGCAACAGCAAAACCATATTCATTATTCATATTTATTTCACTATTTTGTCTTGTATATAGTGTACATACTTGTATATTGTAACACTGCATTCATATTGCATATTTTAATTATCTCTTTAATTTATCTACTTAATTTATCTATTATTTATCTCCTCTTTCCACTTTATTTGCACTAAAGTTACTGTAACAAAAAGCAATTTCCCTCTGGAGATGATTAAAGTATTTCTGGTTCTGATTTGGACATTTAAAAATAGCAAAATTTAGAGGCAAATTTAACTAGACATTGAATAAGACGCTGCAGCAACAAAGTAAAAAACATCAGTAAATCACAACAGGTGGCGGTGGCAGGATTAAGAAAAATATCAGTCAAGGTTTGATATATTATTATAGCAATAAATGATCAAGTTATATAATCTTAAAACCTGAAAACCATCATGTACCCAATCAAAAAACAATAAAAGAAAATAAAATTTAGAATCAAAGAAGGAAACAGCACATTAAGATTAAGGCAGTAACACAATGCAGAGAATCGCTGCAAATCCAAACAATTTGAGGATTTTGATTATAAAAATATTAATCTTGTATCTTACACAGATTTTGTATTTTGCCATCAGATATGTATTTTCTAAATTTTCATCAATGTAACTAAAGAAAGCTGTGAAATATAAATAAAAACAGTAAATATCAAACTAAAACTCTCGTGATAGTATCTCTAATCTTCCATTTTTTTAGTCTAAAACTTTTTTTTCCTTCCAGACAAAATTGAATCAAGAAAAATACATTTTACAAAACTAAAACTAATTAATCATGATTACCTCTTTCTTTGATAGACTATGACCCAACGCCTTTTAAGTTTTTTAACGATGAGAGCTTTTATTCTGAAATGCCACACAGGAAGTGGATCCTTCCTGTTCTACCTTGACGCTGTTGCTTCATCCGGGCAGCAGGCAGGTTAAATATGGTCCTTACCGAGCCTCACCCTCCAGCTATGATGAAGTTAGAGTCCCACCCTCACTTCTTTTAGTCGCTTTTGTTGACGACATCGGTTACTAACAAACCCTCACTACGGTTTACTGTAAATAAACAAGTTTACGGCCCAAACAGTTACAGTGTCGCTTCACAAATTCACGGTAATAATAACGTGGAAAACTATATCCTAATCTCTCAGGTCACATTAAACTTTGTCGATCTTATAGTGAAAAAATACCACAGATTGGTTAATTTTCTGGGTTCATGTTTCCACAGAAAGATTTCCGCACAGGTCTGAGTCCTGAGTGAAATGGTACCCACCCACCCACGGACACGGAGGACGAGATTCATCATAATAAAGCAGAAATTCCCCTCAGGTCCACTCAGACAGAAAAACACTCAGACTAACTCAGACCTGAATCTCTAAACTCCTGTGTTTTTTCTCTCTGTTGTTCAGGATCTCCTCTCTTCCTCTTTATAATCCCACTGACACCTGTTGGCAGATTTACCTCCTTTGTGCAGAAAACACGCAGAAAACACGCAGAAAAAAGGCGCAAAAGTCAGAATCCTACTCCACCTTTAGACCCAGAACTCTTCAGTCTGCATCAGAAAGGTCTAAAACCCGGTCCTGGTCTTCTCGGACTCTCAGAGGTCCACAGTCTGGAACTTGCAGCCGCAGGTTGGTTCCAGGTTCCCCCTCCCACTGTCACCCAGGCAGGCGCAATATGGCGCTCATCCATCCCACTGAGGGAGCCACCCGCCCGGCCGAGCCTGTTCCTGGAACCACCTGAAGGCTGGAGGGGGGGTCTGGTTTACAATCAGGGCCTTCGAGAAAACCTGAGAGGGTTTCAGGGAAGAAAAGAAAAGACAGATCCATCAGAAAAGAGGGGGACTTCCCACTGTAGGGGGTCGTTTCTCATCCACAGGGGGGCGCACTTGTAATAATGAGTCAAACCACAGCAGGCTGACTGTGTTAGAGGATCATCAGAAGTGAGTCTGGGGGTCTACAGGTGTCCCAGAATCTGGACCAAGATTAGTTCAGTGTTGTCTTTTCTCTTTAAAGCTTAGTTTCCATTTCAGCCCTGAAACATGAAACTGAATTTTTTGTTTTTTATGATGAAATTTTGGATTTCAAAGCTTTTATATCACCTCTGTACGGAGGCCGAGAACTGCCACTGCTGCAAATAAAAAAAGAATGGAAAAAAAAATCACAACAGCAGTTACTCTCCCATAAAAGAAACCGAAGCCCGCTGCAAATTAAAAAAAAGAAACGGTGCAGACAGGAAAAAAAGAAAGAAAAATAAGTTACTTACTGCGGAAATAAAAGATTGTTGTTCGTCTTCTCGCCGTCGTCTTCTGTGCCCAGATTGTAAAACATCAGTGCATTATCATTATTGGTCCTCGGCAGCTCACTTCTAATGTGGCTTTTTTAATTTGCATCCTTTTATCTTCGCAGTAGGTAACTTTTTTATTTTATTTTATTATTTATATATTTATATATATTTATCTTTTTTTTTTTGCATTGCCACATTTTTTTTTAGTACCATCTCTTTCTTATTTGCAGTGGGCCTCGGTTTCTTTTTTTTTCCATCAGCAACTTCCATTGTGACATTTTTTTTTCGCACTGCCACTTTTTTATTTGTGTCGTTAACTTCCATTGTGGCTTTTATTTTATTTTTTTATTTTTTGCTTTTTTTTTAATTTATTTTTATTTTTTATTTTTATTTGCAGCAGTGGCAGTTCTCGGCCACCATACATCTTAGTTAGTTACCTGCTAGAAACAAACGAGTAGTTTTTAATCTAAATCTTCTGTTGGTCTTCTAAATCAAACTAAATCAATCTCAAACTCCAACAATAATCCGGTTTAATTGTTTTCAGTTTGTCTTATGAAGGACTAACTTTGTTGTTAAAGATAAATTACACAAAAATCACTTTTAATTTACTTTTTATCACATGACCGTATGAATTTAATCAACAGTGACAACACAGGACAAATAAAACTGAAAGGTGTGAGTGATTATTTTAGTTTTAATTTAACTCTGTTTGTTTGTTTGTTTGTTTGTTTGTTTGTTTGTTTGTTTGTTTGTTTGTTTGTTAGTTACAGTGAGTTCAGGTAAAATAACCGCAGTCATGAGAAAACAATCATTTCAGCTCTGACTGGTTCTCCGGGTCTGGACTCTGGATTCAGGGATCCTGATGGCTCACCTGGGCTCGTGCCTCACTCTTGAAACTTTCCTCGCGCGTCATCTGCTCGACACGAGAACACGGAAGCGCAGTCAGTTGAGAAGGTCGCGTCATAGGTGAGCCAGCCAATGAGATGAGAGGATTAAAATAGAGCCGTATATATCCGGGGTTCGACCTTCTTCTTCTCACCATTAAACGAAACCAGTGAGTGAAGACAGAGACGGACCTGCCCTCCACTTTAACTCCACCTGAATCTTTGTTACACACAATAGTCATTCAGACTATGAGGAAGATAAAGACTTTAAAAACGTCTCATATATAAAAAGTTTTATTACCAAACAAACAGAAGTATCTGGGTGAGCGGTGAGCTAAACACAGAGGACCTGGGAGTCATGCAAACCAGCCTGAAATTTGCCTGTCAGCAAACTGAGTGAACTGTTGGAATAGAGATACCTGATGCAAATGGATCAAAGTCACTTTGAACGGTTCCTGAAATGTTTGTAGAAGGTTTAAACCTGACTTAACCTCTAAAACTAACAGCTCTAAATAATGCTGTATTTTAAATTAAAACATTTTAAAGAAAAATTCTTAATTAAAGGCAGAATTTTCTACTAATAATTGATAAAATGGACAAATCTACTTTAAAATTATCAGAGCCAAAATGATTTTAAAAAAATCTTTTTTAATGATTTTTTGAGGAACATTACACATAAACAAACAGTGGTACATTGTAAAAAAGAGCAAGTGTAAAATGAGATGTAAAGTGTCTATAATGACTCCTCATCCCCCACCCACCCCACGTTGGCCACAACATCACAAAGACAAGACATTAGGATACACATACAAATATACAAATGAAGTAAATTAATAGATTAGATATAATAAAAGATATATATAATACACACAGATGCATATATACACACACATAAATAAGATAAGTAATCAATGAAAAAAAACTATATAAATGAAAATACCTCAAGTAGCAGTGCTGTCATCTTCAGGTATTCGGTCGAGGTTATTTTGTTTAGTCTATAAAATGTTTCCAGGTTTCGTTAAAAGTTGCGAAGGACCTTTTTAATGAGTGTCACATCTTTTCAAGTTTCAGACAACTTAAAATCTCCTGTATCCATTTATTATGTCAAAATGATTTTTTATGTGTAAAAGACGTAAAGGGGAGGTGAATTATCAATTATTGAGATTTATCAAACTCTATTTGATCTGCAGAGTCTCTTTTTTACCTTTAAGATAAAAACTAAAGACTCAGATCTTTAAAGATCACAGACACACTTCAGCTCTTCTCCTCTTTCGCCCTCACAGCTGATGACTGATACGACCACCAAACAGTCCCCTTCTACTCCGGAGACACTTTTAGACTCAGATCTCTGAGGACACCTCAGCACGTGGTAGTGTGTTTATTCATAATAATAATAATAATGATGATGATGATGGATGGTGTCACTATGACTTCATGTAGATGATGATTCGTTTAAACTGATGGTTCGATGATGATGATTTATAAAAAACCTGTTCCCTTCCTCTCTGCTGACGGCTCTTCCTCCTCTCAGACCTGAAACTGTTTGTTTTTCTCTCTTCTGTCCAGATCTTCTCTCCTCTTGTTCTGACTCTCACATGTTTATCTGCTGAATGATATTATAACACTGTAACAGAATGAGTAGATCTCTAAATCCAAACTACATGCCGAACATTATTTCTGTCACCAAAACATGAATCTGAAACCCGTTTACCCGCTCAAACTTTAGTGATTTATTTTAGACAATACTACGTTTGTTCAAATGAGTCACTGGAGGAAAATAAAAGTCCTCTCTCTCTTTTTTCTGGGTGTGTCTCTATCATGACCATTTCTGTTATTTTGACTTCAACACGACTGAATAAGTAATCAGACAAAACTGCTCACCTGCTGATAAAGGTTAAAGTTTGATATATGAGTCAGAAAACTTTTGTTTGGAGAAACTGAAATATCTGACAATGACTCATTCAATAAACTCTTAAAATATCTGGTTAACAGCAGGAAATTAAGTTTGTGGCATGAATGAAACACCAGAGTGACTTTTTTCTATTTCTTAAAGTCTTTAGTAATTTTAAAGTTAAGTCCATTTTCTTAATTTCACCTTCAAACTCTATAAACAGAAATCTTGGATGTGTAGAGAGGCTGTACGGTCTGATGTGTACTCTGTATTTGTTTAATGTGTTTATTCAAATTAAAAAAACTACAACAGTTTGTACAAAAGTGCTTCATTCTCAGAGAGATAATCTGTGAGTTTAATCGATCAGAAAAAACTTTGTTCTTCAGGAAACATCGACTTCACTTTCTCTGGATGTCAGATATTTTCAGGTGGTGTCTTCACGTCCTCGAATGCCTCCAGTCTCCTCTGAACAACATCATATATAATATCTGAAACAGACAGAGAGAGAAACAGCATGAAGATGCATCAGTCATCCAGACCTCTGTAAGGTCTCAACAGAACCACAAGATGGCGCTCTAAGAGTATCTACGACCCTGAGAGGAGGACTTCTGAGGCTGTGGCTGTGTCTCATTTCAGAGACCGCATCGAGCTAAGTGCCCTTCTGCACCGTCGAACGGTGCGTTTGAAGCGTGCATGACGTCACGACGGCGCGAACGGTGTCCCATTTGGCACGAGATGCTAAGAAATGCTAAGCGCGCTTAGCATTTTTTCAATCGTGCATATATGCACGCTTTCGTGCCGTCGGTATCCCAGAATTCTTTGCGTGCCGCTGCACAGCTGCGCATTTCAGGTGAGAGGCTGGACTCGCTTGGAGACACAGCGCGTCTTCAAAGAAAATACAAGAAATCCAAAACCAGCAGACAGTCAGCTCAGGCTGTATGAGAGCATGATCTCTGAACTCACTAAAATCTGTTAACCAAACATTATAGATTTAGAGACGAACTGATCCGCTCTGCTTCAACTATCAAAAACATTAGAAATAAGAAAGCTGACAAAACTACAGCAGAGGATCAGGACAACATTGAGGTTTTTTTTTTTTTAAGATTTAGAGATTAAAGTTGTAAATTTAGGAGAATAAAGTCATAAAGTAAATAAAGTCATAAAGCTGCTTTTGTGGAGGGGGAAATGACTGAAGCTGGTCATCTGCAGGGTTATCTGTGGATGTATCAGCGGGTCATTCAGAGAGATTTTGTGGTTTCTGAAGAAACAATCAAACTGATGATGATCAACATTTGTGATCCAGAGGGAGTCGAGCTCTGACGAGCACCACGTCTCTGACACCGGCCGTAGCCTACACCTGCAGAGACACCAACACCTTATTATGGCATATGGATTCATATCATAAACTAAAGCTCAATGTCATTCACGGATATTTACGGCTGCATTGACAGATATATCCTCAGCATATTCATTTATGCCTCCACGAAAGCAGCGATTTCCTTCAAGTACACCATTTTTTTTCCTCGTGGAAAAGACGTATTTCTCATATATTCTTCTTAAAGTCTTTATACTTATGACAATGTGATGCTGATGCTGATGTGTAAATCTGATGATTTACTGTATCTGCAGAGTTTGGGTGGCTATAGGTATTGTGTGTGTTTGGGATATAAATGGAGGACATGCGTTTCTCGGCACAACACCGCTAACAACAACAACAACAACATTGCAAAATGAGCAACGAACAAGAGAAAACCACCGAAAATGAAGATTTGTTGCCAAAAAGAAAAGGAAAGTCAGTTAGCTGGAGTTATTTCGGTTAAAAGAAGGATGATGTCGACCAAAACACGTGTTCTGTGTTCATCTGTTTCCACAATAACGTCCCAGCACAATAAAAGCTAAAAATATCTGAGACAGACAGAAGCCATTCTAACATTCACAAAATGAGGTAAGATCAGTGCAGGTTAACTGTCCTCAAGACTTCAGCAGTGCAGTATAACATTTTAGCTTTATGGCTTTATTTACTTTATGACTTTATTCTCCTAAATTTACAACTTTAATCTCTAAATGTTTGTTTCCTTACTGTCCAGCAGCTCCCTCGCCGCCGATCTCTGCTCCAGCCTGTTGTTGACTTCATCCATCAGCCACGGGAGGAAATGAGTCTCAACATCTGTGATTCACGATCAACAACAAAACCCTCAGATCAGAGGCTTCACTTACAGTTTTCTATAATGTGTCATATAATGTAAACACAGTGCAATAGCGCCCTCCTGTGTCTATTTAAGGAAAAAGCAGAGCAGAAGTTCAGTAAGGAGGGCCGACCTTTCTCCACAGGGTCATAGAAGAAGCCGTGGTCCCTCAGAGAGCTGAAGACTGATGGGAAGAGGTCGGCCAAGTACTGCTGGGTGTACGCTCGGGCGGCGATCTTCTCTGCAGTCTCTCTTTCTTTCCTCAGCGCCTCCTTCTGCTGAGAGATCCTGCGGACCTGAGGTCAGAGGAAACAAAAAAACACAAACTCTGGACGCTGCCGCACAAAGAAACATGATAGTGATATAAAAAAAACAGCTGAAGTTAAAGGGAAACATCTCAAGACCTTCGCAGAAGATCTACAGGACACCAAGAAAGAAGGAGATGAGGACATACTGTCAGCACAAATATGGGGTCAGAGGTCAATGGAGGATAAAACAGCAGAGGAGTTGTGGTCAGACTCCATGATGTCGTAGATCCAATACCTCCTCAGATCCAGCCTACCTTCTCCTCAGTGCGCCGTCTCTCCTGCTCCTGCAGACGCTGCACCTCGGCCAGCTCGTTGTTCCTCCGCTCTTGGTAATCCCTCTGCTGAGCCTTCAGAGACGCCAGCTCCTCCTCCTCCATCACCTCCTCCAGAGACTGTTCGATTGTCTTCCCCACCAGGACCTCCAGCAGCGGCTGCACCTCCCTGTCGAAGTCGAAGAGCTGCAGAGGAGGAGCTCAGTCAGGAGAGTTTGGCTTTGGTTTCAGTGAACCTGCATGTATCTAACCCGTCATCTCAGGAGTTTACCTCTCCTTCCTCGATCTGTGTCTCAGCATCTTTCCCAGATTTGGCCGGTATGAACAGCGGGGTTGCTGGTCTGTCCAGGAAATCATCAGTCTGACACTCAACATCTGCAGCCACGGTAACGCTGCTCAGTTCCTCCAGATAAAGTTCTGGAAAACAGGAGTTCAGACGGGTCGGCTGTCAGTGGAGTTAAAGAAAAAGTGCAGGTGAGGAAAGATTCAGACGTCATCCAGAATAATCCCAAACCTGTTTGTACATCGATGTGTTTCCTGCCCTGCAGAGCCTCGGGAGTCCTGGGTCTGAGCTGGTCCAGGGCCCGTTTCCGAGCGAGCGCTCTCTTCCTGATCTCCTGCTGTCTCAGTATCTCGGCGAGGTCCTGCTGAGTCGTCTGTCAGCGGTGAAGGGTAATAAACATCATGAAGAGGTCGCCCAGCTCGTCTCAGATTAAACAGACGTCTCATACTTACAGTCGGTATGACGTGTTTGGCGTAAGTGTTTCCCCTCACCACACGGCGGTCATACATGATGTTTCCATAATTCATCTGGGTCCTAACAAAGACAACAGTCTGATTCTCAGATTTTAGAAACTCACACCATGAGCTTTAAAAGGACTCACTTATTTTAAATGAATATTCACCCAAAAGAAATGGAGGAGTCTCCTAAATCAGAGTGCTGGAGTCTGTGCATGTGACCATGATTAAGGTCCTCACACACCGGGAGCGTTTTTGTCGTGCGATTATTTTGGAGCGTTCACATCAGCGACGTTTTCCCGTCCTGCGATATTGCCGCATTAATTCACCGGTATATCCAACATGGCCGACTTGTGGAGAGTCATAGCGTCGGATTTCTCACATGACGATGGTTTGTGAGCTTTAACAGTTTGATAAACGTCTTTGTTTGAACTTTCATCTGTGCTAACGTAAGCTAACGGTTGTTACCATAGTTTCATGCGCTTATCTTATCACCTCTGATTGGCTGTAAGTGCTGACCATTTGGCTTGAGCATGTGATGACATTTCCAGCTTTTCTAGCCAATCAGAGACAAAGGAGGCCGGACTTTCCCCAGGACGTGTCTTTTCCCCCCAGAAAGTCGCAAAATCGCATCGGGCTTGATGTGTTTAGTCAGGTGCGTCAAAATTCACCTCTGAATATTTCGTAATTTAGCTCTCTATATTCGCGTCGGCCCCGGTGTGTGAGGACCTTAATTTTAAAATATATAAAGCTTTTTTTTTTTACTTTGAGTTGTGTAAAATGGTTAATTGTCGCTCATCTCTTCTCAGACAGGACATGACCCCTGACCATGTAAAGAAAACAAGTGTTCCACTTTTTAGTTGCGCCCTCTGGTGGCAAAGGTAACTACAATGTGACAACTTACCCATGTGACAACAAGCCCCGGTCTCCCCTACTGTACCATAGTGTTACACATAAACAGAAAAAGTCTAAATACAGCTCGGGGTTAATCAAATCTATCATAATAAAGATTATAAAACCGTTTCTTTAGCAGACCCCCGGACCCCCGGACCCCCGGACCCCCGGACCCTCAGACCTACAGTTCAGACGGGGTCTCCCTGTATCTTCTCCGGGTCTCCACGGCTCTGGGTCGGCTGGAGAAAGTGTAACTTCCGTTCGTGTCCCTCTGAGTGTGCGGAGAAAAAGACATGATTCACCAGAAACCTCCACAGACCGAAACCTGACAGTTTTATCTGAATGTTGATCAGGCGAAGAAAACACGGACTGTTGTTGTAGCAACCGTATCCAGGAAATAACGGTCACTACGTCACTTCCGTCTTCAACTTTATCGTGTTCTATTTTATTTTATCTCTACTTATTAGGCGCCAATTCACAACTATTTACATAAATTAGATATTATATACATATATTTTAGAGCTACCCATATTAAGACAGACTCTGATCTCCATCATTAACTGAACACTTTGGCAGTATTTGTTAAATTACAGTGACGAGTAAAAAACGTCCTTTTAACAGGCAGAAACCCTGAATAAAACCAGACTGATGTTGAGCAAATATCTGTCTCTACTGCACTAAAGATAATAAAAGATAATTACAGACAAACAACAATAACTACAGCTGTTTTTTCACCGTTAATAATGAGGAAAATATGTGTACTCTTCACAGGGACTTCAGATTTACAATAACAGACTGATCTGAATTTAATGTTTGTCACGTAGAGTCAGACACTTGCAGCATGTTTGTTACTGAAGGACTGATTATTTTAATTACGGCGGTTGGAGTCAAACACTGCCCCCGTGTGGACACTGAGAGGCAGAACAATTACAATGAAAATATGAGGAAAAACTGGAGTAAAACTTTGTGTCTGTAATAGATTTTAATTGGCTTATTTTACACATTAATCCCTTAAAACGTTATTTAAACCAGATGGCTTGTTTTTATAAAACTAAAGCAAATGGAAGAATTACCAGATCCAACTGGGATTCAACTGGGACTGCGAACACCAGCAACCACACCAGTAACTGAGCCTCTGTGCCTTAATGCAGGTCTGGGTGTGGTGACTTTACTCCCACATTTAACGTCTGAGGAAGTGAGCTCATATTCTTTAAGTGGTTTCCTGATATATAGGGGAAACATCATAATTATAAGGTCATTAAAACCATGTCGTTCAGTTTTATACCAAAGTTTAAGATCACTCCTTTATTAGTGACATTTAGTTCGGATTGGACTAACTTTGGAGGAGACATCGATCCAAATGCTCTAAAAAGTTAAACTCTTTGAGTTTTGTGCGAAATGTTGTTCCTCCTTTTTGAGATTTCACCAAAGACTCTTTTATTTACAGTCACAGTGAGGCGGACCTGTGTCTCAAACTTAAGGTAAAACAGGCTTTAAAGATAAGAATAAGAATAAGAAGAACTTTATTGATCCCGAAGGGAAATTCAATTGTCTGTTGTCTCACGTAATATGTCTCTAAGAGTTATAAAGTCTGATGTCTGTTGGTCCAAAGATCTTCTGAATCTTTCTGTCCTGCAGCAAAGAGAGAGGAGCCGTCCACCACCATTGGTCCTTTGGTCCATCAAGGTGTTGTAAAGTGGGTGATCCATGTTCTTGAGAATAGTCTCCACCTTCCTCAGTGTAGATCTCTCCACCACATCCTCCACAGAGCCAGCCTTTTTCACCAGTTTGTTCAGACGTCTCCATCTTTGTCTCCAACAGAACCTCAGGAAGTGGACCTTTAAGAACAGTTTGGCCCTTTTTCTGAAACACTCACACACTCCACATTTTCACTAATTTTGATGTGTGTGACTTTTTCTTCTTATTCCAAAAAGGCCTGAATGTGCAAAAAAAAAAAAACCCTCTCCACCTAATAAACAAATCTTTAAATCTCACTTCATTAGTGAATAAATAACTCCGCTTATCTCTGAACATTAAATATAAAATATCTTCAGCATCTTTTTTGGATCAGTGTTGGTTATAAAAAATTCAGTCTTCTTGTGAGCAGGAATTACCCAGAATCCACCTGTAAAAACACCCACACACCTGATGTCTGAGTGAAATCAGCTGATAAGCAGCATTCAGTGATCAGCCTGAAATAGAAACAGAGAGACGCCCGTCTGAGATCGTACAGAGTCACAGGGAGGTGGGCAAACCCTCGCTCTTCTGGACGGGGAACGCCGTCAACATCTCTCTCTTATCTTCAGTCTGCATGAAGAAACATCCTGGATGGAGTCTGAGAACAACTTCAAAAACAAGTAAGAGCTCCAGTTTATGTTATATTTTTACTGATTATTAAATCTGACGTCTTTTACTAAGGGTTAGTTAACTTAATTATTTAAATAATTTTGTGTTTAAATGTTTAAAAAATGTACTTTAGTGTTTATCGACTCTCAGTAACTGCCTTCACTTTTTACTTTGATAAAAACTTTTATTTATTTTCTGCTTCTTGTCATTTTGCATAAATGGACTTTGAATGAACTGATGTTCTTCTCTGCAGATCATATAAAATGTTAAATTCAGATTTTTAATGATGTTTTTACTGAATAACTCAGAGTTCGTACTCTAACCTACTTTAGTTACTATAACTGATGAATTTCTAATCAGTCTTTATGGAGTTTAGACCGAGACTCAACGCTAAAGTAACTTAGTGCTCTTCCTACATACACAGCTGATGTTTACTTCACAGCTGATATGTTCTTCACAGCTGATCTTCACACCACCACATGAAGCCTCCTAATCTCTGACTAACAGGAGTTTCTCTGCAGCAGGTCGGTCTGAGCTGATAAGAGACCGGAGGAGGAGGTGAAGTCTCAGTTTCTGTGTCTCAGACGTTTAAAGGGAAGGAGCTCTTTAACAAACAGCGTGGGTTACAAGAGTTTTCAGTAAGTAAGTGAATTTCATTTATATAACACTCTTCATAAATAAAATCACAAAGTATACAGAGAAACACATTTAATAACAGATATAAGCAGCTTCACAGAGGCCCCACAACCTCAACATCAGTTAAAATCCCGTCTAAAAAGAGGTTTTAAGTTCTTTTTTAAAACTTTCAGTCGACTCTCTGCTGCGTCAGGTCAATGTGAGGGACCATCAGGAGTTTGTGGTCTAATGACCTTAATGAACGTGAGGAGGAGGAGGGTCTCAGTGGCTCAGTGATGTACGAGGGAGTTTGATCATGGAGGACTCTAAAAACAAGAACTAAAATCTTAAAATGAATCCTGGTCACCAGTGAAGAGAACATGAAATTAAGGTGATTTGGTCTTTTTTCTTCGATCTAGTTATAAGCCTTGCTGCTGAGTTTTGTACCGTTTGAAGATGATTTACAAACTTTTAGTTAAAACACATAAAAAGAGAATTACAGTAGTCAATGAGAGACGAAACAAAGGCCTGAATTATCATCTCCATTTCAGTTTAGCGATGTTCCTCAGATGATAACAGCAGTTCTTCACCAACTGTTTACAGCGGTGGTCTGAGGACATGTCCTTGTCAAACACGACACCAACGTCACGTTAACGAGGTTGGACAGAGAGACCTGACTGATCTAGATGCTGCTTTATGAGGGGAATGATCAGAGTTTCAGTTCAGTCAGAGTTCAGTTGGAGAAGGTTGTCAAACAGGCAGTGAAGTTGTCTAACTTCTGTGTCTCAGTCGGCTTGAAGGAGCAGTAGAGCTGAACATCATCAGCATATAGATGACAGGAGACATCACTGATAATCTGTCCAAGAGGAGACATGAAAAACAAAAAGACTAAAGGGCCGAGGACTGATCCGTGTGGGACCCCACAGCCTAGCCCTGCCGAGTCCGATAATAACTGGTTGACATGGACCACAAAACTTCTGTCAGTCATTTAAGACCTACACTGCAAAAAAAAAAAGGAATTTCAAGAAAGGAAAACAGCCGTGTATTTAGGAAATAAGTCTTATTATTTGTACTAAAAGAATATTAATCTTGTCAAGCATGTTTGGCATCAGAAAAATTATCTAATTTTAAGAGAAAATGAACCAGAGATAGAAAAATGTTTCATTTGTTTCAAATGTTTAATTTTTGTTGGTAAAGCAGTAATTCTGCACCTTTCCTCTTTTTGAACTCTAACTTTCACTGATGATTGACATGATAATTGCACACGTATTGATGGTGAGCAGACCCTGGTCTCTGCTCTGGTTGATAATTCAGCGTATAAAGATAGATCTGCGTCTCCAAAATAGCCCGGCCTTAAACCGTCTGGTGTTCGATTAATCCTCGACACATTCACCAGAGAGGAGGTCATCATCAGGCCAAGACCTGTGAGAAAGACACCTGAAGAGACGCCGGGGTCACAGAGGTCAGATTAGACTCTGTGCGGGTGTCAAGGCTGCCCACCGATGAGTCCACATGATGGGGTTAATCTGTCTGCCCACAGCGGAGAGAGAGAGGAGGAGGAGGAGGAGGAGGAGGAGGAGGAGGAGGAGGAGGAGGAGGGCACAAACCACCTAATCTGATGTCCCGCCTGCTGCCTGTGGTCTTCAGCGGGGAGGGTGAGGCTCAGGATAGCTGCCCTAAAAGGATTACAGAGCTGCACATGTCGGTGAAAGGACACCTGGGCACACACACACACACACACACACACACACACACACACACACACACACACACACACACACACACACACACACTCTCTCAGCCACGGTACGCAGGTGCAAACGCAGAGGAGATTAGTCTGAAGTGAATTTTTTACCCCCTCTGTCAGGAACTTAAACTCCTCACCAGCTGAGAGTCGAGTTTAGTTGTTGTTGTTGTTGTTGTCTTTGTTTATTTCTCTTCTTTTACCTTCAATATTTTACTTTTCTAACGACTCTCACCTTCAATAATCAGCGGCTACACCTGATAAATGATCCTCCTCTCTTCCAGTTACCTGCTTCTCTAAAAACAGAGGATGGAGTCAGACTTGAAGGACTACCAAGACCCTGAGGCCCAGCTCCCCGACAACGACCAGGCAGCTCTGGACGTGTCGGGCTTCCAGGTGACCGCAGACCGTCTGGAGCAGCTGATGAAGAGCATGGAGGTGCTGCTGTCCGACGTGGAGCAGCTGAGGAGCCACTGCAGCCACCAGGCCACGGAGCTGATGAGGGCGGCGGTGGAGCTGAAGGAGCAGCAAGAGGAGCTGAAGGAGAGCTACGTGGAGCTGTCCAGAGAGATGCAGGAGGTGATGGATTCAGTGGACGACCTGTACAGCACCAAGAGCGCCTTCGAGGCCAAAGAGAAGCAGGCGCAGAAACTGAGCCGTCAGCTGTGAGGGACAAGCAGACTCCTGGAGCAAACAAACCCAGCAGGAGGTGTGGTTTTCAGATGACAAACTGAGGAGGTGATGGACGTGTTTATAGGAGCAGGAGGAGGCGCTGAGGTTTCGGGACTCTGAAACAATGAGACTCTTGAATGTCACTGCAGGTTTAATTCATGTGTTCACAGACGTCTGTCTTTCTGAGGTGAATTTTTATCCTGTAAAGATGATAAAAAAGAAAAACCTCAGCTCCAAAAATAACCAAACCTCTGAGTCAGAGTTTGAGTTTGAGTAACCATCCCACTGTTTTAGATAAAAAACAAACTTTACAGGCCTGAAAGAGTCTCAAACTCCTGAAATCTCCACTTCGTCTTATTGAACTCACCGGCTAACTAGCTGAGAGAGAAGCTAATGTTAGCATTCAACCACTTACCAGATCATATATCCGTCTGAAGGAAGTGGCTAAGAGCTAAATTTAAGATGCTTTTTCTGTTGTTGTATGTTTGTTTGTTTGTTTTTAGCATTAAACCACTTCCTGCTTGTAATTTTAGATGGTTATTTTACCTGTAAGTACAGCTAATGTTAGCATTCACTTATATTTCTGGATAGGAGGTGGCTGGACGCTAAATATCTGATCGTAGAGGTTTGACATAAAGTAGAATATATATTAGAGTTTATACAGTCTGTGGTTTTAACTCTTTAATCTCTGCTGTCTCAGGATGGAGGTTAGTTGGTGTGAATGATGCCTGTTAGTCTGTGTTCACACTGAAGGTCATTCTGATGTTTTAACCATCTGTGACTCATATCTGATTTTTTCATCTAAGTATGAACAGGTCAGTTCTGATTGGTTCTAATCCTCCCAGGCCTCTTCTGTATGTGGATATAAATCAGATATGTATCTGATGTGACTGCAGTGTGACGCTCAGGTCACGTTCATCGACCTTTACGTCATCAATATGCGACAAACGTCACCATTGTTCGACAACACAAACAGGAGCGGAAAGTAATTTGTGCTTTGTGAGCATGAGGGTCACTTCATGGACGCATTCGTTGTTGTGATGTAAACGATCGCACAAAAAGATCGGATTTAACAAAAAATCTGAATTAAGCATCAGAACCTGCAGTGTGAACGTAGCCTAAGTAGTTATTCATCCATCATTATTACCGGCATTAGCTTATCAATACTTACACATATCATGATTAACACTCTCATAAAGGAGTGAGAGCTTTTTCCTAAAAAACTGGATTATATAATAGCTGATAATATACGACTTTAAACTCCAATCCATCATAAACAGTATACACTTCTTTTTAAAGAGTGAAATTAGCATTTAAAATCTTCTTTTGCTAATAACACTGTGACAGTAACTGTGCCTTTCCATGTCTTCATCATAACTTTTAACATTTGTCAAAGTTTCGGCGTCTTTCTAAGAAGTTCTCGAACCTTCGTGTTAGCTTTGGAGTCATTCTACGATTAGGGTTACATTTCAAGTCGACCAAAAACTCACAATATCAGTATTCTAGATGTTTCTACAGTATACATCCTAAATGTGCTAAATTGATTAATTGGCAAACTGAAGCTAAAATGACTTTTAAATTATTTTAATGAAAATGAACATTTAATTTATCATTTTGTCAACTGTGTTACAAACAAATGCTGTGTCATATAAAACATATTAGTTTGAAAGTGTTTGAGTCTAAACACCCGGGGGTTTGAGTTTATCAGTCCGACTGATTTTAAAGTGTGAATTTTGAGCTTCATAAAAGTGATGTTACAAGATACTCTGATGTAAAATATGACCTTTTTCAACATAAATTCATATTACACTGAATTTAGAGTTATTCACTTTTCTTATATAAGACTTCCAGCTCCAGAGATGTCCTCCATCTTTTTTGAGCTGATCAGAAATGTTGTTTTTTTGTGTCTGAGATTCATCTGAAATGTTGAAATGATGAAGCTGTTATAATCACTGATAAAGTGGAGAAAACTCAGAGCTGTTACAGAAGGATGACAGTAATTTAACCTCGAACCTTCAGTGTGAAGTCAGAGATCAAACTTGAACAGGTTTGTTTTTACCTTTAGTGTTAAAAATTCTTTATTTAACTCAAAGTTTCTTTAATTATCACTCTGCTTTTATTCTGAGCTCTTCTGTGTCCATGTGCTGCTTTCTCTCAAACCTCAGCTGCATGTAAACTCATCATTTACTCTTACGTCTGCTGTCGCCCGTCCCGGAGGTCCCCTGACAGTTTAAACATCAGTATTTGTGACCTCCGTCCGTCCGTCCGGATGGTTCCTCCAGCTCCTTTTTTTGGTGTTTGAAGCTCCATCTTCATATCCTGTTCCCATCCAGGCCGCACTGCCGTGTGGTTTCTCTCTAAAATACATAAATAGATCTCAAAGCCGTGTTTACCTCCTACCAGCTCCTCTGCTGAGACTCATTGGTCTGTATTTAGTGGTTATGGGATGTGTGAAAAAGAACATTCAGCGGCGTGCAACGTGAGGAAATCAATCATTCAGGTCATTCTTGTGCTTTTATTTTGTAGGAACTCTGTGGACAGTGTATCCATTAAATCATGTTCAATAATCACCCCCTTTTCCTCGTCTTTATTGAAACAAACTGTGATTATAATTACTGAAAAGACTCCACACAGAGGTCGATAACCTTCACAGCCTCAGGGTCCCTGCAGCAGAGAGGAGAGGCTGACATTCAGGGTAAAAAAAAAAACACACAGATGTGTTTAGGAGACGTACTTTTTTCTCTGTGCGGTTGAAACTCGACACGAAGTGGGCTGTGGTTTGGAGGAGCTGAAAGGGTGTGGAGATGGAGAGCTGGGTGTCAGTGCCCACCTTCACTCCTGAGGAGCACTTCCCTCTGATCTGCTGCTGCTGAGAGACTCTAACCGAGAAGGTAAGGAGAGAAACTCACCTGAGAAAAACCACCTGACTTTTATACTTTATAACAGTTTTCATGTTTTAAAGACTAAATATGTGAAGAATAATTTACAGACTGATCATAATAATAATCATAATAAACAGCAGCTGATGTTTTGAATAATGTGAAGATGATCTCCTCCTCTATGTCTTTTGTCTAATTTCAGTTTTACTGTCTTTTTATCTTTTGTTAAACTTGAACTCTTTTCTTAATTTACCTTTTAGGCCTTTTAATGTTTTATCTCTCGCTCATTTCTGTTGCTCTATTTTATCATTACTATTATTATCAGGATTACTTTATTATTTTATTATCATTGTTGATATTGCCTTTTGTATTTACTGTCCTGTTTCCACTTTTGACCTCCCTTTTAATTGCATTTTCTTTTTTCGTAACTATTTCATCTTTTTATTTTGGTCCTCATGGTCTCGTTTTATGTCGCACGGTTCTTGTTTTGTCTTATGAAAATGGCCTTTAATTCTGTTTTAACTGAGATTTTTGTTTTTGTCTTTTTCCATGTGCTCTATGACTACATGTCAAAGCTCTTTGTAAACTTCTGTTTTTAAAAGTGCTATAAAAATAAAGTTTTTATTATTATTATTATATTCATCAGCGCTGCAGTCGCTTGGAAATCATGACCGTCCTCAAACTCCTGGGTCTCCTGCAGCTGTTGGCTGTTCCTGTCTTTACTGTGAGTCTCATTCAAACAATATTATTGACTTTTAAACAAATATCTGCGTTTACAAAAATACTTGATCAGGAGTAGAAACAGTCAAGTACATGATGTCCAAACCGTCTGCGTGAGAGACAGAGTGAGGTGTGGACTTGGTGACACATGTGCCCACATGTGGTGTTGTTTATGTCGTCGAGGACCGAGGGTTTGTGGGAGAACGTTCCAGCATCTATTTCAGAGTCTGCAGCGTGTTCTTAGAGTGTGGTGGTGGTTGGTGGTGACTTATGATATAGCATGTATGTGAGCACTGTATGTTCCCGAGTCCGACTGAGTAGGAGTGTCACATTTTTCTGTGTTTACTCCTCCAGCTGACACAGCCCAGCCATGACTACTGGGGCGAGTTCGGAGCCTACGGACCCTGCAGCCGCACCTGCGGCACGGGGGTCGCAATGAGGATGAGAAAGTGTATCACCTCAAGGTCAGAATCAGAACCAGAACAAGAACCAGAACCAGAACCAGAATCAGAATCAGAATCAGTGTGACCTTTATTGTCATTATACTGGAGGTTGGAGAGCTTCTCCATTTTCAGGCAATAGATAGAAAACAAAGAGAGAATTAAAAATACAAAAATAGTTGTAAGAAATAAAGAATAGGTACAGACGATATACAAGATAAAATCCTCCAGTGCAGAGTAAAGAGTGCAATAAAAACTTTATACAAGAAAAGGAAAGTGAGATAAATATTAAGATTATATAAAATATTGAGGTAGGTGGAGACATGATCAAATGCCGTAATGAGGGACATGAGTTTTTACGTGAAGGAAGATATTTAAGTAGACACTTAAGTGCTTTTATCTCAAATATTTATACTGAAATAAATAAAATAAAATAAAATAAAATAAAAATAGATGTTTTCAAATAGTTTTTACGTCCTCACCCTGCAGGACTGATGGAGGTCATAACTGTTTGGGATCCTCCAAATCCTATCGAACCTGTAACACTCAGGTAAAACACTTCATTAAACCTCTTCATGATAATAATAAAGATATTTCTACATCCAGACTTTAATCCCACATGTTTGTTTCAGCCGTGTCCTGCTGGGTCTCGGGACTTCAGGGAGGAGCAGTGCTCTCTGTTAGACAGGACGGACTTCCAGAGCAAACAGCACACATGGGTCCCTTATTATGGAGGTACAGGACCTGAAGCTGAGACAACATGAGTCTCACTGTCCCTCAGACTTGTGTAGATGTGGAGGTTTGTAGATGTTCTCTGAGATGTCCACAGATTGGTAAAGTTTCTTTCACGTCTCTTGTCTGCAGCTACTAATCCCTGTGAGCTTCAGTGCGTCCCCAGAGGAGCGAACTTCTTCTACAGACACAGACCTGCAGTGGTGGACGGGACACCGTGTTACGTGGGCCGGACTGACATCTGTGTGGACGGCGTCTGCAGGGTGAGAACCAAACTGAACCATAACCACAGACTTCTGCTTCTTCTGTTCCTCTATTAAAATACTTTTATTTACCTTCAGTTTGTGATTGTTCAGGAAACTCTAACAGTCCCAGCTCTTAATAACTTAATGATGACACTGAAAATCATCACCCCCCCCCCTCATAGATGCTGGTCCATGGAGACTTCATGGGTCTGGATGAGGACCCTAACTCAGTCCACTCTTCTGCTCCTGTGGCTCTTTCTCCTCACCCGAGAGACACTCAATCCTATCACTACAAAACTGGTGTGTATGGGGAGTGCTCTGCAGCCTGCGGTGGAGGCATGCAGTACCGCAGCGTGCAGTGTTGGGCTCAGGACCCTCGGAACCCCCGTGTGGTGGAAGAGTCTTACTGCATCACCCAGAGACTGCAGAGACCGGCGAGCCAGCAGGCCTGTAACATGCAGCCCTGTGCAGCCGAGTACACCGCCTCCAGCTACAGCGTGGTTCGTACCGCAGAGACACCACTCAACTTTGAGTTTTAACTTTTCAAACAAACTAAAGATGTTTTACATTTTATTTAACCTTTATTTAACCAGACTAGTCCCGCTGAGATCTCTTTTTCAACCTGACCAAGAATGGTAGCAAAAAACAAACACACTCAGACTCTCACAGCTCAACTTCAGCAACAAGAACAGTCAAAATAAAACCTCAGCTAAATTCAATCTGCAGGTTATTCCACGCAAAAGGAGCAGAAAACCTGAAGGCCTTCTGTCTCAGCTCAGTTCAGACTTTTGGAACAGCAAACTGCACAAACTATGTAATCCTTCCTTTAAGACGAGCAAGGAGGAAAGGAAAGGAGGAAAGGAAAGGAAGAAAGGTATGTTCTTAGAGAAGTCCAGTTGACCTTGGAATATCAGTCACAGTGGTGAGTAAGAAATCTACAGTTGGTGATAAATCTCAGAGCTCCATGATAAACTCTGTCCAACATCTGGAGACTCTGAGCAGAAACATTCATGTCAGTAAATCATCATAATCCAGAACAAGTCAAAATGTCGACTCAACAAGTTTCTTTTTAACCATAAAGGGAAATAAAACTCTTTTCTGTAGTAAAACTTTAAGATTTTTGGTAAAATACTGACTATTCTCTTTAAAAGACAAGTTTTCATCGAGCAAAAAAAACAGACAACTAAGAAACAGAAGTAGAATTAAAGGACGTTCATCTCTAAAGTACGATATAAAATACACACGAGTCTATGATGGAAGAACAAACTCACTTCTGATCTCTGTTTAAAGTTTATTAACGGTGAAAAGACAATAATCTCTCTGTTACTGGATAAACTGAAGATTAAAAATGACCTCTGTTATAAATTATTCATGTTTTAATGTTTTAATGTTTTATTGTTTGGACTGAAACGGTTGTAACGTCTTGTTGTTTAGTGCTCTGTGACCTGTGGAGAAGGTCAGCAGACCAGAGAGGTCGTCTGTAGGGGGTCACGAGGTGAACACCTCCCTGACAGCGCCTGTAGCGGAGCATCCAGACCCGCATCGGTCCGCGCCTGCCGCAGACCCGCCTGCCAACAACACATCACCTGGCATGTGACAGACTATGGACTGGTAGGTTTAGAGAAACTCAGACCAGAACTTCATCTCCATGTTATCGATGTTTACTTCCATGGTTTCTAACAGTGCACCAGGAGCTGTGGAGGGGGAGTGAGGGAGAGGAGGGTGGGCTGCTTCGATACAGACTTGAACCCCTTCCCAGAGGCCCGCTGTGGACCGACCAGCAGACCCATCTCTGTGGAGTCGTGTAACACACAGGCCTGTCCCAGAGCCCAGAGTGAGACATGACTACACACACTAACACACACACTCACACACACTAACACACACTCACACTGACACACACTCCATCAGCTGTTTGTGCTGCTCTCACACTCTGTGCTCTCTCTGCAGCGGTGCCAAGTGTGCAGGACCCGAGGACACAAGAAAACACCATCAGAGGATTTGTTCCTCATATTCCTGGAGAGCCCTACGGTATGTGAGCGTGAGGGGATTTCTTGGTCTCATTCTCTACATGCTTTAACACGCGGCTGATGTATGTGAGACTATCGAGAGCAGAGGTACAGACGATGAACTGCGTGATCTTAAATCAGTGTGAAACCACTTATTTAGGTTCGCTCAGAGTCAGCGTACCTTCAGGCAGGAGAAGCTAAACTGTGCTGCAGTGTTGTAACTGTCTAGACCATGATTACACATCAGTTTACCTGTTTTTACTTCTATATGCTAAAGACAAAAAATATCCATGTAAATTTAACTTGTTCCAAATTTAATCCCAAACGTTCAAAAAAAGGAAGAGCACATATTTTCACAGACTAATAGCATGTCCAGTCTGAGTATGACCCTGTCTGTGTCTGTGTTTGCTCTCTTTAGCCTCCAGCCCACAGACAAACATCAACTTTGAGCCTCAGCCTGCTGTGATCAGTCCCTCTCACTGTGGGCGCGCTTTCTACGGCTGCTGTCCTGACGGTTACACCGCCGCCACAGGGCCTCACGGGGAGGGCTGCTCCCTCAACGACTGTGTCCGCAGCAGGTAACAGTATTCTTGTCACTGATGTGCAGAATGTCACACAAAGATATCTCAGTGATTCAGTGAAGGTGTTTCTGACATTTAAAGATACTCCTCCTCCTCCTCCTCCTCCTCCTCCTCCTCCTCTCAGGTTCGGCTGCTGTTTGGACGGCGTGACTTCAGCTCAAGGGTTCGGACGGGCTGGATGTCCTGAGTACCAGACGCCTGTGGTAGGAACACGTTTTGGGCAGAACTTTTTATTCTTTATGAACAAGTTTATTTATAAAGTGAAGACTATCCCTGAGCCCAGAGCCCAGAGCCGGCCCGAGCCTCAATGGGGCCCGAAGCAAAGTTTGATTTTGGGGCCCTCTATTTCTGCCAATAATATTGATTATTGATCATTCACACACCTTCACAAATCTCTTTGATTAGCATTCCATTATATGCAAAAATACCTTTATCTTGGTGTTTTTTCTCTTCTTTCTCTTTCTTTTTTCTGCTCCTGAAGGATTCGTCCTTTTTTTACGACATTGTTTGCCCCATTCATTACGACTTTATGAAGTCGTAATAAAGAAATTACTTACAAGAAAAAAGTCGTAATAGAATCATTATTGACTAGAATAAAGTCGTAATGAATTAATTTATTACAAGAATAATGTCGTAATAAAGTAACTACTTACGAGACTAAAGTTGTAGTAAAGTAATTACTTATGAGAATAAAGTCGTTGTAAAATCATTACTCACAAAAATAAAGTTAAAGATTAAAGTTTAATCTCAAAGTCTTAATTTTTTTTTCTTAATGTGGCCCTAATACTCTGTCGTAAAAAATAAAAAATATTAAAAATGTTTTTTTTAATTTGCTCTTGGGGGCCCCCTATTGGCCTCGGGGCCCTGAGCAGGTGCTCTGTTTGCTTATGCCGTCTCTGCCTGAGTCTCTAATAACACTTTAAATAAAAGAGTTCGATTTATGATTTTCTCTTTGTTTCCCTCTCAGCAGTACTCTCCAGACCCCGTTACTCCATCCACCGGTGATGTGTGTCTCCTCCCCCGTGACGAGGGCCCCTGTGACACGTGGAAGATCCGTTTCTACTACAACACAACGATGGCCAAATGTACCGAGTTCTGGTATGGAAGCTGTCACGGAAATGGAAACAACTTTTTGACCCTGGACTCTTGCCAGAGAGAGTGTGGGAGCGTTTTGAGGGAGACCCCACCAGCACCTCAGAGCGGGACCGCCAGGAGAGGGCCACCCAGGGGGGCCCAGAGGGCAAGAGCATAACCATGTCATCTCTTAGTCTACAAATCATCAAAATAACAAAGTGTCACCTGTATGAAGTTATTTTTGTACACACAGCATGTTCGAGAACATGCACTAACATGTGATGAAGAGAATTCCACATACCTTTATATTAAAACAGGAATTTACATCAAAAAGAAGAAGACCACCTCAGACTGGGGTCGTAAATCTCAACTTTATTATCTTTTTTTTTTTTACTTTTTGGTCTTTAATTTGTAAAAGTTGTTTTTGTTTCACTCGTACTTCTCCAAATAGATCAGGGCTCTAATTAAACGATTGCTAATGTTCACTTAAATTCCTGAGCCTGTTGAATAAAGTCGAAACTTTCTGGTAATCTTGGAGAAAATGGTGTGTTTGGGTGTTTTCTGTTTACAGCACTTTACTCTAATATCTGTCTGTATAACCCAACCGAAGAGAAGATGAAGCAGCTTTACAAATCTGACACCACTCTTTGACAGCTGGTATAGATTTAATACAAAGTTTATAATGACATTGAATCACATTCTTTTTTAAATATATGTTTGTTAAATTTTCCAGAAACACACAAAACAAGAACACAAGACAAAAACAAACATATATTTAGCTCACACACATATATAAGTTCAAATTTATAGAGGCGAGAGATTCAGGAGTTATCTTATATAAATAAAATAAGTAAATAGAATAAATCAAGTGTACATTGCCGTGCATAATACGCTCATACATTCAAAGAAAGGCAAAAACATTAATGAAATAGGACGTCATTTTTGAGGCAGTACGTCCAAGGCTATGATACAAACCCTCTCATAAAAATGGTAGAAATATTTAAATCAACAAATGACAAAAATCATCATATTTGCTGTGTCGTTTACATGTCAGGTAGTCCAATGCAACATACTAAAGAGTCACCCTTTGCCACTGAACCTTGGATAGGACTCTATCCACAGTCCATTTTAGGAGAAAGACACATCCTAGGACAGAACACAAGTGTTTGATTCTTTCTATATTTATCAGCGATGGACAGATCAAATATGCTAAGTAGCAGACATAAAGGATTACTATTTGTATTAGTAGATATAATCTTGTTAATTTCCTGTCCAATGACTTGCCAGAACTGTTGTATTTTCCAACAATATCACAAACAATGAGTGAGGCTACCAGTTTATTTACACTTAGGGAGATGAATTAGGGTTACATTTATGGAAATATTATTGTAATATGCAATTATTATTATTATTATTATTATTATTATTATTAAACCGAGAGACAATGAGTCAACATTGAAAATCGTGGTGTTGTTGCCTCCACTGTCTTACTGCTTCGTCTCCTGCTACACACACCCCGGCCAGCTGGGGGCGCAGGGGAGTCTATGAGTTCGTTTGTTGACCATTTTCAAACACAGAAGAAGAAGAAGGACCTATTTTTTTTCTCATCTCACGGTTCAGTGAAAATCGCGCAGGGACTTTAGTGTTAAAATCAACAGTTTTTCTCTTTTTCTCACCCTAAAGTAACAGGAGTGGCCTGTGGACAGCTCAAACATGGTAAGAGAGCTTCGTTATTTTTATTTAAATGTGAAATATCTGCTTAAAGTAGTTTGTTACCGTGATATTAGACAGCTATGCTAACTAGCTTAAAGCTAACGTTCACTAACGTCCATCAACGTTTCAGTCAATAATGAGTTTAATCTGATGAGATTATTTCACAGTTTAATATTCATATACATGCAGGGAGTAAAAATAGATATGAATTAACAGGTTTATTTTAAAAAGCTTTAAAGTTTTCATCTTAATCTGCTGCTAAATAACCACCGATCACTGAAACTGTCAGAGGGATGAATTAAATATAAACGAAATCATGGAAACATTTCAGTTTAAACTGTATTAAATCAGAGTCAGTGTGTGTTTTTAACATTTTAAGTCATTGTTTTTACAGTCACACACTATTCTGCTCGTCCAGCCGACAAAGAGACCTGAAGGCCGAACATATGCGGACTATGAGTCTGTGAATGAGTGTATGGAGGGTGAGTTTTTATCTGTTTATTAACATTTTTACTCAGTAATTTACTGTTAAATTAGTGCTTTAAAGCAGTGAGTCTGACTGATGACTGTTCAGGGTTTTTAGAATTAACTGGGGGACAAAAAGGAGTTACATTCTTACATTTTATATTATCTACAGCTGTGGACAAAAGTTTAGAGAATGACACAAATATGAATTTTCACAAACTCTGCTGCTTCAGTGTTTTTAGATCTTTTTGTCAAATGTTTCTATGTTTTACTAAAGTTTGATTCCAAGCATTTCATAAGTGTCAGTTTGTAAGTATTTGTTTGTCCTCCATGTCTTGAGGATTGAGGTTCTCTATGGGATTAAGGTCTGGGGAGATTCCTGGCCAAAGACCCAAAATCTTGGTTCTCACTTTTTCCTCATGGTAAGGCGCTCTCATCACCAAACTGATCTTCGATGGTTGGAGAAGTCGCTCTCCGAGGATGTTTTGGTTCTTTATTCATGACTGTGTTCGTGAGCCCACTCCCTTGACTGAGAAGAAACCCCACACATGAATAATCTCAGGATGTATTACTGCTGTCATGACTCTAAATCACTAAAATGATGTCAGCTGATCCTTTTGTGATGGGGCTGAACTGTAGTGAAAATGAAGCAGCAGACGTCATGAAAATTAATATTTGTGTCATTCTCAAAACTTTTGGCCACGGCTGTACTGTATGGAAACACGCACTCAGTGTTTTTCTCTCATTTATCCTCTCATGCATCTCTCTTCTAGGTGTTTGTAAAATGTACGAGGAGCATCTGAAGAGGATGAACCCAAACAGTCCCTCCATCACGTATGATATCAGCCAGTTGTTTGACTTTATCGATGACCTAGCAGACCTCAGTTGTCTTGTGTAAGTATAATTTTGCTTGTAGACACAGATAGACTTTTATGAAATGCCCTGATGACTCCCTGTGTATATATATAATTGTATATTTTAATACAGGTACAGAGCTGACACACAAACATATCAACCATATAACAAAGACTGGATCAAGGAGAAGATATACGTCCTGTTGAGACGCCAAGCTCAGCAGGCGTCCAAGTAAAGAACAACAGCGAGAAGATGTCCTGCTACTCACCTGGAAGGAATTCAAGGTGCATTTCCACAACAAGATCTGTGCACAAGGACAACAATTCGATAAAGGAGGGGTTCTCGTTTATTTATACTTTGGAGAGGAAAAGTTTGTAAATTAGGTAAAATCAGAAGTTCCCGCTGAAATTTGAAAGCTGCAGGTTTACGTTATTGTATTTGTTATGTTCTGAGGAGTGGGGCTGAGAGCTGCAAGGACTAACTCATTGATTGAAGGGGTGTACATGTGTGGAAAAATGTTCACCAAACTCCGTTAAAACTTTATTTTTTTTTTTTATTAAATTTTGGTGACTTTGGTTTTTCAATAAAATTTTTAATGTGAATTTTGGATGCATTTTGTTTTTGAAAAAGACGAAAGTCTTTAGACCATTTTTCTCTAAAATGTTACTGATCACAAACATTTCTCATCTTTCATGTGAATACATTTTTTTTTTTTTTTGCTAGAATTTACCATCATAATATAAGACAGTGTTTTTGTAAACATCTGTTCTGAATAGCATCTGATTTAATCTGCTTTCCTTAGTTGTTTCTTTATTTCTTTGTTCAAGTAAAATAAAGTATTGTTTCTGATTGGTGCTCATTTCTTCTTTTCTAATAGTTTGTAAATGTGGAGTCTGTTTTTTGTTCGATTTTAGTGGGAAATTACGGTGGCCGAGTACCGCCACAACGGATGTTATTGATGGGGGGGGCAAAAAAAGGAAAATGAAGCCTGCTGCAGATAAAAAAAGAAAAAATAGAAGGAAGCAAATAAAAAAAAGGCCACAATGGAAGTTAGCTGCTGGAGACTGTTGTGACTTGTGGTTTTTTTTTTTATTTTCAGCTGTGGTGTTCTTTTTTTGCATTCTTTTCTAATTTATTTATTTCAAATTTGCACTGTTTCTCTTTTATTTGCAGCAGGCTTTGGTTTCTTTTTTTTGCATTGGTAACTTTCGTTGTCGCTTAGAAAAAGAAGTTACCAATGCAAAAAAAAAAAGCCTGCTGCAAATAAAAAAGAAACAGTGCAGATTTTTTTTTACATTCTTTTATTTTTGCAGTGTTTTTTTTTTCTATTGCCATTTTTGCGTTGTTAACTTCTGTTGTGGCACACTGAAACACTGCAGATTAAAAAAAAAGGAAGGTAACAACGCAAAAAAAAGTGGCGATGTAAAAAAAAAGTTACTTGCTGCAAAAATAAAAGAATGCAAATGAAAAAAAAAATACAAGTTGCGGGGAACTAATAATGATAATGTGACTTCTTTTTTGCATTCTTTTTTTATTTGCAGGGGGATTCAGTGTTTTTTTTTTTTTTTGCATTGGTAACTTCTATTGTGGTTTCTCTCTTTTTTTTTTTTTTCTTCTTCTTCTTTTTATTCGCAGCAGTGGCGGTTCTCGGCCACCGTAGTAATGATTTTATACTGTGAGTAAACCGTCGCTGCTGCTCCTGTCCTTTTATCTCAATAATGATGTTACTGTCTCTTTAAATGTGGCGGGCTGCCCCTGCTGTTGCTGGGCTGGAAACCCCGTACTGACTCAGAAGGGACCCAAGATGGCTGAATACTCACGGGGGGGGCAGTTAGCAGTTATGTGAGCGAGCCGTCAGGAATGAATGACAAATAGCAGTATAATGTAAAGCGTTACCTTTACCTACTTATACGAAAACAGTTTATTTTGGTTTGCATATTCTTCTTTAGAGATGCATGAATCCCAGTAAGGAGAGAGAGGTCTCTCCGCGGCCCCGAGCCAGAACATGGCGGAACACTTGGGGAAGAAATAGCTGCTGCTGCTACCGTTAGCGAGCTGGCGATTTATTTTCACACATTTAGAGACACTTTGGTCCAAAACTAACACGGTATGTGCGTCCGCGGGTGTGAAATAATGTTACCGGTGTTCTAAGAGGGTTATTTTACCTGAAATGTGTTGAATATTTACGATGTGGAGCGTAGGTAGTTAGCAGGTTAGGTTAGCCTGCTAAGGTAACAGACAGACGTACAGACTGTACTCAGAGCAGTTTGTCTGCAGCATCGAGGCTTTCTATGAGAAAACACCTTTAAACTCTGTGAAAAGACTTTATAATGTCACTCAGAGAGATTTAACACGGGGGCTAGAACCAGACCCCTCCGCATAGTGGTCTCCAGGATCAGGATGTGGATTTATAACAGGACTAAGTTTTGAGGCAGCTCATCAAAAATCACAGTTTCTATCCGGGGATCCTTCTCTAAATCAGGGGGGTCCTGGCTGACCCCTGATCAGTACTTCGTTGTAGAAGTGAACAGGTGTACAAGTGAGCTCAAGTTGTCAAGGAGACACCAAAACCTTAGGGGTGGGGGGGTGTCCTCGGGTTCATCTACCTGCCAGGATGACGGACACTCGCCGAAGAGTCAAAGTCTACACCCTAAACGAGGACCGACAGTGGGATGACCGTGGGACCGGGCACGTCTCCTCGGGGTATGTGGAGAGGTTGAAAGGGACGTCCCTCCTGGTCCGGGCGGAGAGTGATGGTAAGGAGACCCAAGGACAGGACCAGACCTGGAGACTGTGGACCTGGTTCTGACCTGCATGTTATTGACCTATCAGGGAACAGACAAAGTTTGTACTTTAGATGATATTAGCTGATGATATTTGTGATAATTGAGGCCTTAAGTTAAAGGGATATTCCGGCATAAAATTAATTCAGGGTCAAACACATCATAACTCAGAGTTAGACCCCCCCTCCAGAGATGAATGTTGTCGACCGCTTGCTTCTCTAGTTATACCAACTTTAGTAACGACCGCAGGATAGAAATACAGAGAGAGGTCTGAGGAGCCATAAACAAACCTCAACCAAAACGCCACTCTATAACCACAAATAATGCTCAGAACAGCCCCTAACTCACCTATTCTCTACCAGCAGCTGCTTGTTTGTAGTGAGACTTCAGGCCAGTCCGTTACGGACTACAGCAGGGTGTCGCAGCTCAAGGAAGAACATTTATGATCATTTCTTTATCATGTCCTTGAAGTAATAATCATCATATTAATCATTTTACAGACGCGGTAGTTCTTCTGCCTTAGCGTCTCGGTCTGATTGTATTTCCATGAAGAAATGATCAAAAATGTTCTTCCTTGAGCTGCGGCACCCCGCTGTAGTCAGTGAACTCGCTACAAATAAGCGGCTGCTGGAAGAGAGAAGTAGAGTTGTGTTTAGTCTTGTCTGTAGCAAGACCTCAGGCCAGTTCATTACGGACTACAGTGGGGTGCTGTTGTACTGCTTGGCGGATCTGTCCTGTTGATGAAGTTAGGTGCTGTTCTGAGCATTATTTGTGGCTATAGAGTGGCGTTTTGGTTGAGGGCGTGGCTCTCTGTATTGCTATCCTTTATCCGTTACTAAAGTTGGTATGACTAAAGAAGCAAGCGGTCGACAACATTCATCTCTGGAGGGGGGGTCTAACTTGGTGTTACGGTGTGTTTGACCTTGACTTATTTTTATGCCGTAATATCCCTTTAAAAGGCATACGGAATATGGGTGCAGCATAAAACAATATTAATAAAGTTCCTCTTATCTCTGATTTCTAACCGACAGGTTCCCTACTGCTGGAGTCCAAAATCAATCCAAACACAGCCTACCAGAAACAGCAGGTCTGTATGTAACATGGAGCAGGATAAATATGTAAAGTGTGGATTTTCTTCTCTCCTGTTGCTGATCGGACTCTGGTTTTGTTTCCTTCTCTCTGATAGGACACGTTGATAGTCTGGTCTGAAGCTGAAAACTATGATCTGGCTCTCAGCTTCCAGGAGAAGGCGGGCTGTGATGAAATCTGGGAGAAGATATGCCAGGTGAGTGCGCTTGTGTTTGTGTGGGTGTTGGTCTGCTCTGACTGTGTTTGTCTGTAAACGGATGTGGGTCTCTCTGCTCCTCATGTCCCCTGTTACTCCTAAAAACACACCTTTTTTAAAGCTGTAAACTGTTCTTTTATTCTTTTACATTCTTGGTCTTATTTCTCCAAATTTTCTGTGTTTAAAATTGTGGGGTTTTTTTGTAAAGCGTCTGTGAGCACCTGTAAAAGCGTGTTTCAAATAAACTTTATGATTATTCTTATTTTTATTACAGGTGCAGGGAAAGGACCCATCTGTGGACATCACCCAGGAAGTGGTGGAGGAGTCTGAGGACGAGCGCTTCGACGACATGTCCTCCCCCGGTCTGGAATTACCGCCATGTGAACTGAACCGCCTGGAGGATCTGGCCGAGCTGGTGGCCTCCTCCCTCCCGTCACCGTTGCGGCGTGAGAAACTGGCGCTGGCGGTGGAGAACGAGGGTTACATCCGTAAGCTCCTGGAGCTGTTTCGTGTCTGCGAGGACTTGGAGAACAGAGACGGACTGCACCACCTGTATGAAATCATTAAAGGCATCTTCCTCCTGAACCGCACCGCGCTCTTCGAGGTCATGTTCTCTGACGAGTGTATTATGGACGTCATTGGTTGTCTGGAGTTCGACCCAGCGCTCCCACAGCCGCGGCGGCATCGGGAGTTTTTAACTAAGACCGCCCGCTTTAAGGAGGTGATTCCCATCTCTGATCCCGAACTGCGTCAAAAAATACACCAGACGTACCGGGTGCAGTATATTCAGGACATGGTGCTGCCCACGCCCTCCGTCTTTGAGGAAAACATGCTGTCCACCCTGCACTCCTTCATCTTCTTTAACAAGGTGGAGATTGTGGGCATGCTACAGGTGAGTCAGGAGGACGGGGTTAAAGAGGCGTGCTGCACGGTTTCTTCTCAGCGTTTTGCTCGTTGGAAAAGTCTAAAGTCTGAATCTGAAAAGAGTGATTTTGTAAAGACAACCCTAGAATCAGACGCAGGAGAGTCGCCCTAAAATGGTGTTTATGCAGCGAGTCTGAAAACTATAGTTAATGTGGGAGTGTACAAAGGTTTCATTTTTGGCTGATTGTGCTTTCCCAGTCTGAGTTTGTCTTTTATGGTCATGTGATCTTTGTGTTTTTGTACTGTGTCAACTCAGCAGTGTTTATGTATGGCTGTCTCCATGGCGACAGAGGAGTGTTGTGTAAATCAGTTGTGCTGTGCTGGGTGAGCGCTGAACAGGATTGTTTTTGACTCTGTTGTCGTGTCGTGTGTGAAACTCTGAAGTCAAACTCTGCCAACCTTAAAGTAGAAACAGACAAACCAGATCAGCTCTTTAAATCACTGACTCCAGTACCTGATCTAGACTGAAATACAGATAAACTGGACTGGTTTGTGTTTGAAACTGAACCAGTAGGTAGAAAGACAGAACGTAGAAATATCTGCTTAGATTCAGTCGTTTTTGAAGGATGTAAGTTCTCTATGTGTGTGTTACGTTTATCTTCCATGAGGCTCTTGAAGGTCGAGGTTTATTCCTCTGGACTCTGATTTGTTAAAGTTCTGACCCGGTCTTGTGTCCCTTTGTGATCAGGACGATGAGAAATTCCTGACAGACCTCTTTGCACAGCTAACAGACGAGGCCACAGACGACGACAAAAGACATGAGCTGGTATGTCAGTCGTTGAGTAAAAACCACATCTTTAATCACATCTCTTCTCCTCCTGGTCCTCGATGTGACGGCGCTGATTTTTTTCTTCTTCCAGGTGAACTTCCTGAAAGAATTCTGTGCTTTCTCACAAACGTTACAACCTCAAAACAGAGACGCCTTCTTCAAGACATTGTCAAACATGGGCATCCTACCGGCGCTAGAGGTCATACTGGTGAGTTCAGAGCTGAAATGGTGACCGACTTCTGCGTCTGTTTGGGAGCGTCTGTCAGAGTGAAAATGATCTTTGGGATGGAACATTCGCTTGTAATGCCACCGTGTTACAGTGTCAGTATAGTGTAGATAAACATGCTAACATATAAGAGTCTACATGTCTCTGCGATAGAAGTGGTGTCATAGATGTCACCTGCTGTAAACCTGTAAGACAGATGACGCTGCGTTTGCTGCCTCAGTGTCTAACCTTCTCCTCACTTTTGAAGTTCGGAGTAAAAGTAATAATAATAATAAATATATTTTATTTGTAGTGTCATTTACATCCAGAGACGTCAAAGGGTTACACGTTAAAATTGAAAAAACTCGATTGTGAGTCTTTAAATCTGCGTCGATTACTGAATGTTGAATAAATCCACCTCCTCTAAAAGTGAACCAACAGGACAAACCTCTGTGAAAACTGGAGTCACCTCCATGCTGACAGATGACAGAGACAAACATAGAAAACACATACATAGATTCAACACATTATCATCATAAACTTAAGGGTATAAAAATGCTCTGATTAACATAATTCACACTTTCTCTGTCATGTGGACTCCCTTTTGACTTTATTTTAATAAAACTGTTTAATGAAAGTTAAAAAATCCAGAGTAAGCAACATTTCTTCTGTTTTCTTGAGAGACAAAATTCTGCTCAGTTTGACCAAAAACTCAGAAACCTTCAGAGAGAAACTGAAGGTTTTTCAGACAGAGACACGATCCGGTTTGAGGAAGTCCTCCTCGGTCCTCCTGTTTCCCATCAAACCTCCTGAAGTCGCTCGTCTCATCAAACCTGTTTTCTCTCCGAGTCGTTTAGATCTGTACGTTCTCAGATTTTAATGTCACAGATTTAATCACTGTCTGCTTCATGTAGATGTGAATGTTGACGGTGAAACTTAAATCAGAGTTTAAAATGTGGACCAACAGTTCCTGCTCTGTGTGTGTTTGCGTGTGTAGAAAGAGGGGCTGATAGTTAATCCACTTTTCTTTAACGGATTAATTTAATTCCACTAAAGCAGATCTGATGAGCCTTAACAAAAGGACAACTCCACTGTCTGCAGGACTCAGTCTGGGTCACGCAACTTCACAAAATTAATCAATAACACATCTGAACAACTGAGTGAGGATCCAGATGAAGATTAGAGGTTCACCATCCCACCAAAGAAAAGGTTCACTCGTGATAAGAAGTGTTTTATTTTGACACCGTCACGTCCCGTTTCCTGTCTTCATTAGAGCGTTTACTCTGTTTTTACGAGAAAAACTGATGAAAGAGAAAACGACAAACAACCTAACCGACTCACAGTTTCAGTTTAAACCTTTGACTGAGTCTCTTTTTCCCTCTCATGATCACATTAGATGTAAACGTCAAAGAAAGGAACTGTGAGAGTGTCTGGATCCATTTCTGTCGGATCATTTTCCGGATGAGACGTCCTGATTCTTAAAAAAGAAAACCGACTAACAGCTGATGTGTTTGTTTAATCCGAACAGGGGATGGATGACGTTCAGGTGCGCGGGGCAGCCACAGATATCTTCTCTTATCTGGTGGAGTATAACCCCTCCATGGTACGGGAGTTTGTCATGCAGGAGTCTCAGCAGAACGATGACGTGAGGAACTGAACAGAATCAGAACCAGAACATGTGAAGTCTGTTTTTATTTCTGACTCATGTGTAATCAATGACTCTGATCGTCTCTCCAGGACATCCTCCTGATCAACCTGATCATCGAACACATGATCTGTGACACTGACCCAGAACTGGGAGGAGCCGTGCAGCTGATGGGTCTGCTGAGGACTCTGGTGGACCCGGAGAACATGCTGGCTACTGCTAACGTGAGTCCTGAAGAATGATGGTGATTGGTTCAGTCTAGATCAGTCAGACTGATCAATAAAAACACATCGACGATCAGGTGAAACCAGGTGAACCACCCTGAAGTTAAAGACAGCAGTGATGGGATCTTCTGCGTCACTTTCTCTCTCAGACACATAAAGAAAATCAAACTCCGGATAATGCGGCTGATTTTTAGTCTTCAGCTCTGTGTCTCTGTTCAGCGAAGGAAAACTCAAAGTCTTCATTACGATAAAAAAACACATTTTCCTTTTTCTTCTCCAGAAAACTGAAAAGTCAGAGTTCCTGAGCTTCTTCTACAAGCACTGTATGCACGTCCTCTCTGCTCCTCTGCTGGCCAACACCACCGAGGAGAAACCAAGTAAAGGTGAGAAGACACACCTGCATGTTAGAGTGATTTTACTGGAGGACTGTGGCGGTGTGGGAGTCCTGGGTCTGAACCGGTCCTTTCTCCTGCAGATGATTTCCAGACGTCTCAGCTGCTGGCCCTGATTCTGGAGCTGCTGACCTTCTGCGTAGAGCACCACACCTATCACATCAAGAACTACATCATCAACAAGGACATTCTCAGGAGGGTTCTGGTGCTCACCGCCTCTCAGCACGCCTTCCTGGCACTATGTGAGTCCCAAATAAACCTCTCAGTGTCTTTAAGTCCTGGTCTCTGATCCCTTAAAACTCATTCAGGGTCTAAAATGAACCGGTTCTGAGTCTGATGTTCTGATCTTCTGATGCTCAGGTGCTCTGCGCTTCATGCGGAGGATCATCGGTCTGAAGGACGAATTCTACAATCGCTACATCATGAGGAACTTCCTGTTCGAGCCCGTCATCAAGGCCTTCCTCAACAACGGCTCGCGCTACAACCTCATGAACTCGGCCATCATCGAGATGTTTGAGTACGTCCGTGTGGTGAGTGCTGCCTCTCCTCACCTGAAGATCACATGACCACAGTTATTTTGAATCGCTCTCAGTCTGCAGCTCTTTTTTGTGTTTGTATCTCTGAACTGAACCTCCTGACCCTCTTCTCTCTGGATCCATACTAACTTTACTGGTTTGTTCTCCCTCTGTTTCTCTGCTCTTCCTCTTTCTCCTCACGTTTCTCCTCCTCTTCTGTTTCTTCTCTAAACTCCACAAACCTTGCGATCCTCTTTGTTCGCCTTCCTGTCATTTCTCTCTCTCTCCCTGGGTCTCTACCCTCTTTCTCTCCGCTCCCATTGCTCCCAGGAGGATGTGAAGTCTCTCACAGCTCATATAGTGGAGAATTACTGGAAGGCTCTGGAGGATGTGGACTACGTCCAAACATTCAAGGGCCTGAAGCTGCGGTACGAGCAGCAGCGAGAAAGGCAGGACAACCCCAAACTGGACAGGTGAGAAAAAAAACGTCTTTAAGTCTGTCGGTCGGGATTTTAGAAACTCAGAGTCAAAGAAAGTGTCAACACGTCGTCTGATGGAGTTTTTGGATCATCTTTGGTCGTGTTTTCTGGTGTCGTCTCTGTCTTTGTTTTATTGAGTTTAGACCCGTTATGTTTGTGTCTGGTTAAGTTCACTAACGTCTGAATAAAGGACAGTTCTGTTCCTCAGGTTAGAAATGTTTAAAATGAATGAATTTACCGTCCACACGTCCACGACTGACTGAGAGGAACGGTCAAACACAGCGGGATGCTCCTCACTCTGAACTGTACTTAAATTGGGGATAGAAACGACGATTTTCTTCTTCGTGGATCACCAAACCTCGTTCTTCTTCTTCTTCTTCTGCAGCATGCGCTCCATCCTGAGGAACCACCGCTTCCGTCGTGACGCGCGGACACTGGAGGACGAGGAGGAGATGTGGTTCAACACGGACGAAGACGACCTCGAGGACGGCGAAGCTGTGGTTCCTCCTTCGGACAAGATGAAGCCGGAGGAAGACCTCATGGAGCCGATCAGCAAGTTCATGGAGAGGAAGAAATGTACGTATGGAGACGCAGGACTTACTTCTTCTATGAGATAACTCTAGAAACTGGTGAAAGAGCAGAACTGGAACCAGATTAGATCTGATTTAGTGTTCAGGACTGTGGAAGTCCTCTGAGCTTCATTTAGCCGGCCCGGTCAGACCGGTTCTGACAGCTGAGGTCTTGATCTCCTGATGTTTTAGATGTTTTAAAGACGGTGGAGCTCCAGTCACCAAAGGCGTTTCAGAGACTGAACATGAATGTGTGGATGAATGTTCTGGTTTGATTGTTGTGGGTTTATTTACAAGAACAAACGTGTTTAAAAAGTCGTTAAATTCTCAGTTTGATCCATCGATAGTTTTCATGATCATCAGGTCAGTTAAACTCTTAGAGGAGGTCCCAGCAGCTCCGTGTCCCCCCTAACTAACCCTCTAATCCGTCCTCCTGACTCTGTCTCCCTTCAGTGAAAGACACGGATGACAAAGAGGTTCTGGGGAAGTCCAGTTTATCAGGCAGACAGAACCCCAGCTTTAAGCTGGCCTTCTCCGGCTCCACTAAAACCAGCCTGTCCAGTCCTCCTTCGTCTGCCTCATTGAACCCGGGCTCTCCAGGATCACCAGGTTCTCCAGGCTCAGGGGCGCGGAGTTCCCCCTCCACCGCAGCGGTAACCACAAAGGTACGAGTCAGTCACATGGTCTGTTTTTCAATCAGCTGAGGGTTTCGTTAAACTTTCTTCACACTAAGTCTGTTTCAAACTCCACGACTCAGCAGAACTCTCAATCTTCACACTCGAACCCTCAGATTTCACACGAGTCCAGACTGTGAGTGAACGCAGCGTGGTCGTCGCCAGCAGACAGAGAGGAGAGAGACGCAGAATTAAATCATTTTAAAACAAAGGCGTTATGAAATATCCACCTGCTCTGTGACGTCAGGGGTTGTCATGGTAACGCTCCACCTTCTATCACAGCCGTCAAACCTCGAACCAGAGTCCTTAACAGGTCAAATCGAAGGGATCGAGCGTTTTAAGAGAGATAGTTCTTCACTCTGGGTGTACATCAGTATTTAAAGGAGAAACGTCTTTATTCTACCGTTGATGTCAGATGATGTCCATGTCAGCTTTATTTATAGAGCAGGTTTAAAAACAGACAGTGGTTTACCAAAGTGCGTTACAGTAAAACAGTTAGAAACTATAAAAACAATCAAACAACAATAAAAATAAAGATAGCAAATAAATAAAAGACCCAATAAAAGCAGCTATACTTCCCCATAAACTAAAGTGAACAGGTGAGACTTCAGAAGTGTTTTAACGAACTGTCAGAGGTAAAACGTTCACGACAGAAAATCTTCGATCTCCTCTAGATTTAAAAAAGGATCGAGGAACGTCGAAAACCACCTGATCAGCTGACCTCAGGACTCTGGAGGACTGAACTGTGAGTTTGATTTTTTTAGGAGGAGCATGTTTCTAACAGGTGTGTCTCTCATGTCGTCCTCAGGGAGGATTAGTGGGTCTGGTGGACTACCCTGACGATGATGACGAGGAGGAAGAAGAGGAGGAGGACGGAGAGACTAAAGAGGACCCTCTGCCCCCCTCGAAGAAGTCCAAACTGAGCTCCTAAGGAAGCTGGACTGTCTCGGTGTTTGTTCAGACAGTTTCAGCTCACAGACTCCAGAATGATCAAACTTGTAAACAAATGAATAAATGAATGAATGAAAGCCGCCGCTCGCCCTCAGCGGGGGGGCGGCGGCGGCTGACAGAGGAGCGGACTGTGAACGGATACCAAGCCTCCTCAGACACGCCCACTTCATACAAGTGCCAATCAGGAAACCAGGAGTGACAGAGCGCGGCGAAAGGTGGAGCAGACGAAGCTCAGCAGCAGACTCCGACGGGACGGGACGGTAACCTAGCAACTGGAGGAACAGACCACATAAACAAAAACACGCAGACTGAAGAGCGCTCGCGGGCTCGGACCATAACCCACTGCCCCCCCGCCCCCCCCACTCAGGGAAGGACATCACAGCGGCCCAACAGGTCGGCCACTTCAGACCCAGAATCACCACTCACACCTCCCCTCCTCCTCCTCCTGGGAGTTCCTCCTCCTCCTCCTCCTCGTTTATTTCTTCTTCTCTTCCTCCCTCTCTTCTCTGTCCGTCTGTTTTTTTAAGTTAGTATTTAGGACCAGACGGGAGGCGGCACGAGGGCGAAGCGCCGTCCTCGCCGTGGTTTGATGATGTCATCCGTGTTGTCGTCGTCGTTCTTTCTCTGAAGAGAAAAAAAAAAAGCCAGCAGTTTCTCCATGACTTTCTTTTGGTTCTCTACTCGTCTCTCTCTCTCTCTCTCTCTCGATCTCTCTCTCCAGTTTTTTTTTGTAAATGACAACAAAAAGAGACCTGCCTTTAAATGTTCAGGATGTGGTTTTTCAGCCACACCTGAACAGGTTTTTAAAGACCTCAGTAGGTGAGCTAGTTTTACCCTTTTTGCCCTTTGAAACTGCAGATTTTTTGGAGACTTTGTAATCCCGTCTTGATTAAAGATTGAGTGGAATTCTAGATGTGATGAATTTTGTCATATCTTCTTCTCATTTTTTTTCCTTTTACATGAGTGTACACTTAGTTGTTCAGAATATTTGGGACCATTAAAATGATCTTTGCTGTAAGACGTCCTACTACCCTTTGTCCTCATAACTCACCTGTTTCTTTACTGTCGTGTTTACGTCTGGGGTTTAACGGGAAACACACACACACACAGAACTGATTCAACTGAGACCAGAACCTTCGATTCTTCTCAGAAACTCTCAAACTTTCACTCTTTATACGTTTATATTTTAATGGTCGTCACTGACTCTGAGAACAAACTGATTAAATCAAACTCTTGTGTTTTATTATTTCACCTCCAAAAGGTTTTTTTTTAAAAATGTCTTGATTTGATTTTATTACCTGGTCCAGGACCGTTCTGATCCACCAGGGGGCACTCTCAGTCCACAAGAAGTAGTCAGCTCCTTCTCCTGGAGTTTGATCCTGTCTGTGAAAGTGAGAGTGTTTAGGATGATGGTGTTTGTCCGCCTGTTTCACAGTAACATGCTGTTTCTTTTGTAATGTAGTTTAAGCAGGAAGGTAAGGGTGAGTGAGCAGAAGGTTCAACTTTCAGTGTAACTCCAGAATTTAACCAGAACTTTAAATCCTGGATTGTTGAGCTGATCTATTTATTCATTTATGCTGTTTAATTTGACACTTAAGAAACTTAAAGGGATATTCCGGCGTAAAATTAATTTAGGGTCAAACACACCGTAACACCGAGTTAGACCCCCCGCTCCAGAGATGAATGTTGTCGACCGCTTGCTTCTCTAGTTATACCAACTTTAGTAACGACCACAGGATAGAAATACAGAGACCTGAAGGTTAGAGACTAAACACAACTCACCTACTCTCTTCCAGCAGCTGCTTGTTAGTAGTGAGACTTCAGGCAACTCTATTACAGACTACAGCGGGGTGCCGCAGCTCAAGGAAGAACATTTATGATCATTTCTTCATGGAAATACAATCAGACCGAGACGCTAAGACAGAAGAACTACTAAAACTATGATGATTATTATTTAAGGGAAATGATAAAGAAATGATCATAAATGTTCTTCCTTGAGCTGCGTCACCCCGCTGTAGTCCATAATAGACTTGCCTGAAGTCTCTCTACAAACAAGCGGCTGCTGGAAGAGAGTAGGTGAGTTGTGTTTAGTCTCTTTGTTAAAGAAATTAATAACTAGAGAAGCAAGCGGTCTGCAACATTCATCTCTGGAGGGGGGGTCTAACTTGGTGTTGCGGTGGGTTTAACCCCAAATTAATTTTATGCCGTAATATCCCTTTAAATCCTGGATTGTAGAGCTGATTGATTAATTATCCTTATGCTGTTTAAACTGACATTTCAGTAGCTTGAAGCTCTAAACGTGTTTTATTATTAAAGTGATGGAGGACAGTTGAGGACAGCCGTCTGCTCCCCTCCCTGAACTCTAAGTGGTCACCTCAGCTGGAGCTTCAGCATGACTCCAAAACAAACAGCATCAGGGCCACCGAGGAGGAGCCGTGTTGTGTCGTGTCCGTCAAACACGGCTTATTAATTAAAACTCCACAGAAGAAGATCACTCGGAGCTCAGCGTGCGGCGAGAGCCGTCACACAACGCCTATTAAAGCTCTTATTCACATAAAAGCATCTCCAGACAACAGCAGCGTTTCAGGAGCAGCCCTCCCTGCCAGCCTCCGTTTGCTCCTCAGCAGGAGTGTGGCACTGTGTGTGTGTCTGTGTGTGTGTGTCTGTGTGTGTGATCTCACTCTTTGCTCTTCTGGAGAGGCCAGCCCGCTCCCCGTGCCAGCCACCGCTCCACCAGAATGTCGGCTCCACTCTCAGTGCCAAGGCGCTCACCCGGCTCTGCCCGCCTGTGTGTCTGCCAGTCTGAAGAGTCCCCCCGTCGGTGACACTGCTGTCCAGCTTCCTGCCGGGCCAATGAAAAGCCTCTTTGACAGCTCTCTTGATTGGCTCAGCACCCTCGGCATCCAGCCTGCCAGTTATCACTTTTTCTGCGATTGATCAGATCTGAAGATCCTGTTAGACGATGATGGACTGAACTCCTCTGTGTCTGTCTGAGCTGCCAGGAATCCAAATTTAAAACGCCGAATATTTCCAATAATCTGAGTTAAATCAGACACATATACAGAGGTTAGATAGTTTTCTCTCAACACACTTTAGGAGGTTTTATAGTTTTCTGTCAACACATGTTAAACTGGAGTCACATGTTTACTTCTCTCAGAAGGTTGGGGTTAGAAATACCAGACAATAATTCAGTAACACTCCACTGTTTCTCCTTCTTTTACACTTCAGCGTTACAGTTACCTGTCAATCAACGTGACCGACAGGTGGAAAAACCAGCCAATTAAAGGTAGGGTAGGCAGGATTGTGTAAAAGTCGCATCTTTTTTTGTGATGTATTTACAAAAATCTATTAATATCAGTCAATAGTTATTAGTTATTGACTGATAGAGTCAGAACAGAGTTCTTCCCCTGACTGAAGCAGAGCGCCGGAAAGTCAAGAAAATGGCACCCAGTTTTCCGATTAAAGGTTCCTACTTCAGCTAAACTGTAAAATTGTACCGTAGTTCTAAAAGTCTTGAATGAATCTGAATATTTCAGTGTTGAAATTGAAACGCTGTTTACAAACGCTGAAATTCATCGTCCACAATGTGTCGGCTTCTTGTTAATAAATTTGATTATAAAATAAATGAAATAAATCCCCCTTTGATACTTTGAAAAGTCAGAGAACCATAATTTTGACCAGGTGGTGGCGCTCTCTGTGGCCAAAAAGGTCTCACCGTGCTGGGCAGGAGCTTTGGCGAATACCTCGACATTAGCTCTGGCGCCTCCTGCTAGCTAGCCTGTCACATCGCTGGCTGCGATAGTTTTTTTTTTGTGGGACAGTAGGGGAAAGTCCCGCCTCCTTCACCTCTGATTGGCTAGAAAAGCTGGAAATGTCATCATGAACTCAATCCGAATGTCGGCTGTTGGCTTGGTACATCGAACAGAACATTATCGTAATTCTGAATCTCATAATCCTAACCCGACAGACAATGACATTTCACAACCATTAGGAAGAACCAATCGGAGCCCAGAACTTCTAGCCAATCAGAGGCTACCATCCTACAAAACAAATTTGTGCCCTGGCGCGACGAGCTAACGGCGAACTGCCGCAAAATGCATTGAAATACGAAGAGAGGAAGTGACGTACGTTTCGCACATGCGCAGTACAAATCGGATTTCCGGGACGGACCGGGTAGCGACAGGCGGGAACAAGTTGTCCAGAGGTTATACAGTTTATGTTTTTTCCTGGCTAAAAAATGAAAAAGTTAATCCAGTTAATCACAAAATGAAAGAGTCTTTGACTTAAGAGTGGAAAAGTGTGAAAACTAACGATCTCCCCTATTATAGGTCACTAAAATAGTTCGGTGACCTAAAAACTTTTATTTGTCGATAGTTTGACGGATTAAATCAGATACTGTGATAAAACAGAGATGGAGTAAAGTAATCCATTTAATCCCGGGAACCAACTCAGGATATGAAGCAGGAAATGAGGCGCATACGCGGTTATCGGAACCAGAGCCGGGCTCGTCTAAATACTGGACCCACAGTCCACCTTCAGGTCCCCCCGCAGAGCTGGGCCTTCATGCCGGACAATGAGCCCTGTTTCCCCGGGACAAAGTCCTCTCTGTGTCCCCCACAGACTCCCCGGCTTTAATGGAGGTGACCGGCTGTGTTAGGCCGGCTCTGAGTGATTAATCACCGCGTAAAACCGCCGCAGCAGCCGGTCTCCGAGGAGGGGAGAGGGCGGCAGGCCGACAGGGACCCGGAGCTGCTGCTGCTGTGGAGACCCGGGTCAGCAGAGAGTCCAGGAGAGACCAGGAGAGGAGGAAAGTCCTGAGACATCACATCTGGTTCACATTACAGCAGAGGTGAGATACAGTGAAGAGGAACATGAAGTAGACCTATCCATCAGACTGTTCATGAGCTGCACTAGACCTGCTGGGGATCTGGGGTCTCACAGAAAGACCTGAACCATGTAGACTGGAGATGTTAGACACAGACACTAAAGTCAATAAAATCAGGATTTCAGACATTAAAAACACACTTATTTAAGAATAGAAGGAAAACAGTCAATCTGAGGATCATGTTTACAAGTTAAGGTAGTTTACCTGCAGAATCAGGCCTACAGGTGAGTTTTACAGCGATTAATCTGTGATTTAAAGGGATATTCCGGCGTAAAATTAGGTTATGGTCAAACACATCATAACACTGAGTTAGACCCTCCCTCCAGAGATGACCGCTTGCTTCTCTAGTTATACCAACTTTAGTAACCACCACAGGATAGTGATACAGAGATCATTCTGATCATTTCTTCATCATTTCCTTGAAGTAATAATCACCATATTAATCATTTTACAGACGCGGTAGTTCTTCTGTCTCAGCATCTCGGTCTGATTGTATTTACATGAAGAAATGATCATAAATGTTCTTCCTTGAGCTGCGGCACCCCGCTGTAGTCCGTAATGGACTGGAGGAGAATAGGTGAGTTGTGTTGAGTCTCTTTGCTAAAGAAATGAGTCAAAGTTAAAAAGATGTTTGGTGTCTAGTACTATGTCTGTGACCCTATAAGTCCTGTTGATGAAGTTAGGTGCTGTTCTAAACATTATTTGTGGCTATAGAGTGGCGTTTTGGTTGAGGTTTGTTTATGGCTCCTCAGACCGCTGCGTATTACTATCCTGTGGTCGTTACTAAAGTTTGTATAACTAGAGAAGCAAGAGGTGTGTTTGACCCTTAATTAATTTTACGCTGGAATATCCCTTTAAAAAAAAAAAATCAAGAATAGACTAAATACAGTCAATCTGAGGCTCATGTTTCCAAGTTAAAGTAGTTTACCTGCAGAGTCAGGTCTGAAGGTGTGTTTCTTACACTTGTTAATCTGCGACTTAAAGCTCATGTGGGGAGTTTTTTCAGACAAGAATTCTCATTTAAACCTTTTTATGATAAAACAGAGACAAAAGGGAGGATGTTGATTTATAGCACCTGAGATAAGGTGAAGACACAGACCTGTTTCTACAGGAAACACGTCAAATATTCACTTTTAATGTCAAACATAAGCTACTCAAACCTGTAGATAAACAAAGACTGCTTTGTCCACAGAGGGGCGCCATTGTTCATTAAAACAGGAAAGTCCTCACAGGAGCTTTAATGACTTTCCTTTTCCACTAGGATGCATAAAAAAAAACTAAAGCCTTTTAAACATAGATTATAAACCTTGTGGTGAATGTTGGAGCAGGTTATCTTCAGGAGTGTCCGTCTTTTGGAGTTTGTTTCTGGAGGATTCTCTAGTTTTTATTCAGTTTAAGGAAACCCCTTTAACCCCGTTTGTAAACAGTTTTGTTTGTTGTTTGTTTTGTTAAAAGTGTTCACCACTTCATCACATACAAAGGTCATATTCTCGCTGAAGTTCAGCAGAGCCGCCTGTTCCTAAATATACACCGTAAACCCAGTGAGCCCGGACTTCCTCTGTGTCCTGGTTTTCAGGCCGTGGCCCCGCTGTAACTCTCTCCCCCGTCAATAGAGAAGATAAATAACGGACTTTCCCAGGGAAGTGTTTGTGAGTCTGAGTATTTGTGAGTGATCTGCCATCGCTTACTGTGAAGTGGTTGGTATTGGGGCACAGGAAACATGGATGTGAATGGAAGAGCACTTTGGCTGCGTGCTAAATGAAAATGTCACAGTGATAAAGAGCGCACCTTCTGCACCCGGGAGTGTGTGTGTGTGTGTGCGCGTGTGTAAGTGTGTGTGCGTGTGGATGGGTCGGAAGTATCCTTTAGAGGCGCGCCGTAAATCCACACCATGAGCTGCAGATAGCTGCTCACACACACACCCACCCACACAGCCACACACACATGCTCAGGGCTGTTCCTAGAAGCAGAGCACTTTCCAGGAGTTTAGATTTAATGGCGCTCTTGTTATGTGCAGTCACACATCAGGAACCAGCAGATAAAATCCCCGTCTGTATAAATTCAGAGGCCCATTAAAACGTCTTAAACTCACAGTGAATAAAATTAAACCAACTTTAAGGGTCCCTCTAGGGTGGGGGGGTTAGAGAGACATAAACCTGTAGAGCAGACAGAGTCACCCTGAAGAAGAACTGAGGACACATGAACACTGATGCAGACTGAATAAAGATCTCAAAGGTCTCAGAACCAGACTGTTGGCTCAGCCCGAGTTCTGCAGACATGACCCGCTCAGACCGACAGGAAGCTAGTGTAAAGATTAAAGCAGACTAATCAGACCTCCATCAACAAACTTCTCCAAACTTCCTCCACTCTGACGTTCATAGTTTCCTCTTTTATTCACCTTCATAATTATTTTTATTATTATTGTTTTTTGTTCTCCTTTATTATTATTTTTATTAGTTTTTATTGTTCTCCTGAATTATAATAGTTTTTTATTTATTTATATTATTATTTTTCTTCTTATTGTTTATTGCCCTCCTTTATTATTATTATTATTATTATTATTATTATTATTATTATTATTATTATCATTATTATTATTGATTTATTTTTATTTATTTTCTATTATTTTTTATATTTCTCCTTTATGAAATAATAATAATACAAATAATAATAATTGTTATTTTTATTATTATTATCATTAATTTATTATTTTCATTTATTTTTATTATTATTATTGTTTATTGTTCCCCCATATTATCATTATTATTATTATTATTATAATTATTATATTTTTGTTTATGTTATTGTTTATTGTTTTCCTTCTTTATTATTATCATTATTTTTATTTTTATTGATTATTCTCCCTCTTTATTATTCGGAGCCCCCTCCTCTAATCAAACGCTTTTATTTTCTCCTCTGTCGTTTTCACAGACGCCCCTGACGGCTCCTGCTGCTGCTGGACTGTCTCAGGCTTTTGATGGCGGCTCTGTGTCGTGTGGCGTTGGCGTCCGCGCTGTG